TATATGAGTGTTGACAGCAGGTCTGTGTTCATGTCTCTATCAGCAGCTTTTTAATGTGAAAATTATTACAATTAAATTCAATCTGAGCTAATGGATGAAGGTGAGTTCTCTGGTGTGTTCGTGTGTGTGTGTGTTGACCTTCTGTGCGAGGGCGGAGAACTTGAGGACATTGAGTGTCTCGTCAAAGCAGGACGCGCTCTGATTGATGTTGACCACCATGGAGACGCGGCCGGCACCACAGAAGAAGAACTGCAGGAAGTGGGTCAACTTGGACTCCCTGAAGGGAACGTGGTGCTGGAACCTGCAGAAATCATCGTGGAGTCTTACATGTTTCTCCTTCTCAAACATCTCACACACACACACACACACACAGACAGACAGACAGTGTGATCGTACTTGGCATGTTGGTTGAGTCTCATGGCGTTGATGCACTTCCCAAGCGTGAGCAAAGAGGTGTTGATGTTTCCCGCCTCCTTCAGTCTCTCTCCGGTGTTGTGAGTCCGAGAACAGCGCTCTGAGCCGGCCAGGTCGCACAGAGCCAGCCTGAACACCGCAGCAACAACAACAACAACAACAACATCACTGCAGGAGGAAAACGTCACGTCCCTGCCGGAGTTACGACTTGCTGAGTTTACGACTTGCGGTAAATGAAATGTGACTGTTGGTTTTACTCGCTGATGCCGAGGACTCTGGGAACTCCCACGTCGTCCACTTTGAGGATCCTGATGGAGAAGATGCTGTGGCTGCAGAGACACAGACACTGATGATACTCATCTGTTTACAAGGCCGCTATTCTCCCAGTATAAACCAGTGTTCTCCCAGTATAAACCAGTGTTCTCCCAGCTCACCTCCTGCTAGACAGCTGGTTCAGTCTGGTTGAGGAGAAACTCTGGTTCTTCTTCCCAATCTTCATCACTCTGTAGGCCTCCTCAGAGCTGTTTACCTGGACCCAGCGCAGGTCTGACAACACACACACACACACACGATAACACAAACACATGTCAACACACACACACACATCAACACACACGTCAACACAGACACACACACACACACACGTCAAAACACACACACACACACAAACACATGTCAACACACACACACAAACACACGTGTCAACACACACACATCAACACACACACACACACACGTCAACACACAGACACACACACACACACACACTAACCTTTGATGAAGGAGTTTCCTTTGACGTCCTGAGACAGACGTAACATCGTTCTCTTGTGGTGTCCACTGGGAACCTGAACATCACACATCAGTCAGTATTTCCTCAGACTGGGACGAGTCCACAACATGTGAAGGAAGGAGGCTTCACCACTTTTACATTTCTCAGTTAACAGGGATTCACATCTGGACACATGAAGCAGCTCTGGACATATGGATGTCCAACTTTAAACTGTAACAAACACAGTCGGGCACAGAGGGATGTGGAATTAACAAGCTTGAAAACTGAATCCCCCGTATGGTCCCACAGTGGAAGGTTTAGATCCCTCTCTAGCATGAGACATCCTTGAGACACACATGCCATCAATAACCAGACTGCACAGAGGATTAGACCACGAAGGTCCTCACAGGTATAGAAGTACGTGTGTGTGTGTCACCTGTTCCAGCAGGTCGTGGATGTTGTCGTTGTAAATCTCACAGAATGAAACCCAGACAGAGAAACGGACATTTGAGTCGACATCCAGACAGAAACTGTCGGCCTCAGAGACACTGTTCAGACTGCTGTCAGTGCTGAGAGATGAGCCTGCACACGCATGCACACACACACACGCACACACACGTTTAGTACTGGGGGTTAAAGTATCAGATCTGACTTTGTTGTAATAAAGCGAGGAAATCAGAGTCACGACCTTCGAGAAACGTGGATCTTCCAGACGTCAGACTTCTGTCACTCTGCAGAGAGACACACGAGTCAACAGGACACCCTCACACTGTGTGATGATGGTTTCATCTGTGTGTGTGTGTGTGTGTGTGTGGTGTGTGTGTGTGTGTGTGTGTGTGTGTGACCTCTTTGAGAAGCCTCAGCAGGTTCTTCTTGCTGCTGCTCTCTGCTGCCTGCTGGTCTGGAGTCAGTCTGCTGAAGTCTCTGCAGCGCTGAGGCTTCAGGTCGCTCCGGCTGTACAGGCGACCTTCGATACTATTGAAGATGACGGACAGAGACCTGGGCAGCAGACCCGAGTCATGATCCGGACCTGAGAGAGACACAGTCAGACCAGCGGGCAGGAAGCTGACACTTCAAAACATTCATCACCAACAATTTTTTCAGTTAATGATCTGGAAAAACATTTTGTGTTTTCCTCAAGTTTCTATCAAAATAAAATTCTGGAGGGCAGGTTTCACTATTAACTGACATCTTATAGATTCACTAATCGATGAATCAGATCAATAACCTGACAGAAGATAGAAACATGCATGATGGCTATGACCACAGCCTCCATTGTTTTGAGGTGTTGAAAACACATAAATCTCCAGATTTGAGAAACTCATCAGTCCCTCCAGGATTTCACAGGCTTTTTTGGGATTGTTGCAGCTAAAATTCCTGATTTCACAGCAGCTTTTCCTAAAAGTTGTGATGCATGTTGCCACGTTTTCAGATGTTTTCTTTGCGATGAAACTGAGGGAGAAAATAAAAAAGTCAAAAGTAGTCAATCTTTTTTTGTATAATTCATTAAAAATCGAAGGTAACTGGTTCCAGTGAGAATCCAGGTGAGTGCAGGTGGTGACCCAGATTCTGCTCCTCTGCTCTGTCTGAATCAAAGATAGAGCTGATCTTAAGAATCACCTCATCAAGTCATGAGTTTATAAAGTAGAGCTTTTTATGTATGTACAGCCACCGGCAGCTACCGCCATCTTTTAAGGTGGAATGTTTGCTTGAGTGTTACTTAATGCGTGATTGATGTTTGGAAATCAATCAATACACCTTAAATGTCGACATGATTCCGATCATTAGTTTTTATCAGCTCTCTCCATGACAGACTCAGTGACGATTGGAGCTTCAGCTTCTTCAAATGTAGATAAACATCAACGTGATCATGTGACGGAAGATATTTTATTTCCTCTGGAGGATAAAAGTAGTGGAGCGTCGTTCCTGTGGCTCCACCACAGTGTCAATTATCAAAATAATAGTTTTAGTTTAATTTTCTGTCAATCGACTGATCAATCACTGCAGCTGTGACACAGACGTTGAGTCTCTCACCGAGGAATGTGAACGTCTTTCCAGCGTTGGTGACTCCGTATGTGAACACCAGACAGTTTCCTCCTTCCAGAACGTCTCGCACCAACCCACGAACTGAACCCTCAAACACCTTCCTCTGACTGGCATCTGGACCGAATACCTCCACACAGAAACAACATGACAATCTGTTTTAGAAAGCTTCAAACAGCTTCTTCAGCTCACTGCGTCTTTGAGGAACAGTGAGAACCCACAGGAAGACAGGTGTGATGTGAGAGTTACCTGTGTGAAGCTGAACCTCTGTGCTGTCTGTGGGAGGGACTTCTCGCTCTGTCGGTTTGACTGACAGCTCCTGGGAGCCTTCAGGACCACGGTGTCCGGTGCCTCGATGGTCACACACTCCTACAAAGGAAGACACAGCAGATTCATTTTGGTTCTGCAGCGACAGATGAAAAAATTCTTCTTCCCGACACAGAAACTCTATATGTGAAGGAACATGTCAGGACTGAACAAACAGATACCTGACTACACAGTTAATCATTAGCTGCAGCCCCATTGAACAGCCGTTCAGTTTAAATCATTATGAGTCCTACAGAGTGAATGTGAGTGTTACCTGTGACTCTCCATTGCCACTCTCAACTACAGTGAACGGTCGAACCCTCAGGTAGACCTGCAGGTTCTCAGACTGAGACTGTGCACTGTCCTGCTGACAGAAGAATAACATCAGTCAAAACCTCCAGCAAAGTCAGCAACATCTTCCTGATCAGCTGCAGACAGGTAACTTACCTGAGCTGGCGCAGCATCAAATTCACCCAGCAGATCTCTCCTTATGTCGTCCACCTCCACCGGCCCGACTCTCTCCGGCTTCCCGGCTAAACAAGACTCCATCATCTCTGCAAGCTAACATACACACACGACCAGCCAGTGTCATTCAATGTTATCAACACAGTCCTTCTTCACCAAGCAGCCTATTAAAGATCAGCTGTTTCCAACTGCACTTCTAAAAGCTGACATTTTTCACCATGTGTTTTAAAGGAGAATACGTCTATGCCGATGTTATCACTGGACAGCGATGACGTGATAAATGTCTTTAGTCACGATGTCCCTTGTATGTGAGGAAGTGGACAAGCACGAGAGTTTGAAAATGTGGAGAATTTTTAACGGAGTCCGGCGTGACTTCCAACCATACAACAAATCATGTTGGAGCTCGTTAGCTGTAACAAGGCCCCGTGCAGTCAGACAGAACATAAATCAGATCATATAATAGGCACATTATAAGTCAGTAATAAGTTAACTGCAGTAAATGAGATACGAAGATCAACTTCAAACGATGGTTAATTTTGTTGTTAGCATTAGCCACAAAAAGCTAACCACCATACACATAAGTTTTTGTTTTAACGGCTTTAGAGAAACACTACGTCACATCTGTGTAGCGTCAGCCGACATTTTATCAAACTGTGACTCACTCTGGACGAGTTTTATTCACCAGACTGAATTTAAAGCAGAAAACATCGAAAAACAGTCTCTGCCGTTAGCTCCCTCTGCTCCGCGGGCTACTTTTTAAACTGGGACCAGCGGACCAATGAGCGCAGAGAACCATCACATATCTCGTTCACGTGTTCGATTAAGATCTCGCGAGATTATCTGGCTTGAACGGAAGATACTCGAGAACATGGTGTGAAGTGAAACCATAGCAAACAGAAATAAATAAATAAATCGTGGTAATTTACTTGAAAACATTCAACATATAATCACAGGATTCGTATTTTTAAGTTCGAAACGAAAATCAACAAATAACACATCTAAAATTTGAAAGAAGTTATCTTCTAAGTCTTTTTTGTGTCCAGAATTTGTCATTTCCTCCTCTCTGAAATGGGAAATATCTTGTTCGTTGTCTTTGATCACAACAGGAACAATAAAGACTAACTCTACCTGATCATTCTGATCGTACTTACTGCCAAATTTAATTTCCATAAGAGTAAATATTCTAGCAGTAAACTGTTCTGCTTAATGAACTTAAAACTCTTTTATTTTGTATAGTGTGAACAGAAATGTTAACTTTATTTTTACTGTCTGTTTGAATTGAATTTTACTGGTATGATTTTACCTTTATACTCTGTCTACACAGCACACACATCTCCTGTTCTCAGTTTTCCAATAAAGACTGAAAAAACGACAAACAAACAAACAAAAACTGGTTTTGGAGGAAGAATGAAGGCCACAGCAGATGTGGCTGAAAGCTCAGGAAGAAACTGAGTAAGTAGTAATCATCTTGAGGTTATACACCCCATCCACCAAAACAAAACAAAAATCATACACAAATAAAAAAAAATTTGCTTATTAAAAGTTATATACGAGAATATTTATATATAATATTAACTGGATATAATGTGATTTATTTTATTTATTGTTCTCGGCTCCTTAAGAAATAAAAGGTACTAGATACTAAAAAGTAAAAAAAAAAAAATTAAAAAATAAAACTAAACAACGAGGGCTGAGAACGACGTCATCAGACGGGGACAGCGTTGGCATCGTAGAGGCGGATGAGGATCAGGACTGAAGCGGATTTGTAGACAAGGTGGATTAGAGGCTTAGAACAGGCAGCTAGCTGCAGCTCGGACACTTTACCTGGACTAGTCTGGATCTTTCAGTACACCTGTAACTGTTCACTGAACAGACTTCCCGCCGCTTCGTGATAAAAAAGAAGACGACGTCAGGATCAACGAGACGCGTCAACACGTTTCCATGACAACGGTGAGGCGGGGGATGAGGATTAATTAGAGTTTATTTCAGACGGATCACAGTTGCTGCACCTGTAACTATGGTGATCCAGCAGGTCTTTATTAGTAGTAATCAATAATCAACCATCTGCTGTAGAAGACGTATTGACAGATCTCTTCTTTATAAATTGTGATAAATGACATTTCGTTATTGATTAATCGATCAGATTCCTTCTATGTTCACTGTTTGAAAACAAAGTGAGTAAAATGATTATTTTAGTCGATGAAGGCTTTGTTATTTACAGTCCCTGATGTTTTATAGATCAGTTATCAGTTATAGATCAGTAATAGATCCTATGTATTAGACTATGAGGATGTCAAATCACAACTCCTGAATTTATTCCATTTATTATGAACCTGTGTGTGTGTTTACCTGTGTGTGTACCTGTGCTGTAGAGCAGGTGTCCCTGTGTGAATAAAGTTTGACAGCGCTGTCATCATGTCTGAGTCGAGCGGTGATGGAGGGAAGTGGCTGGACGCTCACTACGACCCGGTGGCAGGTCTGTACACCTTCTCGTCCTGCGTGGACCTGGCGGACCTGAGCGGGGACGGGGAGAGCCAGCTGGTGGTGGGGGACCTGGGCTCGGGCTCGTCCGGGATGAAACTGAAGGTGTACCGCGGCACAGCATTGGTGAGTGAGAGCACCCTGCTGGACCTGCCCGCCGGCCTCGTCGCCTTCTTCATGGACCTGCATGAGCCGCGCATCCCCGCCGTCGCTGTGGCGTCCGGACCCTGCGTCTATGTCTACAAGAACCTGAGACCGTACTTCAAGTTCACGCTGCCTGGGCTGGAGGTCAACACACTGGAGCAGGTGTGTGTTTGTGTCTGGTGTTGGGGGGGAGGTCTCAGCTGCGTCACCATAGTGATGAGGTCACAGGATGAAAATCAGACTGACTGATCATTTGGAATATGATCGTGAGGTTTGATGGTTCAGCTGCTGCTCACCTGTGCTGCTAATACACCTTTGTACTGTACCTGACATGCTGTCTGCTCTGATTGGTCAGGACTTGTGGCAGCAGGCGAGGGAGGGGCAGATCGACCCTCTGACCCTGAAGGAGATGTTGGAGGGCATCAGGAAGAAGGCCGACGTCCCGCTGTCCGTCCGCTCGCTCAGGTTCCTGTCTCTGGAGACCGGCGACATGGACGAGTTCGTCCAGCTGCACAAACAGCAGCCAATCAGACGGCAGGTAAGCTCACATCACAAATCATATGAGTCAGTCTGTCTGATGTTGCCGTGTGTTGACGTTGACGTGTGATGACAGTGAGTCACTCAGCAGGACTGAGTTGATCTCTGACCGGCGATTTACAGCCAGTTAAAGCTCAGAGCGTTTCCATGACGACAGCAGTAAACAAACACTTAATGTATATTGTGATATTGTCGTACATGTCATGATGTGATTTTAAGGCGGTATCACCTGGTTTACCTGACTCTCACTGCGTCCTCTCTGTCAGACAGTCATCACCTGCATCGGGACGCTGAAGAAGAGCACGGCCGACGAGGACGGCGTCAGCTGTTTGGTGATCGGGACAGAGAACAACGATGTCTATGTTCTCGACCCCGAAGCTTTCATCATCCTCTCCAAGGTAAATTCCCATCAGACACCACGCCGGGACAGGCGGGACCACCTGGACCACCGGTCTCTGGGCTGAACTGGTCCTACACACAGAACAGAACCACAGGAGCTGATCTTCAACACAACTTTAGTCACTATATTTATGCTGATGACACTCACATCTTCATCTCTCACATGTTCACACACTTCCTGGAAAAACCAGGAAGAATTAGATTTTATTTCAAAATGACCCAAAATATCCTGGAAACTCAGAAAAGGCCCAGGACAGGTTTGAGTGTGTAACAGTCCTGATCAGTGCTGATGGTTCATTTTATCTGTCTGCTGAAGATGTCGCTGCCGGCCGCTCCCACCATGATGGATGTGACGGGTCAGTTTGATGTAGAGTTTCGCATCACGGTGGCGTGTCGCAACGGAAACATCTACATCCTGCGCAGGTGAGACACACACCTGACTGGGAGAGGAGCTCCTGTTCCTGAAATCAGTTGAATGTGGAGTTGAAATGTGAAACGAAGATGTGAGCTGACAGATGTTTGTGTCTCTGCTCCTCAGGGAGTCAGACAAACCCAAGTACTGCATCGAGCTGACGTCTCACCCGGTCGGTCTGGTGAGGGTCGGGAAAAACGTGGTGGTCGGCTGCACTGACGAGAGTCTGCAGGGCTTCACACAGAAGGTAAAGGTGTCTCTGTGGACTGAAGGTCTGTGTCCTCTACCACCAGAGACAGTCTGAGTTCACTCAGGTGGGACAGATCCCAGTTTAAAGTCCAGACACATCAGCTTCAGTCAGGACCAGAGCGTCTCCAAAGTCTTAAATAACAGCTAAAACGTGTTTTCTGAGCTCACACTGACCTTGACCTTTGACCCCCAAAGTCTAATCAGTTCGTCCTTGAGTCCAAGTGAAGGTTTGTGCCAAGAAGTTTGTGAAGAAATTCCCTCAAGGTGTTACGGAGACATCGTTTCCACGAGAATGAGACAGATGGACAAACAACCATAAAACAAAATGGCTGCTGCTCTGACTGACGCTGATAATAAATATGAAACCAGATGTAAATGTGTTTACAACAAACTGTGTCTGTGACATCACTCTGGAGAAATCAGAGTGAATAAACTAAAAGTCTGTGGTTGTGTCTTCAGGGGAAGAAGCTGTGGAGGACCGTCCTCCCTGCTCCCATCACCACCATGGCTGCCATGGACCTCCCCACCCGGGGCTTCCAGGCGGTTCTGGTGGGACTGGCTAACTGTGAGGTCCAACTGTACCGGGACAAGAACCTGCTGAGCACCATCAAGACGCCCGACACGGTCAGCAGCGTCTGCTTCGGCCGGTACGGGCGTGAGGACGGGACACTTGTCATGACCACCAAAGGAGGCGGCCTGATGGTGAAAATCCTGAAGAGGACGGCAGCGTTCGAGGACAGGGACAGCGCCCCCGGGCCGCCGCTGGCCCAAAGCATCCGCCTCAACGTGCCCAAGAAGACCAAGCTGTACGTGGACCAGACACTGCGGGAGCGGGAGAACGGCCTCGCCATGCACCGCGCCTTCCAGATGGACCTGAGCCGCCTCAGACTGGCCGCCGCCAAAGCCTACGTCAAGGCCCTGGAGTCCAGCCTGACGCCGATGTCATCCAGCCTCAGCGAGCCGCTCAAGATGAACGCCGTGGTACAGGGTCTGGGTCCGTCCTTCAAACTGACCCTGAACGTCCAGAACACTGCGGCATGTCGGCCCATCATGAGCCTGGCCATCAGCTTTCTGTACGACGAGAGCCTGTACCGGATGAGGAACCCCTACATGAGGATCCCGCTGCTGGTGCCCGGACTCATCTACCCCGTCGAGACCTTCGTGGAGTGCACCAGCGACAAGGGCATCTCTGACATCATCAAGGTGTTCGTCCTGCACGAGGGGAGGAGCTCCCCCCTGTTGACCGCCCACATCAACATGCCGGTCAGTGAGGGGCTGACACTCAACTGACCACATGATGCTTCAACATTTATAACAAACAGGGTCTGTGTATTAAGCTACTTGTGCTTAAACAGGAAGTTCGTTGATAAAATGATGAAATTCCTCACAGACAAAAAAGGTGTAAAGGTTTCATCTGTAGATTTAGTGTGTCGGACGTCTGTAGTTTTACTGAAGCTGTTTCATGTTTGTGTCTCAGTTTGTTCGTGTTGAAACAGCAGAGACACTGAGTTTGATCAGATTCATCAGCATCAGGGATAAAAGTCACTAGGTTTTGTACAGAAATATGAACAGGACACATTTCTGTAAAAACTGTGTATTTTTTAAATGGAGTCTTGTATGTAGAAAAATAAAACAAAGCTTAAACAACACATTTCTGCATTTTTACAAGAATTTCTTTGAAAGTTTCTTGGAATAAACAATACATTTTGTTGTTTCCAGGAAAAGATACATTTTTTAATCAGCCAATGACAACCCCGACAGCTTCATGTGTTTCATCACCTTGTGTTGTGAAACAACAGACAGACAGTCAGTTTACAGGCTGTTGACCTGCTGCCGTCAAACAGTGTGTGGACTCTTCAGTGTTTTGAAACTTCAGCTTATAAAACCAGTAGAGTCTGAATGAAGCCTCCAGCTGCTGATCAGGACCAGACGTTAAGATCTGAAGATGAGACGTGTCGTCGTTCTGTTGGGTGAGAAACTCAATCAGCTGCTGCTCATTTACATTTCTGATCATTTCATACATTTACAGAGGGAGGACATTTTGTCTCAACCTCCATGTTTAGGAGACATTTAGGAGGCATTTAGGAGACATTTAGGAGGCACTTAGACATTTAGGGAGCGTTTAGGAGACATTTAGGAGACATTTAGGAAGTGTTTAGGAGACATTTAGGAGGCATTTAGGAGATGTTTAAGAGACATTTAGGAAGTGTTTAGGAGACATTTATGAGGCATTTAGGAGACGTTTAGGTATGTCCCTGCAGGGTTTGTTTAATCCATTAATGAATGTATATGTAATGTGTGTGTGTGTGTGTGTGTGTGTGTGTGTGTGTGTGTGTGTGTGTCCAGCTGTGTTGTGTGTGTGTGATGGTGTCAGGTTTGGTCAGCTCTGCAGTGGAAACCCGACCAACAGAAGGAGGACGTCAGACGGCTGGGGACAGGGTCACTACGGAGCCGGACGGTAACACAACTGCACAATGACACAAGTGTTCAGGTGCATCATGGGAAACGTAGGCTTCAGTGTTTTTGAAGTTTGACTGGAGAATAAAAGACAGGAGACACAGACAAGAGACAGTAGATCTGTAGATTTTAAAGACTGCACAGTGGATTGATTAATTGGTTAAAATAACAAATCAATAACTGATTAATAAAACAATGATCAGCTGGATGTCTCTGTGTCTCAGGGGAGACAGGGACCATAAAGGTCTGGACATCGTGTGTGAGGACGGATCAGACGTTCTCGCTCCTTTTGACGTGACGCTACACGGAGAAGTCAACGTCTTCCCTGAGCCACATCAGGCCGCCATCAACAGCGGTCTCAGTCTGAGAGGACAGGGTCAGTCCACCACGGTCTCTGCTGAATACTGATCCCGTTATTGATCAGGTTATTGACCAGGTTATTGATGGTGCTGGTCTTTGTGTCCTGCAGGTCTGTGTTTCAAGCTCTTTGCCATAAGGCCGGACCGGACCTCTGGATTAGTGAGGAAGGGAGACAGGATCGGAACCATGCTGCCCATGCAGAGCGTTTACCGAGGAATCACATCACATGTCCACGTCCAGATGTGTGACAAGAGTGACCCCACACCCTACTTCTGATCCTGATCCACTGAGAACCTGAACCACTTGTTTTGAGTATGTTCAAAATTAAATAAATAAAAGTAAATTTATGTATTTTTTTATTGTATATTTTGAGGCTTCACAGGTTTAAAGTTCTTTCTTAGCCAGTTGTTATTTTTTTTAAATAAATACAAATATAAAGTTGAATTTTCCAATATTTGTAAAAACTGTTTTATTCAAGTTGCTCAATTTCAGTTGGTCAAATAAAAAACAACAAACAATCAGCTCAGTCAATCAGATCAATACAGACACAAAAATTCTAAATTACAAATTCAAACTGTCACGTTCAATTCTGTCACATGATTTAAAAAAAACTATGAACCTGAAAAACATTAAAATCTCATCTGTAAATTTCAGAGGAGAATTAAACCCACATAAATTCAGACAGATGTTTTTCAAAGTTCAATCTCGAAATGAAAATATCAACTTTAAGTGTTCAGTAGTGGTGTGATTTCACAGTCTGGTGTACTAATTAAAAAATCTAATTAATTTGGCCTTTGTTTTCTTCCATACAAGGGTGACGAGATGGTCATTTATGACAAAGAAAACTTACAGGAATGGTTTTATTCATTTAGGATTGCTGAGTAAGCAATCCCACTGTATTTCATGCCACTCTTCCATTTTGTTTATTATTTTTCTTCCACCCACTTTTTTGACCTGCTACTAGCCCCTCACCTTTTCTCATAGAAACTCAGTTCAAACGTCAAAACATCGTCTCGATCAGGGCATTAGGGCTACTACTTTTCTGAGATATGTGTAATAATTTTGGAAATATGAATCATTTTATCTGATTTTTTTAACAATGGAAGTCAATGCAGAGAATGTTCAAATCCTTGAAAACTTTCTCCTCTTTGAAACTCAAATGCTTTGCCATACTTTTAGCTAGAGACTTCATTTGAACTTTGAACGCATCCCAAGACTTTCAGCCATTTAACTTGAATTTCACTTATTGATATCTTGTACAGTTTTTGATTTATCAGCGTTTGAGTTCAATTTTTTTCTGACAGGAGGAGGTTAGATTAGATGGCATCACAGCTAGAGCGGGAGAAGGGGTTAAACTGCACAAAACAAAGTATGTTTAACTCGTCCTCACGGCCACAAATTTCACTCTTCACACATAATTTCCTCCCAGGTTGTAGACATCTGTCTTCTTTCATACAATGTCACTACCAAAGCACAGAGACTCACAGAATTTGAACTAGGCCCTTCAAAGTGGCAGCAGTACCATCCAACTGCCTGATTCACTCTGATGTAAAATGAGAGCAGACAATCAGGAGGAAAACAGGAAGCAGAGTTGTTTTTAAATCACTGCACATTCCACATTTTTGGCATCGCAGACAAATATTTTATATCACTGCGTTAAGCAGAGTATCCTCTCTCAGAAAATATACACCTTTATATGATTACAGTTACGATATTTAACTAGTAAGTCTGCATTCAAGAGGTATATTTCAACTGAATCCCTGTCTCACTCAGTAGAGTAAGTAAGCAGTTAAAATCACCATGGCAACCTCTGAGTGCTTTAAGCAGTGTTGCCAGCTGCCACCTTTTCATTTTAACTGTGAGGAAAGTCAAACTTTCAGGAAAACAGGAGGCGGGACATTTTTAACATCGCAGTACATACCATATTTTTGATACCACAGACAAGTACTTTATATCACTGTGTTCAGCAGAGTCTGCTGTCTCAGAAAACACTATCTGATAGGATTCAATAGTCTTTGACTGGCAAGCCAGAGGTTGAGAGGTGTCTCTCAGCTGAATCCATGTTTCACTCAGTAGAGTGTAGATGGACATACACAGCTGATTAAGATCAGTTAATCAGGGGCGTCGAGTGGCTCGGTTGGATGAGCATCCGCCCCATGTGTAGAGGCTCCAGTCCTCGCTGCAGCAGGCCCTGGTTTGAGTCCCGCATCGGACAGCCCTTAGCTGCATGTCATTCCCCCTCTCCCTTCCTCCCCACTTCCTGTCTCTCTCTACTTCACTATCAATAAAGGCACAAAAAAAAGCCGAAAAAAAAAAAAAGATCAGTTAATCAGATGAATTCTGTGGTGTCAAATATTTAACTGACATTTGGCAATTTTTCTTCAGTTAGTCATTGTGACTCAACACAGGCAGACAGAGTTAGTTGCAGCTCTATTTTAAATGTTAGTTGCTGGCATTTACCAATGAAGCTCAGCACAGTTTAGCTTCAGCTCGGGCAGAAGCAGCAGCCCCACTGCAATTTCTCCAGAAGTTGCATTGTGTTGTTTCATAAAATGTTTCTTGGGATAAACAAAACATTCTTATGTTTCCAGTTAATTTTACTTAAATGAAAAAATCATTTGAGAAAATCATTTATATTAAGAATCTTTCCTCCTCAGAAATGTGGATTTTTTTCAACTTATTTAGTAAATTCTGTATAAAAATGAAAGGTTATGAAATGAGAGCAGAGGAAGTGTAGAGGCTCCTGTTGACACAGGTTTTTAACATCATGAAACACCTGTTGATAATTACCATTTGCATTTTGTCTAAATATTTGCATTAATAAGAACATGGATGTTCTTTCTGTTTCATTCTGAGTTCGTCCTCCTAGCTCAGGCTCAGAAAATAAAGTTGTAAATAAATAAATCAAAATAAGAAGGTAATAATATTAAACATTTTCCATGTCGACTGAACCTGAAGTCAGAGGTCAGGTAAACAGCTGAGGACAGGTAAACAGCTGCTGTTTGAATCCAGAGTCCACAGAGTTCCAGTGTTGGTCAACAGTCTCCTTTTACCACAGTACAACAACAGACAACACAGAGAGAGACAAGACACATCATCCTGACACATGAAGCTGTATCAGCTTCATGTGTTTCATCACCTTGTGTTGTGAAACAACAGACAGACAGTCAGTTTACAGGCTGTTGACCTGCTGCCGTCAAACAGTGTGTGGACTCTTCAGTGTTTTGAAACTTCAGCTTATAAAACCAGTAGAGTCTGAATGAAGCCTCCAGCTGCTGATCAGGACCAGACGTTAAGATCTGAAGATGAGACGTGTCGTCGTTCTGTTGGGTGAGAAACTCAATCAGCTGCTGCTCGTTTACATTTCTGATGATGTTTGTTAATTATCTCTGATCTCGCTGTATGAACACCTGCGTCACTGTGGCAGTAGAAGAAGAGTCATTTATTTTGCAGCGTTTGAATATTTGTCATTTTCTCTACTAAACATTTGATTAATCGTTAAAGTTTGATGAAACTAACATCCTGTTTGATGATGGTTCAGTTAAAGTTCAAATGTTCAGGCTGAAACCGGAGAAATTCATTCATGTGATACACAAAGAAAAAAGTTTGTCACCAGGAGACTTTCTTTTTCATTAATGAATGTATAACAATTACCTCTCTTCTCTGGGCGTGTGTGTGTGTGTGTGTGTGTGTGTGTGTGTGTGTGTGTGTATGAGGACTACAGAGGATTGAGATGTTACTGGTTTAGTTTCTGCTGAGGCGGCATTCAGACAGTTAGTGTGTGCTGTTTACGCTTTTGTTTTCTACAGAACAACTAATTGAATCTGTGTGTGTGTGTGTGTGTGTGTGTGTGTGTGTGTGTGTGTGTGTGTGTGTCCAGCTGTGTTGTGTGTGTGTGATGGTGTCAGGTTTGGTCAGCTCTGCAGTGGAAACCCGACCAACAGAAGGAGGACGTCAGACGGCTGGGGACAGGGTCACTACGGAGCCGGACGGTAACACAACTGCACAATAACACAAGTGTTCAGGTGCATCATGGGAAACGTAGGCTTCAGTGTTTTTAAACTTTGGCACATTTTAGACAATATAAGTGAACCTCCCCTTCTGCAGCAGAGATTTGGGCCATTATGTTTTTTTTATAAAAGGACTGAGGACTAAATTAAAACAGAACATGTAAATCCAACATCACAGCTCAGAGAGGGAGACAGACGGGTCTACTGAATATTAAAGATCATTTACTACAACTAATTAGAAAGCTCTTCTGCCAGACATGTTTTAAAATGTTTTAAATCCTCTACTGTGATTCATTTAGTTTAACGTCGCCTCTTACTTCCTGGTTGAGAAACCTGGATCAGGCCTTGAGCCCCGCCCACCACCTGCTTGCTCCAGGTGGACAGGTGAGAGAGCAGAGAGTATGAAGATGGTGAGAGGAGGAAACATTAGAGAGACTCAGCCACATGTTTGAGCCTCAGTCAGACACAGACTCAGATGAGGAGTCTGAGACCAGAACCAGAGACTAGCAGACGGATCAGAACCATTAACATAGCTAGGATCTTTTCAGAACGGTAAGCGCAGTTAGCATCTTTTCACAATGGTAAGGGTAGTTAGTAAGAGAGTCTTCAACATCTCAGTGGGTGAAGCAGCTGTCAACAGCTGGATGTCTCTGTGTCTCAGAGTGGACAGGCTACATAAAGGTCTGGACATCGTGTGTGAGGACGGATCAGACGTCCTCGCTCCGTTTGACGTGACTCTACACGGAGGACTCCTCGTCTACAATAACCCCAGCAAGGCCGCCATTGACAGCGGCATCAACTTGAGAGGACAGGGTCGGTCCACCTCGGTCTCTCTACAAAATACTGATCACGTCAATTAGGTTATTAACCAGATTATTGATGGTACTGGTCTTCGTGTCCTGCAGGTCTGTGTTTCAAGCTGTTCTACGTGAGGCCGGACCGGACCTCTGGATCAGTGAGGAAGGGAGACAGGATCGGAACCATGCTGCCCATGCAGAGCGTTTACCGAGGAATCACATCACATGTCCACGTCCAGATGTGTGACAAGAGTGACCCCACACCCTACTTCTGATCCTGATCCACTGAGAACCTGAACCACTGAGGACCTGATGGACTCATGGATGACTTCACTTCTCTGTGTTGACACTAAACCTTTCCTGTCGTGTTTCCTGTTGATCACAACTGATCAACTTTTATAAACTAATCAAATATTAAATGAGTTCTGTGAAATTATCAAATAAAGTTTTTACTGTCTGAAAATCTTGAGTTTGACACGGGACCAGAGTCTTTTTACGTCCCGTCACTTCTCCTCTGTGCTGTATCATTACTTTTATATTGGGAACCAAAAAATATTTTTTCCAGTTTATTTTCTTTATGATTTTTTTCCATTTCTGTCCCGCTAAAACAAAACCTCCATGTTTTTTTACCCTGTAAACAACCTGCTGTTGTGCACACACATTTTTTCTTTGATATGAACATTGATGTGACATTGTCTTCAAAAAGCATCAACATTAACAAACACAAAGCAGAACCATGAGAACAATAACAACAACAGGAACCATGAGGACAAACACAGAAATCCTAAAAACATGTCAGATTAAAAAACATTCGAGAAGAAATATAAAAAACAACAACAATGACATCACAGACGTCTGCTGTTCAGGTCTAAACTCAAGCTTCATGTCAGTAAAAACAGGAAATAATCTGAAAACAACGGAAACATCATCACCTGTGTTCATGGAGATTAATAATCTGCAGGTTTTATTAAAGAATATCTTCACTATCATATTATGAACCCGTTAAATACCTGTTTTATTTCCCAACATCAAAGTTTAAATGTTATTTTAAGGCCGTCGAGAATAAAACTCTTTCATAATTCACCTTTTCTTTTTCCTAAATGTAGTCCAGTTTCAAAATACTGGAATCAGCTGATAACGTCTGAACCACCAAACAACATTTTAATATTTTAATATTTGTGGTTCTGAGACTGATCTCAGTCCTGATTGTCAGTCACTCACAGTGAGACTGTAAAACCTGAGAACCATCCACACAGACTGATCTGAGAAGAGTTGAATGGTTTAAAGGAAGTTACCTGGACTTAAACTCAGAGCTTCTGTCACCCTGGGTTTCGTCTTCCAGGCAACATGGACCAAATCTCCCAGAATCCTCTGAGAGCCTTGGAGGGCGGGTTCTGAGCTATTGTTTGATCCCGAACCAGTTGTTCACGTGTCTGCAGCAACAGAACTGGAGAACTGGAGAACTGGTTTGAGACTGGTTTAGAACCAAGACCCGCCTTCGTCTGGGGGCGGGGTTATCGTTTGTGAACGCCACAATCAACATCAAATGTCTGGAAGCTGATGTGGACTCACAAAGCCAGGAGCCAGGAGAGTCAGCCGTCATTGTTGTCGTGTTTGGTGCTAGTGTTGCTGGGAAAGCCGATACGTAGAAGACATAAACACTGACTTAATGACGTGGGTTGATGGTGGCACTGTAACCATGGAAACGGGCTCTGAGAAGGTTCTAGGACCAGCTCAGAGAGGACAGACTGTGATCGACTAACAGTCGGACAGTTTCTTTGTGTTTGTGCGTTTTAAATAAAGTTTGATTCGACTAAAATCAAACCTTCTCGTAAACATCGACTTTGTTCAGAACCACCGTTCAGATTTCAAAAACGTAAACTTCACTTGGATCCAGATTTGTTGTCAGGCCCGTCAGGCGACGGGTGAGGTAGCGTCTGTTACCAAGGTAACTGTACAGCTGTTGAGCTCGGTCTCGGGGGCCACTGAAGGAGGGGGAGGGGTTTGCGGTCGCAGCGAGACAGTGGCGAGGAAGAGGACGATGCTGCTGACCATCATGCCGCCGCCACAGATGAAGAAGGCGACGTCGTACGACTGAGAGACGTCGTAGAAACAACCTGAAGAGGACGACAGGATGTTTATAATTATAATTACTATATATTATAAATACTTTGTTATTAGTACTTTTCAAAAGCAGGTTGCTAAGTGCCAAGAAGAAGCAGCTAGAAATAGAATAACACAATAAAGTAAGATTAAAGATACGGCAACAGCAAGTGAGGTTCAAATTTCAAACACAGACAGTAATTCTACAATCATGCAGTTTGAGCACTCAGACTCATCAGGGGTTAACGAGTCAGAGATAAAGTCAGAGGCCAAACCAATCGGAGACCTGCAGTTCCTCTGATGACCACTAGAGTCTGGCTCCAACAGTGAGTCAGTCCCCATAGACTCCCATGTTAAAACAAAACTCTTATAAGATCATGCAGCCATTTTTCCTGTTTGTTGTCTTGTCATATGATTAGATTAGATTAGATTAGATTAGATTCAACTTTATTGTCATTGCACAGAGTACACGTACTAAGACAACGAAATGCAGTTAGTATCTAACCAGAAGTGCAAAAGAGCAGTTAAAGTGCAAGTGTGTGCTGTACAGGTATGTAAAGTGAGGGTGTGCATAAGTAAAGTGGAGATGTGCATATGTAGGGTACAATAAATTACACTGTGAATTACAATGAATTACAATGATGAGGTAGCGAATTACAATGATGAGGTAGCGGGAATAAATACAGTGAGTGCTAGACAATGAGTAGAGACGGTTCAGAACAGTTCAGAATATGATGATGATGATGATGATGATGATGCAGTTTCAGGTGCACAGATTATGTAAATGATGAACTGTGGTGGCTGAGATGAGAGATCTGCAGCAGGTTTTTTTTTGGGGGGGGGGGGCTTTTTGTGCCTTTAATGGACAGGACAGTAGAGAGACAGGAAATGGGGAGGCAGAGAGAGGGGGAACGACACGCAGGAAAGGGCCGCCCGATGCGGGAGCCGAACCGGGGGCCAGCCGCAGCGAGGACTGCAGCCCCCACACACGGGGCGCCCGCGCAACCCACCGCGCCACGCGACGCCCTGCAGCAGGTTTTAAACCAGGTTCACCACAGACTGAAACTCACCTACGACAGGAGGACCCAGTGTGATCCCGACGCCTCCGAAGAACATGAGGATCCCATGAGCCTCGGCGAGCTTCTCCACGCCGACCACCTGACTGGTGACGTAGGGAGTCAGAGTCCAGTTCCCGCTCAGAAAACCCAAGACCAGCGACAGCACCTGGAGGTCCTGGTAGGAACTGCAGCAGAACGAGAACAGAGTTGAGATAGTTTCTGTGTGTTCTAGATCTCCATCAGAGCAAATCAGTTCCCATAATGCTTTGAGGGACGTAAACAGGAAGTATGATGTTGCTGTAAGGTTAGTAAGTTGGCTCACCTGTCAGACCAGATCATAACTTACATCAAACACTACAAACTTTGTCTTCTGACTCTAACCAGTAAGTTTCTTTAGAGTGGACAGCTGGGAGCGACCTACATGTCTCTTTCTGCTTTAAGAAATGAATGCTGCAGTTCATGGTCAACCCCTTACCCACTAGACCACCTGGACGCCCCATTTTACCTGTCCCACCTGTCCTCAGTGGTCTCACCTGGTGAAGGGGATGAGCAGCACGGCCAGCCCGCTCACTCCCACCGTCAGAGCATACAGGTGGACGCTGTCGACCCACGGCATGTCGGCCATGACGCCCAGACCCAGTCTCCCCACACCGCCCCCGATGGAGTAGAGGGAGACCAGGGAGATGGAGGCGACGCCCTCCGTCAGCCCAGAGCTCCGAGCCAGTTCCTGCAGGAAGAGCTGGGGGGGGGTGTTACCTGCTGGAGGAGGTACAGCTGAGCAGGACTGAGACATGCTTTGCTAACAACAGAAGAAGAAGAAGAGACTGACCGAGGCTGAAGAAGAAGAGACAGATGCACAGCGCCATGAGGACCCTGTCCTGAAGGAGAGACAACATGGAGGACAAACACCTGAGGAGAGAAAAGACAAAAGTCATGTGACCTGAGGGTGGAGGGACAGAGTCTGTCCACTGTCCCCTGATGACTGAGAACTGTTCATCGTTACACCTCGTTGTAATTGATCGTTTTGGATCAAGTTTAACAATTCATTTACAGTTTCAGTTTTTATCCCAGACGCTTCAGTTTAGTCACGGACGTTTGGATACCTCTGTGGGGATTTTTATAACTTGTATTGATTATTTAAGCAGATGGAGTTTGACACACAGAGACGTTTGATGAGGGGACGTACTGTTCACGCCCTGTAGACCATCAGGACGCCCTTCAGTCTTTGGAAGTTTAAAACCACAGGATGAATAAATAACTTCTTTATAGAGAGACTGTCTTTTAACAACAGCCATGTCTGGAAGTCTGATCTCAGAGCTGCTACAGACAGATGGACAAAAGTTATCCAACCGTCTGATCATTGATCAATCAGGTGATTAATCAGCCATCGTGACCTCAAACCACAACCGATCTGACAAAAACTCAGATTCTAGATTTAGACAGGAGCGACTGATTCAGTGTTGGTCTGTACAGAGTGTGTCCAGCTTCAGCTTTCACACTGGTTAACGCATGTGAGGCTTTAAGGCGTATTCCTAATCTGTGCTCCATGTCATCCTCTCTCTCTCTCTCTCTCTCTCTCTCTCTCTCTCTCTCTCAGTCCGAGCCAGGTTCATCACTTTCTAGTGTCCCCTGGAAACACTTCTCTTGTTTATTTGCATGTGTTCTCTGAAGTTGCAGTGTGTTGAGCTCTCAGGGCCACTGTAGAGATCCACCTGAGCTGCTTTGTCAAGGAGCGAATAGACGAGTCTGTGACACACTGATAATGATAATGATCTAGACCAGCTGATCTGCTGCGTCACACTCACTGGGTATATCCTCTCGTCTTGATCTTAATCGTCTTGATGAAGGATGAGCAGCTGAACAAACTCCTCCTCCTGACCGGCGGCTCCTTGGTTTCCGTGGTGATACCCTGATCTTTGTCTGAAGGCTTCTGATTGGACAGCTCCGCCTCCTCCTGAAGCTGCCGCTCTAAGATGGCAGCTCTCTGTTTGAGGTAGTATCTGGGTGGGGTCAGAGGGCGCATGGGGCCGGCGCACGCCACCACATTCAGCGCCAGCGCTCCGATTATGAGCAGGCAGCCGTCCAGACCCAGCAGCTCGATGAGCTCGCTCTGCAGCGTGGCGTACAGGAAACCGCCCACACTCGTACCTGAAGACGACAGACAGGTGACTGACAGCTGAACCACTCAGCTGATTGTGTCTTTTGATGTTTTAACGTATGAATGGAGGTTTGTGTTTTGTGACAGACAGGAAGTGACGTGGTCACATGACAGACCTACCTGAGCTCACTATTCCCAGAGCCAGGCCTCTCCTCTTGTCAAAGTACAGACAGGTGATGGTGAGGGTGGCAGCGTACAACAGACCGACACCGACACCTGAGCAACACACACGCACACACAGGCCAAGCCAATCAGAAGCCAGTATAAGCTAGAACATCACAGTCAGTATCTGTTATAGGCTGAGACACCTGCCAATCAAAGCAAGCCAGCACTGGTAATTATCATCGATTAATCTGCTGATTAGTTGTTCAGTTTGTCATTAAAACATCAGAAAATACCCGTCACATGATTCAGTTTACTGTCAAATCACAAGCTGAGAACTTTTTTAAACTCAGAATGACAATTCAAAACAAGATCAACTTTAATCAGATGTCAAATATAATTTGAAATAAAAGGAATAATTATTGTCAAATTCTGCACTCAGGCTGACCTCTGACCTCAGGAGGTGGAATATAATCCAATGAGATTAACTACACCAACGCATAAGAAAGAAGAAATGAGTTGACTCTTTTACTGGATCAGTTGATGTATTTCACTCTAGTGGTCTTTAGAGGAAGTGCAGCTTCTTCTAACTGAATCCCATATAAACCAGCAGTGATGGAGTCCTCTGAGCCTCAGCGCTCCACTGTCTCCAGAGACTATTAAAACACATCAGTGAGTCACACACATGGTCATCACGGTGAACACACATTCACTGTGGTTTACTTTGACTTAGTCCCTCACACACCTGCCTGCTGCCACAAACACTCACTACAGCACCAAATGTGCATTAATCTGCCGCTGAAAATAGTCCCCAACAGATGCTCTGTTCCTTCCTGTTTGTTTGAGAAAACTGTGAGCAGCTGTTTGAGGAAATTACTGAGACTTTTTAAAAGAAACTCTCGATGGTAAAAAAAAACATGGAATAACCCCGGACTGAACCTTGAATCTACGGAAGAGGATTGGGGCCAATTTAGGGAAATTAATTATACTGAACATTTATTGAACATTTTAAATGTTTCTATCGAGGAAAATATTATCGCGATAATTATTGCTATCGTTTTATTACCCAGCCTAACTATTCTAAGTTTTTATAGTAAATTAAATTCTCCCGGTTCAACGTAAACCTGATCATACAGAATGCCCAGGACTTCCTGATTGTCTAAACTATAAATGAGGGGTGGAGCCACAGCAGGTGAAGCAGCCTCAGTCTTACCGACCACGAGGCCATAGGAGAAGATGAGGAAGGGGACGTTGGGAGCAAAGGAACTGAGCATCAACCCCCCTGCCACCATCACACCACTGAAGACAGTGACAGGCCTAGCACCGAAATTCACCACACACACACTGCAGACAGGACCTGGGGGGGGTGCAGAAAGGAAAAGAAACATGAAGCTGAACACGTTTGTCAGACAGAAACAGTCTGTCCCTGAAGTGTCTTCACACTCTCTGGTTCCTCACCCACTATAAGTCCGACTCCGCCCACCAGCGAGCCCACCCAGGCCGTCACAGCCTTCCCCTCCCCGAAGGCAAGCAGCCACTCCGGGTAGAGGACGCCCACCGACTGAGGAGAGCCGTACCCCAGCAGCAGAGCCAGGAAGCCAGACGCCACTATCGCCCAGCCCCTACCCCCGTCCAGGGCCAGGGGCCGGGTAATCGGAGGGCCGGGGGCCGGTGGGGACATGGTGTGATGATGGGTGACCTGCGGGGAAGGTCTGCTGTGAGGGAGAGAGGAAGGATGGAGGTCGAGAGGAAAGGAGGTGAGGAGGGTAGGGTGGAGTAAGTTCAGGTCTGTGTTTTTATAAAGAATTGGAGACTCCAAATGAGAAGTCTTGAATTTACTATGAATTTATAAAATGCATGAAATTGTCAAAGATCTCATTTAAAACAAAATTATGAGATTACAGATTCAATTTATGAAAATCACGTCTCATCACCTTTAATCTGTTTCTTCTGCTCTTGGTGGAAACGTTTCCATTAAACTGATAAACACTCCACACAGTCTCCACACACACACACACACACACACACACACACACACACACACACACACACACACACACACACACACCCACACACACACACACACACACACACACACGCCGGTTTTCTTTGTCTCCACAGCTGTCTGGATCTGATGCTGTTTTACGACGTTTATTGACGTTTAACAGCTCATTTAAACCGCCACTACACCGCGTTACTTGTTTTCAAACTCTAACCGTCGAACATGTCTTCCTCTCTGTGTTGTTCGTCTGTCTCTGTCTGTCCTCTGTGTCTCTTGTCTGTCCTCTCTTTATCACACTCACAGTAGTAAAGTAGTTGAAACACAGTAGAACTAACTTTACCGGGCTCCTGCTGCAGCTCGCTGTCGGTGCGCTGCGCTCCGTCTTCCCACCGCTGCTGCCGCCGACTAGCCGTCTCAAACTCTGTCCATCTCCTTCGTCTTTTTCACGGTGTTTTCACGGCAGGACCGTCTCCAGCTCCGCCATCCTCCCGCTGTGCGAATGAGTGAACCGCTACAGGAAGCAGCAGCGGCTTTTGTGGCTCGCAAACCGGTTTGAAGCTGTTCCTGCTGGACCCGCTCCTTCGCTTCGTGTTGCTCCGGATGTTCGGGCTAGTCGCGCGGTTCGTGGACGCTTGTCGTCCTGTCGCCATGACGACCAACGTGAAGGGCCCTGAGGCATAAGTCTGCTGTTGGACCCCTGTTGCCCTTCACCTGTCAGGTAGGTGATTTTAATGTTTAAGATGGATGGCTTGGTTTAAACAGAGTCTAGATCACAGCTGCAGAATCAGACAGGTGTTCTGAGGAGATCCAGGTGACTGACGTCAGAGTCTATTTCTGACATCTATCGTACAGAGAGTTTCCCAGAGCTGAAGAGGATGGTCTGTTGTCTGTAAACTGTAAACAGATATGGAGGCTCAGACAGACAACTGCATGTTGTGTCCTGGACTTTTATTGTGTCCTCACAACACAGTACAACATACTGAAGGTTCCCACCAATGTATTTCATCTAGGAACCTTCAGCATGTTGTACACATAATGAAAGTCTGAGAAATGAAAGCAGCTCCCTGTCCAGTGCTTAATTTAACCTCCAGATAGGTTTACAATGTACCTGCTGATATTATTGTGTAACACACAGGAATGTGAGTTGCCTCTTTTTTGTTTTGTTATATAATTTTGTTTTGTATTGATGATTTAGATTTCTTTATAAATATAAAGTATATTTCCATGTATGTTCATGTTTATATTTTAATAATAATTCATAATTCATTGCTTCTAGTGGGTGAGTAAATAACTTTTATGGGAATACGGTAATTGTGACCATACAATATACCTGCATCAGTAAACTAGCCTCACCTGCCTCGGTAGCTAGCTGCGCTTACCTCAGGAAACTAGCTGCGCCTGCCTCTGTAATCTAGCTTCCCCTGCCTCGGGCAGCCAACTGCACCTGCCTTGGTAAGCTAGTTGCCCCTGCCTCTGTAAGATAGCTGCACCTGCCTCTGTAAGCTAGTTGCCCCTGCCTTGGTAAGCTAGCTGCACCGGCCCCTGTAAACTAGCCTTACCTGCCTGGGTAAGCTAGCTGCACCTGTCTCCATAAGCTAGCTGCACCTGCCTCTATAAACTAGTTTCCCCTGCTTTGGTAAGCTAGCTGCACCTGCCTCTGTGAGCTAGTTTCCCCGCCTCGGTAAGCTACCCCTATCTGCCTCGGTAAGATAGCTGTTAGAGATGATTAATGATTTGTCTGAACAAAATAATTCTAATGTCAGAGTTTGGAAGCTGAATCAGAGAGTAATAAATAATTATCAAGTATTTACATTCAAGTCTCACACATGGAAAATTAAAGAAAATTTTAAATGTCATGGGAAATATTGTGTTGTCCTGGAAGGTTTTTCAACATTCTCCTATTTTCAGGAAAAGTTATGTTCAGGATCATGTGGACGTTCAGGCTAGGGTTGAATTGTAGAAAGCTGCATCCTCCTCATTAAAAGCAAAAAAGTCATCTTCACAGCTGCTGGGGTCGATGATCTGTTGCTTCAGCGCTGCATCCTGCTCATCCCAGGGCAAAACGCTATGACACGCTCTGCTCTTCTTCTTTTAGCCACTGCAGTTTAAAATTCGTGACAGCGGCAAGGAGAACATCTTTGCTGTCCAACACAGAAGCAAATCGCGTCTTGATGTCCTGCAATATGGAAAGATTTGATAAGGTCGGCTTTGTAGCCTACAGTGTAACGTGCGCTGTAGTAATGCTATAAGTGCAGACTGCAGAGATCACAGGCCTACACTCAATTCATATTTCATATTTACCTTTGACTAAAGCAGCATATTTCCATAACACAGTGCAGCAGCACTGCATCATAATCAAGTGCGTAGTGGTTTTGGAGACATTCTACATGCGTAAATTATTTACAGAAAATAATAGAAAGTGCAAAGCCCTGTATCTCCATGAGGAGATGATGGGTGAATGGTGCCACAGGCAGAGAGGTGAGAAAGAGACATGCCTGTACAAAACTGACTGGATAATCAGACACGCAGGCCAATTCTTTCACATTGAAGGAGTTTTTTGCTGTTCAGAGGAAAAAACTCTCTCCCCGTCCCAAGGGGTGAGTGCAGTGTTCACAATACTCAAATGACCAGTGAATGTCCACACCAAAGAATTTAGTTAAATTTGTTTGGTGAATCTTTTCAACAAGCAATGAACAAATACAGAATTCTGGATCAGATGTGTATTTCCCTAACCAATAACATCCAAACATCTGAAGCTCTTTTGACAATGTGTCCTTAAAATAACAGTGAAATACTGCGTCACTGGCTTCAGACCACAGCGTGAGTGTATTTGCTGTTTAAACAATGTGGGTGCTGGAGGGGAAAATGAAAACTGTTGATTTCTCTTGTGATGGAAGATAGACTGAATGGGCCTGAAATCAGTTCTCACAGTGCCATCCATTGATAAAAGCAAGCAACAAACAGACCTGGAATCACACGACGGCACCAACAGTTGGATATGAACACATTCAACTGTGTTCTTATTAGTGCAGTTTTATCTTTTTGTGTTTAACTTTTGTAGCTTTTTTATGTGTTCGTTTCACAACAGAACAATAAACTTTGATTGATTTTCACTGTAAAAAGGAAGAGGTGTGCTAAACTGACACAAAGCAAAACTTTAAAATGTTGGCAAACACTGATAAACTAGTTTGTAGAAAACTGTCACTTACAAAAAGTACTTCAAATGCTGTGAAAAGCCAGTTTGGTGTTGTTGTGGTCAAAGTGTGAAACAAAGATGAAACATCTGATTTGACTCTGTGACTTTTCATTTATTAAGATTGAAAGTTTAAGATTCACGATTTAAGATTAAAATTGCATGAAGGGACTGTACAGCTGTTAATAATGGCTAAATACAACTATTTACACATAATCAGGAATTATCAGGTGACTTGTGTGTGACAAACGGTCCAATCAGATCTCCTGTCTGCTCTGCTTCAGCCTTAGAGCGTCAGTGAATCTCAACAGTCCTGAAGATGAAACTGATTCAGGTTTTTTCTCTTTACTGAACTTTGGATGAAGTTTATTAATCAAGAAATACGATTCATATCAATATATTAGAAAGCATCCTCCCTGTACTTTCAGTCTCTATACCTGTAAATCAGTGCTGTATCTTGGAGTGATTCTGGACTGCAACAACCTGTTGGTTGATCACATGAGACGGAGAAGAGATAAAACCACAGATGATTTTCTCCCTCAGTAGCTTTTCAGTGGTTTCAGTGATACTCTAGGGCTGAAACAATTCTTTGAGAAACATTGAAGAATCGTTTAATCCATATGAGGGCCCAGTACTCAACCTGTTTCGCACGAATGATTATTACTGTTGCACAACATGCTTCCGCCAGTTGCTTATGCAAAGTTATTTACCTACGCTGTTGATACGTGAGTGAAGGCACACCCGGCTTGATGGAGCGGTTTGGAAAATGGACAAAGACATCGAAACTAGCATGATGCAAGGCGAAGAGACAGGCCAGAGATGTAATGGCTAATTAAGAACCTGTGGTGGCTAGTTATGATGTACCTGTGTTAGCTAAGTTTTGCTCAAGAACATGCCCCTCTCTCTCTCTCACTCACTCGTACATACACGCACGCGCAACTGACATTTGGATGAGTGTTGCTACTGAGGCGTATCTTGGGTGATGTGTCACTTTCTTGGGGAGGATTGGGAGAAGGAGTCCAACAGCCTGACAATGATGCCTCTTGAGGAGACACACGCCTCAAAATATTGCAGAGTGGCTTGAGGATGTTATAGCCAAATTTGACATTCCACCAGAAAAAAATCAAAGCTGTTGTTAACGACAATGGTGCCAATGTCACAGCAGCAGTGAAGATTTTGGCAGAAAAGCATGAATGGGCATCAGTGCGATGTGCAGGCCACACCCGGAACTTGGTTGTGCAAAGCGCTCTGAAGAATCACCAAGCTATTTCCAAGTGTGTGGCTGCTGTAAGATGTCTAGTTGAGCACTCTAAGAAGAGTGAACTGGCCATCACCAAACTAAAGGATAAGCAGCTGCAAATGGGCACGCCGCAGAACATGCTGGTTCAAGACGTGAGTACTCGCTGGAACAGCACTTATCACGTTATCCAGGCTGCTGGAACAAAGGTGGCCAGTGACTGCTGCACTCTCAGACCCAGCAGTGACTCAAAGAGGAAAACACCACTACCTTGACCTCAAGCCTGAACAGTGGAACCTCACTGAGCAGCTGAGCCAGGCCCTTGAGCCATTTGAAGGAGCTACGGCCTTTCTCAGTGGACAACAATATGCACTCTCGGCACTTCCACAGCTAGTGCAAAGCCCTAAGAAGTCCATAGAGAGTTCTGCTTTTGAGACTGCACCAGTAAGGTCATTCCAGGTGCATGTGCCAGTACAGATCACAGCAAGATGGCAAGGACTATCAGTGTTCAGTCAAGCTGGCAAAGTCCCTGCTCTGTATTCCAGCAACATCCACGCCATTAGAGCGTCTTTTTTCTGCAGCAGGAAACATTGCATCAAAGCGCAGGGCAAGCCTCAGTTCTGAGCATATTGATATGCTCACTTTTCTTCATTGCAACCACCACATGCTCCTTTTAAAGACTTACACACACACGAATGCAGCCACACACAAATAGAAATAGAAATAGAAACACACACACACACACACACACACACACTATCTGCCTCATCCAGGAGAGACAATCCTTCCAGAACTTTTTTTGGCCTCTTAGAAATGCCACAAAGTGCTCCAAGAAGAGGTTTACATTATGTCTGAGGTGTAGTAAGGTTAAAACCTGTCGTTCTGACAGTTAAGCTGTACCAACTTACCAAGGCAATGCAATATTATTTTATTTATTTTTTAATTTATGCTTTATTTTTGCCTTGTGTGCATTTTTGAAATGCCTATTTGACAATTTGAAATGACTTACTTATTTTTCTATGTATTTGTTTTTGCATTTCAGAAAATGTCTTCTTTAAATCTGAGAATGTAATATGGCACTTAAATGCACTAAATGGGTTTATTTTTGACGGATAATATTGTATGCAATGTAAGCAATAAAATGTATATTTTTCTTAAAAGGAAACCAATTAGTTGTCCATTTTAAGAGATGTGTTCTTTTCTCTTTTTTATATTTTCTATTGCTCTTTAATAAGACAAAAGTAGTTCTTATCCGATTACTCGATTAATCGATAAAATAATCGGTAGATTACTCGATTGCTAAAATAATCGATAGCTGCAGCCCTACTCTAAAGGGAACGTCTGTGTGAAAATGTCAGATCCTTGACTGAGCTGATGGACAGTTGTGTGGTAGCTGAGAAATCTGGATGTGAGAGGAGCTCCTTGGAGGTCCTACTCTGCTGCCTGGACTCCTCCCTCTTCAGCCGGCCCTCCTTCAGCTCTGGAAACACCCAGGCTATAATCATCCAGCTCTATGGTCTCCTGTGGAACTGGCTTCTGCCCCCTGGTGGCCTGGAGAGACATGGCAGCACACAGATGTGAGTGTCTTCAGTTCAATATAAACAAGCTGAGTGCTTCATGTCAGACAGTCCGCTGGTCAACAAAGATGAGCTTGTACCTTAAGGATGAAACAGATGACAGCGATCACCAACAGCAGACTCAGCGGCAGGACGACCAGTCTGATGATTGGACCTGTTGGATCTGATGAAACACATTCAGTCATCACATGAGATCACATGACATCATGAGTACAACAGCTGCATTAAACAGAAACTCTGTGAACTCTGTTCACTGATGATGTTGGACAGACTCAACATGTGTATAGAGTTAGTTTGAAAGGATGAATTGAAGCCTGGTTATTTTCTCCTTCAGGCCTCTGTCTGGTTGAAATCTCACAAGTGAGTGTTAATCACCACAGACAGCTAAACAAACAGGCCCCTGAACCTTTACCAACTCACTTGAAAATCTTTAAAATGTTGGCTGCCCACATCGGACCCCATAACAATACAAATATATGAAGTAGTCCAGTGGCTAAATGGTTCAGCAGGCGACGACTTAAAAGTTCCTTCATTGGCTTATCAAAGTGACAATAAAAGGAGGTTTTAAACATTTTACTGCTGTTAAAGATCATTTTGTTTTAAGACATTTAAAAACAATATTTACATTTTTAATATGTATAAATTATATATATAATATAATAGTAATCCATTCATCTGTGCTTCAACTCACCTGAGACAGTGAGGGACAGCCAACGGCTCTCAGACGAGAAGTTATGAGAAAAAACGTGGATGTGATAAACACAGCTGTAGCTTCCCTGGTGGGCGGGCTCTGCAGCAGGAAACAGGAAGTGGCCGGAGTGATTGACAGCTGGCTGGGTGTAGTTCTGTGTTGTGCCGGAGGAGGTGAAAGTGAGCTGGAAGAAGCCTCCTGGGTACTGTGGCTGGATGGAGCAGCTGATGGTGAAGTTGGAGCCCATGAACACACCTGAATACCCCTGCTGCTGGGCCTTGGAGACCCTGTCCATGGAGGAGGACACAGAGATGATTGGTTGAACCAGCAGGTCTGTAAACAAAGAGATGATTGGCTAAATGTTAATAATCAGTTTCTAAATTGAGTTTGGTCCAGATGTCCTGCAGCTGTTTTCCAGAAGATCAGTGGTCAAACTGTCATTGTAGAGATAAAGAGACAAACTTGTTCTTCTTAATGTTTTATAGCATGTTACTGTGGAAGATTGGAAATATTACTCACTGATGGACTTACCTGAACAGGTGAGCTCCAGGGTGAAGACAGAGGAATCTAATGGTGATAAACACTCCCTCAGGGTGAATCCAGAGTGAACACAGTCAGTGTTGATCCTCCATAGTGGTCTCTTTAAGGACTTCCCTCTTCTTGTTGAAACAGCAGAGCCACAGTCCAGATCTCTACAGGCTACAGCTGATGCCTTCAGGGTCCAGTAATAGTCATCCACTGGTCTCCACTCTCCTCGTTTCACCTCCAGTGTACCTGCACAGCGACTGGCTCCTCCCACCAACCTGACAGGCTCTGAACACAAGGAAGAGAGTCATCAGTGAAACAAGTAAAGTGAGTTTGATTCAAACAGAAATGAAGCAAATAAAAGCTGCAGCTCCACTTCTACCTGAGCAGGTGAGTCCAACAGCTTTGCCAGGTGAGCAGGTGGCTCTAGCTGAGTCTGAGCTTCTACAGTCCAGGAGAGCAGACTCATGGCCTCCACACTGGAACTCTTTGGTCCACATTGGAGCCTCCACTTCTCCATAGAGCGCCCCCTGGAGGACTGAAGGAGCCCCACAGCCAAGCTCCCTACAGACCACCTCTGCATCCTGCTGGTCAAAGTCAACTTCACACACTGAGGACCACCACTGGTTAGACTTCACCTCCAGTCTGCCTGAACACTGACTGGTCCCATTCACCAGCCTGACAGAGTCTGCAGGGAGAGACAGAACATTTAACATTTCAAAGTGAACTTTATTTACTGTTTTATGAACTTTAAAATCATTAGCATATGTCCAGAAATGAGTTCCTTCTCTTTCACCAACACGACCATCAAAGCAACTCACAGACCAGGTCCTGAATCTCAAATAGGGTCAAAGTGTGAAAGTTGATTTCTTGAAGAAGAGACGATTATGGAACATGTTGAAATATTGAATGTTTTGTTTTTGGACCCTCAATCACTCAAATACAAAAAACATGTTACTGTACATTTCTGCCACAGTCACTGGGATAGAGGAAGAAAGACACTAAACATCACTGTCACAGATGATGTCACTGATGGACTTACCTGAACAGGTGAGCTCCAGGGTGAAGACAGAGGAATCTAATGGTGATAAACACTCCCTCAGGGTGAATCCAGAGTGAACACAGTCAGTGTTGATCCTCCATAGTGGTCTCTTTAAGGACTTCCCTCTTCTTGTTGAAACAGCAGAGCCACAGTCCAGATCTCTACAGGCTACAGCTGATGCCTTCAGGGTCCAGTAATAGTCATCCACTGGTCTCCACTCTCCTCGTTTCACCTCCAGTGTACCTGCACAGCGACTGGCTCCTCCCACCAACCTGACAGGCTCTGAACACAAGGAAGAGAGTCATCAGTGAAACAAGTAAAGTGAGTTTGATTCAAACAGAAATGAAGCAAATAAAAGCTGCAGCTCCACTTCTACCTGAGCAGGTGAGTCCAACAGCTTTGCCAGGTGAGCAGGTGGCTCTAGCTGAGTCTGAGCTTCTACAGTCCAGGAGAGCAGACTCATGGCCTCCACACTGGAACTCTTTGGTCCACATTGGAGCCTCCACTTCTCCATAGAGCGCCCCCTGGAGGACTGAAGGAGCCCCACAGCCAAGCTCCCTACAGACCACCTCTGCATCCTGCTGGTCAAAGTCAACTTCACACACTGAGGACCACCACTGGTTAGACTTCACCTCCAGTCTGCCTGAACACTGACTGGTCCCATTCACCAGCCTGACAGAGTCTGCAGGGAGAGACAGAACATTTAACATTTCAAAGTGAACTTTATTTACTGTTTTATGAACTTTAAAATCATTAGCATATGTCCAGAAATGAGTTCCTTCTCTTTCACCAACACGACCATCAAAGCAACTCACAGACCAGGTCCTGAATCTCAAATAGGGTCAAAGTGTGAAAGTTGATTTCTTGAAGAAGAGACGATTATGGAACATGTTGAAATATTGAATGTTTTGTTTTTGGACCCTCAATCACTCAAATACAAAAAACATGTTACTGTACATTTCTGCCACAGTCACTGGGATAGAGGAAGAAAGACACTAAACATCACTGTCACAGATGATGTCACTGATGGACTTACCTGAACAGGTGAGCTCCAGGGTGGAGGAAGAGGAATCTGATGATAAACACTCCCTCAGGGTGAATCCAGAGTGAACACAGTCAGTGTTGATCCTCCATAGAGGTCTCTTTGAGGACTCCCCTCTTCTTGTTGAAACAGCAGAGCCACAGTCCAGATCTCTACAGGCTACAGCTGATGCCTTCAGGGTCCAGTAATAGTCATCCACTGGTCCCCACTCTCCTCGTTTCACCTCCAGTGTACCTGCACAGCGACTGGCTCCTCCCACCAACCTGACAGGCTCTGAACACAAGGAAGAGAGTCATCAGTGAAACAAGTAAAGTGAGTTTGATTCAAACAGAAATGAAGCAAATAAAAGCTGCAGCCCCACTTCTACCTGAGCAGGTGAGTCCAACAGCTTTGCCAGGTGAGCAGGTGGCTCTAGCTGAGTCTGAGCTTCTACAGTCCAGGAGAGCAGACTCATGGCCTCCACACTGGAACTCTTTGGTCCACATTGGAGCCTCCACTTCTCCATAGAGCGCCCCCTGGAGGACTGAAGGAGCCCCACAGCCAAGCTCCCTACAGACCACCTCTGCATCCTGCTGGTCAAAGTCAACTTCACACACTGAGGACCACCACTGGTTAGACTTCACCTCCAGTCTGCCTGAACACTGACTGGCTCCTCCCACCAGCCTGACAGAGTCTGCAGAGAGAGAGACCTCATTAAAACCCTGACACAACAAATATTATTCCAGCAGTTATTTGTAGGGTATGAAGATTTATTTCTTTGGCACCATGTTGTGGTGGCATGAAGAATGACACTATGGTACAAATGCATGGTAAAGAATAAAAACCAAACCTACCTAAGCTATTGGTGATGTTACAGAGGTTGATGGTGAGGTTGCTGAAGATGTCCTGGAGTAATGAGACGTCCTTGACATAGTACATGTGAGATTCTTTGGAATCAGAGGCCATGGACCTCAGCTCACTCTCGTCAGCATCATTCACACCTGAAAGAATAATAAAGGAGTTTTAAATCAAAACGCAACTGGACTTGATTATTTGTCTGGGAAGACGTTTCACCTCTCATTCAAGAGGCTTCATCAGTTCGTGTACGCATCTGACCAGGCTGGGACTGGTCTAACTTACTGGTGTGGAGACCCAAGTATTTAACCTCTTGTGGGCGTTCACAAGGCTGATGATGTCATTGGTTTCTGTTTGTGCTCCAAGTGTCAACGACAGTCGTTTGCACGACCGTTGTTGGTGGGAAGTTGGTTTCGACTTCCTTAGTGCTCTATTGTGTTATAACGACAGTCGTTGGAGTCACTTGGGATCAATGACAGTCGTTGGCATGACTATCGTTGGTGGAAAGTTGGTTTCGACTTCGTTAGTTCTCTACAACAGTCGTTGGAGTCATTTGCCACTTGTGAACAGTTGTTATTCTTTGAGGCTAGATTGTTGAATCTCCTGGGAAGGGATGAAAGGGCAGCATTGTAACTTGGAGATAGACAATGCTGCAATGCAATTATTTAGTACATATGCAGGGAATCAATAAAGTTCTTATGGAGTGTCTATATGTTAGAGCAAAGGATTATGGGAATAAGAGAGTAACAACTTTGGGTAAAATGTGGAAACAGTGTTGATAACAGTGAAATTATCTAAAGTATATTTTTAAAGTTATGAAATATTTCTTTAAAACATGACAGAGTAAAAAGACTTTAATATGGAGTACTATTGTATACACACTTAAGTTATTTTAGTTATTTTTTTCTACAAAACACTGATCACTAACAGCTTCACTTCCTCCACTAATGAACCTAAAAAGCAGCATTGTAACTTGGAGATAGACAATGCTGCCCTTTCATCCCTTCCCAGGAGATTCAACAATCTATCCTCAAAGAAAACTGTTCACAAGTGGCAAATGACTCCAACGACTGTCGTAGAGAACTAACAAAGTCGAAACCAACTTTCCACCAACGATAGTCATGCCAACGACTGTCATTGATCCCAAGTGACTCCAACGACTGTCGTTATAACACAATAGAGCACTAAGGAAGTCGAAACCAACTTCCCACCAACAACGGTCGTGCAAACGACTGTCGTTGACACTTGGAGCACAAACAGAAACCAATGACATCATCAGCCTTGTGAACGCCCACAAGAGGTTAAATACTTGGGTCTCCACACCAGTAAGTTAGACCAGTCCCAGCCTGGTCAGATGTGTACACGAACCGATGAAGCCTCTAGCCTTTAGGATACCATGACCTGGACAAATGAGAATATGCACAGGCTGAAAGAATAATGTTGTGTTAATACTGTCTCTCAACAATGAGACCCAAACAAAAAAACTGTTTGGTTGGCAAAGTAAGAGAACTGTGTTTTCCTGAAGCCTGAACTAAACCATGGCTAACCTTACTGATTGTTAATCTAATGAATTAGAAATCATGTACTTTACTTTCCTGCTGACTCTGTGCTAAAGCAAGTCCATGTTTTCATCTGGACCTTCTTCCTTCAGGGCAGCAGCCTGGTTTTAGTTCAGTAAGTCCACTGTTAAAATCAACTTCCAAAGACCTGGAACATGCTTCACTTGATTTTCATGGCATGAAACATTAACTGACACAAATGACAAATGTAGTACTTTGTGTCCCTCACAGGGTTAGCTAGCTAAAGTTTTCATTGTGACAAACAGGAAGTAGCGTGTTCAATTCATCTCAATGTGTTTAATTCTTTTGTGGTAAAGTGTTGTAGTTTCAGAGCTTTTCAGAACTCATCCTCACTTTAACTTTTCTGAGGCTCTGCTGTTTTCTCACTATTCAAACTAAGTCAATCACCAATAGTGTAGATCTCAATGCCGTCGTCTTTCAGGTTCTGTGAGGGGAGGTTTGCGTCTTCCCTGGACTTTGCACCGGTGATCAGGACAAGTATTCTTTTAGAGTCTGGACGCATTCCCACATGAGGTTTAAAGAACCTCTGGTTGATGTAGTTCAGAGCCCAACCTGTATGACAGTAATAAACAGACAACAAGAGACTTGGCTTTTCAGTTGTGAAGTTGAGGAGTTGATGCAGTTTCTAACAACTGTGTTAGAAAATATCTGGTTGACAGAAGCCTGTGGATATAAAAACTGATGGATGGAAGTGAACTACAACTCCCAAGATGCAATGCAGTAAGAAATAGCCAATCACGGACCTTAAACTTCTGTAGTGAGCTGCTTCCATCATTACAATTATTAATGACAGGCAGCACTTTAGATTCCAGTCTGCAAGTTACAGTCTAATTATTTAGTACATATGCAGGGAATCAATAAAGTTCTTACGGAGTGTCTATATGTTAGAGCAAAGGATTATGGGAATAAGAGAGTAACAACTTTGGGTAAAATGTGGAAACAGTGTTGATAACAGTGAAATTATCTAAAGTATATTTTTAAAGTTATGAAATAATTCTTTAAAACATGACAGAGTAAAAAGACTTTAATATGGAGTACTATTGTATACACACTTAAGTTATTTTAGTTATTTTTTTCTACAAAACACTGATCACTAACAGCTTCACTTCCTCCACTAATGAACCTAAAAACTCAAAGTTCCTATATTTGGATCCTTTGGGACCAGATCCAACTGGAGCCTCTGGTTCCACAGTCCGTCCCTGGTGTGAACGTGGTGTGGACTGAACAACATAATGGTAAATCACCTGTGCTGGTGGTTGTTCTTCCTGCATATCTCAGGTTGGGTATGGCGCTCAGCAGGGATTGTTTGGTTTGGTGGGTGTTCAGGTCCCACACAGTGTTTTGGGTGTTCCTATACCAACTCAGACCTGCAGAGAACAGAGGACACGTTGATCCAGCATCATTCATATTATTATTATTATTATTATTATTATTATTATTATTATTATTATTATTATTGTTATTATTATTATTATTATTATTATTATTATTATTATTATTGTCATTATTATTTTCTGGTTGTCATTATCGTTGTCTCATGTAAATGTCAAAATGTACATCTGTCTGAAGAGTGCTTCATAATAAAAGCTTGAGGAGAATAATAAAAGAAAAGCAATGAGATTTATAAAACAGACTTAGAGGAAAATCAATAAATAAGTTGAGAGGCTGATACAGACATAAACAGATGAAGAAAACAAAGATCAGTTTAAAAGCAGAGGAACATGGGACAGAAGGGAAACGATGAGGAAGTGAAGGGACAGAGAGAGAGAGATGTACATGTAAATGAATGATGGTTTGTGTGACAGTTCAAACAGCTAGCATCTAGATATAAACCAGTACAGAGCAGGGCCAGACAGACAAAGCCACTGTCTGAACCTCCGAATATCAAAGAAATAAAGTCAAATACAATATACACTGTTGTATTTCTTTTTCAGTGTTCATCCTTTGGCCTGTTGTCTTTCCAGTCTGCTGCTGCTAACGATGGAGTTTATTACAGAAACACTCAAACTGGATCAATTTATCTCCGTCACCGCTTTTAACTTACTCATGAATATTTTAATGATACACTGAAAACAGGTACTGAAAAATATTCAATGTCTTCCTTCAAAGTCACTTCACACATCAATACTCTCCTCTTGGTTTTACTACAACACGTTATTTGGAAAAATGTTGTTTTACATAATTTGGGGGATTTTTTATTTGGAATAATTCAATGACTTCACTCTTATGATCTTTTATTTTGAAAATGTCTTGATGTTTTTAATGGTCTGAATGTTTTTTAAGATAAAGTGTGGTGGCAAGAAATTCACATCCATCACCAGGAGACCCCTGATTGTTAAATCACACCACCTGGTTTTTAAAGACTTTCATTGTAATTCCTTTAAACCTTGGAAGAAGGTCTCTTATTTGTTTTCCACAAACCAGAACTTTGGTTCAGACTTCTTTCATTAACTAAATGTTGTAGTATAACCAACAGGACCTGTGCTTATGAATACTCATGGAACAGCAGTAGTAACAGTACTGAGAGAGTAGTATGAATAGTAGTAATAGTAAAAATATTACCAATCTGGACTCTGTCTGGGCCGATGTCAAAGACTCTGACGATGTCAGCAACAAAGGAACGGACGGTTTCAAAGTTGATCTCGCTGAAGGGTTCCAACACCAACAGCATGATGTCAGCTTTGGCTGTGGTTCCACACTGAGCACCTGGAAGAAAAACAGGATTATGGGATACAATAAACAACTAAACACAGACAACTAAGAGTCTACGCATACACATGATGTAAACGCAACGATTGTGACCATCATCACCACCACCACCCACTTCCTGTTTAACAGTGAAGAAAAGAGATGATAGAAACAGAAGCAAAACAAGAGTTACCATTGGTGTTCAGGCCGTGGAGAGGAAGACACAGGAAGCTCTCAATGAATGAACGACAGGCACACAGACAGGGCCAGTAAAGAGACAGACAGGGCCAGTAAAGGCTTGATGGATGTTTTGGCGGTCCACAAGCCCAGTGATGCAGCGGCCCACCAGGATTTCTCCAGGTTTGATGCTGAACTCACAACGTTTCTGTTAATGCTAACGTTAGCTATGTAGTGATAGCTTATAAAGGTAGCTAATTGCATAATATTATCTTAATATGTTAGCTACGATAGCTGGTTGTTGATACTGGGTTCAGACCAGTTAGAATAGCTGTATATGACTAGCTCAGTTAGCTCGTCATCTAGCTATCTACCAAATTGAGGTAATTTATGTAGCAGACAAAGCAGATGTACTGGATCTCTACAGCTGATAACAACACAAACCGAACCAACAAACAATTTAAATGGTGTAGATGTATGGTTTAGCTGTGGCTGTATAACATAAACTTTGAGTATTCTTGCTCTGCCGTCAGCTAGTTGTTTTTTGTATAATTGATGATCGTAAAGTCAGACTGTTTGGACCCAGTGGTGGATCGATGGGTTCACCATATTACAATGACTTTACATCACAGTTGTGAGATGAGGTAAGACTGGAAGGTTGGAAAGTTCACTACACACTGTGAGGACACTGGAAGCTTTATTAAGTGTCTAACTGTCCACAGTCATCAGCATTTACCATCGCTGCATTCTGACTGTGCATTTCTTTGTTTATTACGATAGGAGTGGACACCCCAACTCTCTGGTAATATGCTGCCCCCTATCTGTTTGGAGTATGAATTCAACAGTTGGCCAATTCTTACACTTTGCTCCTTTAAAGTTAAGGATGGAGAAGATGGTGGTTTGGGTCAAAACAAATCCTCAGCTTTGTCGTCAGGTTTAAAAGAAACCAACTCTGACTGTTAGTAGGAAACAGGATGTGAACAAAAGTCTGTGGAGTCAAAGTTAGACACTTTGTTGACTCATCCGTCCCCCACCACCTTCATTTGTCTTCATATCTTCTCTGTTTACCTGTGGAGCTGTAGGTTTGTTCAGCCCGGAGTCCTGAGGAGAAAATCAGAACAGAAACATCCAACAAGTGAATATCTGAGATCTGTGAACGTTCATTGGACATGTTTATATTTTTGGTGAATGCTGAACCGAACGAATCAGTTTACAAACGATGAACGTGAACACTCACATTTTATGATAGTTTTACGGCACGCCGCATAACGTCTCCATAGACAAGGCCCAGCGTGGCGGGTGCTAGCAGTACAGGTGGTACAGGCGCATCTGCTACTGCTGAAGCCAGTTTGTTTGAGCATTTGAAGCAGTTTTATGAACAAACAGGTGAAGACTCAGACAGATCATATTTATAAATGGATTGTAAATGGAACTAATGTCTGTGTCAGTGGTATACAATAATTCATTTAGTTTGGGAGTGGCAATGATTTGGGGCTGGTGATAGATGGTAGAAGGAGGTTGAAAAAGAATATCGGGCTTTATTATATTTTAATGTGAACTAGTTCATTTTCATCTGTGTGAACTGAATTTTGAACTAGTTCATTTTAAGTGTGGCGCAACACTGCCCATCACATCCATCACAGCAGCTTCAGTCCCCAGAACCCCTCCATACTCCGTCCATCTGGTCTTTATCTCTCATTATGAACAGGATGGTGGTAGTCTTTCTAATTTGGGCTTCAGCTGTTCTATGTTGATTTATTTTTTCATTATATTTTATTGTTTTTATGTTCTGGTCTATTGATTGTTGCTGTTCATTGTCATCAGTGTATGAAATATATGAAACACTCAAAACATATATTACATTCAATCATTTCCCTCTCATGCAGACGTCTCCTACTACAACAACATTTCATTCATAAAAGAACCAAAGTTCTGGTTTGTGGAACGCAGGAGAGAAGAAGAAGAGACCGTCTTACAAGGTTTAAAGGAATTAAAATTAAAGTCTTTAAAAACCAAGTGGTTTCATATCAATAGATCAATTGATCGACCGACCAACCAACAAATCAATCGATCAGCCAACCACTCAGTCAATAAATGTCAATCAATCAGACTTTATTTGTATAGCACCTTTCATACAAACAATTTACCACAAAGTGCTAGAGTAAAAGCACTAAAAAACAACACACAAACATACTCATACATACACACACAAACACACACACCAACATACAGACACAAACAAGCCAAGACTCTACACTCCGTTTTACTTCAGTGTTTTCCTCTGTGGTTCTGAATGTGTCTCACATCCATCATTAAAGGAGAGTCCTACCTGAGCTCCACAGCAGCAGCAGCACCATCAGCAGGTGATCCATGTCCAGGTAGACGTCTGTCTCTGTCTCCGTTTCTTCTCTGACTGCTGGACTTGTCCTCTCCTCCTCCGTTAACAACACGTTATGTTTCCATCTTTTATCTCCTCATCAGCTTCATATCATCAGTGCATTTGCTCTGACATCATATGACTTGCGTTTTCATGATGATGGTATCATAAAAATATATCCGGTTTTATCAAAGCTTTATCTCAATTTAAGTCACATAGTCACACTGTCTCATGTCACATATTTACACAAAGTTCTGTCCTTTACTGCCTTTTATGAGAATTCTAACTAAAAGAAATCTAAATCTAAAAGAATGAAGTCTGTTTTTATTTACCTAAAAACCCACAGAGCCTACTGTCAGGCAGGGACTCAAGGCAGGACTCAGACGCAGAGAATAAGTAAACAATGGGCTTTATTGAAATCACCAGAGACCTCAGACAGAGTGAAAAACAAATGGTTATGAAAAAGACTAGTCATTAAACTCTGAAACCTGAGAAAACAGAAACAATCCAGGAGGAGGAAAAAGCTCTAATCAAAAGAAACAAGAGGTAAACTCAAAACGCTCCATAAGGAGGAAAAACCTGACTAAATAAAAAATAAACCAAAATAATCTACTCACGCCACCAAGCGGAGGATCTAGGATAATAAATAATAACTTACACAAAATAAAAATCACTCATAACAAGGAAAAACAAAGGGCTATGGGCATTAGCTAAGGCAAGAAATTACAAACAAAAACTCACTCTTCACGAGGAACAAACGGCTTCCTTCGAAGGACACTATGGCTGTGGACATGGACAAATGCTCAGGTGCAGGTCAAGGATGAAGACACTCTGGCACAAGACAAGGGGAACACAGACTATTTAAACACATGGAGGGAAATAGGGGACAGGTGGAAACACTTAGGGAATCAGACTGAGACACATGAGGAAGGCCAAGTGACCTGAAACAAGAGGAGAGTTACTTTTCAAAATAACACAGGAAATGACAGGACAAAATAAAACCAGGACAAGATAACCTCACCACGGTGTGACACCTACAACACGAGCTGCTGCTGGTCTGTGAGCTGATAAAACATGGAACTGTTTGCGTTGGAATCACTTTGCTCCCTTCTGGTCCCGGTGGACCACAGGGACCAGAGCCAGAGTCTGACCAAACCCTCCAACCATTAACCCCAGCCAACATTTATTAAGGTGTTTAAAGTAAGAGCTGGCTGTGGTCGGGTCAGTGATGGTTGATTAAGTATGATTGGCTGTTGCTTCTCTGATCAGTCGTGATCAGTTGAGAGTTGGGTCACTGATAAATGACTGTCTTACTCTGACGTTGGTGCTCTACACACTTTCTGACAAGTTGGTTCAGTATGAGTCCTGGCCTCAGATATGATCCTAAAATACTTTTATTTTAACTCCACAAACAGAAATATTAAACACATACATACCTGCATCTCCACCACACCTGTAACACTACTCTGCCCTGCCCCTCCCCCCTTCAGGGGTTCAGCCGCTGCCTGTTGCTCTCTAGATGATAGATGTCGGACCACTGTGGTTTCAGTGTGACGGACGTGATAACATCAGCTGTTTGAAAACGTGGTTTAATGAGCTGCACACGATGTCGCAATGTCACCGCTCATGAAACCACCATGAGGTACAACATCAGGGTCAGGGGTCGGTTTTATCAACTCTAAATTTCTTCTGTGTGTGTGTGTGTGTGTGTGTGTGGGGGGGGGGGCACATGGGTAAGTCAGAGTAAACATTACTTTCATACTGGAGGTAAAGCTTCATAAATCACACACACACACACGTATATATATTCACGATTCTTTTTGTTTTTATTTTGAAGTGTTAAAATCGTCGAATTAAAACTCCGGGAAACTCATTGGTCGGCCATTGAAGGGCGGGACCAGAGTCCTTGACGACAGAGGGGTCGAAGGTCATCTGAACCCGGAACATCAACAAAGCAAACAAAGGCGGCGGGAGAGAAGTTAAAGTCCGTCAGTTTCTCCTCCGGTTCCCGCCGACATGTTCTCCGTTTTACTGCCCACTAACAGTTTGCTGGTGGCGGCTCTCAGTCTGCTCCTGACCCGCCTGTCCAGCTCCTCTCTGTGGGTCCCGGACATCCCGCACATCGCCACTTATTTCGGGACCAAGACCCGGTACGAGGAGGTGAACCCGCACCTGCTGCGGGACCTGACCTCCGTCAACACGTCTGTCCTCAAACCTCCGCCCAACGAGCGCTGCTCCTCGGTCCACCTGACCGCCGTCATCAGGCACGGCAGCCGGTACCCGACCGTCAAGAACATCCGCAGGATCCAGAAACTGAGCGAGCTGGTCCGGAGGGAAGCTTCCAGAGGCTCCGGGGGCCCCGAGGACTGGCTGCGGGAGATCCAGAGCCGCTGGGACATGTGGTACACCGAGGACATGGACGGTGAGACACAGTTTGAATATAATAAATCAAATGTAATAAGTCAGATAGGTGCAGTGTGTCTGAAAATATTTCTGTAAATTTCTATAATAATAATAAAATAACAAATGATATTATTCCTGAAAACAAACCGTTAATCCTGCAGTATAAATCCTTAAATATTCTGATAATATTCCTGTTGATCCGCCAAAATATTACTGAAAATATTCTTGTAACATCACTGCCATATTTCTGAAAAAAGTCAGGTAATCATTTGCTTGTGGAATTTATTGTCAACAAATGTGGAAATCTGCCTTTGGCTTCACAGGCTGGTTAAAACTAACAATAAATACAATAATAAAATGAGAACAACATGCTGACAACAAGCGACAATAACAGACATGATTTCAGTGTGAATGATGCTGATGAGTTCAACAAGTTATTTCAGTTCATTCTGAAAATATCTACAAAAATATTCCAGTTAAACATCTTGAATATTCCTCTGAAAATACAGAAAAATTAAAAACAATCTGAAAACTTTCTGGGTAATCTGGTGGGATATTCCCGGAATAGGAGAAAGATAAACTGCTCAGATTGTTGTCATATTAAATGTATTTGCTGTGCTCAGGTCAGCTGGTGATGAAGGGCAGGGAAGACCTGCGTCACCTGGCGAGGCGTCTGGCCGCCGTGTTTCCGGCCCTGCTGTCGGAGGAGAACCTGAGGAGGAGGAGGATCAGCTTCATCACCAGCTCCAAGCATCGCTGTGTGAGCAGCGTGGAGGCGTTTCAGGAGGGACTGCAGCAGCACTGGGGGCTCCAGGGTGAGACTCACAGATAGGTTGATCTGTGATGATGTGATCAAGTCGTTACTCAAGACGTCACACAGATGGTCAGTATTTAATAATGAGTGGAGGAGGAGCTGATTCTAATCAGGAAGTCACACTGAGATCAGACATGATGTAAACACTCTCCGCCCACATGTCACAGTTGCTCCTCCCCCTTCTCTGGAGGCTATTCACTGGCATGATGGGAGATGTAGTTGAACTCTCTCTCTGCAGAGGTGGCGTACAGCCACCGGGTGGACGACGAGCTGATGCGTTTCTTCGAGCGTTGCCGTGGTTACGTGGAGGGTGTGGAGAAGAACCGCACGGCACTGAGGGAGGTGGAGAGGTTCAAACACGGCGAGGAGATGGAGGGAGTGAGGAGGAGGATGGCCGAGAGACTGGGCCTTCCTCACCACCGCCTCACAGCGGGTCAGACACAAACACACGCACACACACACACACGCACAGTGTCAGCTGTGAGGAGCTGATGAAGTGTGTCCCTCTCTGTCTCCTGTAGATCTGGTTGAAGCAGCGTTCTTCTTGTGTTCCTACGAGCTGTCCATCAAGTCTCTTCACTCTCCGTGGTGTTTCCTGTTCGACGAGAACGACGCCAAGGTACAAACACAATCCTCCAGAGACATCACATGAGATAAGTGTGCGGGAGGGGCGTTACCGTGGTGTTGCCATGGTTTCAGGTCACCTGTGTGTCTCCTCTCTGCAGGTGTTGGAATACAAGTCGGACCTGAAGCAGTACTGGAAGCGTTCCCATGGTCATGTGATCAGCGGTCTGTCTAGCTGTCCTCTGTTCCACCACGTCTTCAGGACGCTGGACAAAGCCGGACGTCCCCGCAGGTCTGACACCTGGTCTACGTCAAGTTTACACTCACACCTTTTCTGTGATGACATCATACGTAACTGTTGTGTCCCTCAGGTCCACCGAGGCATCCCCTGAGCCCGCCTCCATCCTGCTGGGTCACGCCGAGACGCTCCTCCCCCTCCTCTCTCTGCTGGGACTCTACAAGGACCAGACTCCGCCCACTGCCGACAACTACCACACGCAGCACGGTACGAAGGCCCGCCCCCATCCTCACATCCAATTGGAGATGAGGACATGATGTGAGGTCCAGGTGGACGCATGGATCCAGGACTTCACTGTGACCTCAGACCTTCTCCTGTCCTGTCGTGTTTTCACAGGTAGAAGTTTCCGGAGCGGCCGGATCGTCCCGTACGCCGCCAACCTGCTCTTCGTCCTGTACGACTGTCAGCGCGGACCCCGCCTGCAGCTGCTCATCAACGAGTCTCCAGTTCGATTCCCGGGGCTGGAGGCTGAGGACGCCCCGCTGTACCGGGACGTCCGCGCCACATACCGCCACCTGCTGGACGGCTGCGACTTCAACAGGGAGTGCGAGGGCCGGACTGGAGGCCGAGGACCCAACACTGAACTCTGAGAGACCTGATGCAGTAGAACCACAGAGTCCAGTCCAGAACCTGAATCCTCCTTCTCCACACCTTCAAATGTTACCTGACAGTGAATCGACTCATCGCTAAACCCCGCCCTCAAACACCAATGGTCCAATTGCAGCTCATCAGCAGCAACAGGTGTTCAGACTCGCTGAGTTTAAACCAGTTGGACTAAACTAACTAGTTGTTCAGATCAGTCTGACAATGAACCTGACATCACACTCAGCATTAGCTTAGCTTAGCATAGCTGAGCTGTGATCCACAGCTCGGTTACATTTCATTGTGTTATTGAAGCTGCTGTGACACAATAATAATAACAATAACAATAACAACAATAAGAATAATAATAAATGATGGCAGGTGAGTAAGTTTGCTCTTGCAGCTTCTCACCACGTTTTTACCTGTGATTCTAAAATCAAACCAAAATATTTCAGTAATGAAACAAGTTCAAAACATCAACACTAAAAACATCGACAGTAAATGTCACTGATGAAAATAAAAACTAAAGTTTTCTAAACTTGACGACTCAGACTAGTCCTAGGTCACATCCTAAAAAATATTAATATTAAATATTAGTTATGGCTAAAAAGTGTTTTCTGAGGTCATTGTGACCTTTGACCACTAAACTCTAATCACATCATCCTTGAGTCCAGGTGAATTTTTGTGCCAAATTTGAAGAAAGTCTGTCAATCGCTGGGTGGAGGAATAAAAAAATAACACTTACTTAATCCCAAAGGAAAATTAGAGAATTAAAATGAGGTAAAATGTACTAAAACAGCATCTTAACAGGATCAATATTAAATTAAATCCATATTTGAATAAATATGAGCTAAAGGATTGAATGAATTATTAATAAATTCATAAATTTTTCTTTCAAAATTATCATTTTAAAGTCTGTTTTTATATTTCACAGATATTTTTCCTCCATGACATTAACATTGATTTGAAACTTTGTGGCTGAACTGAAGCTGAACTTTAACCTGGAGTCACGTCAGCTGCGAGGAGCGAGGCTGAGGAGGCTGAACCTTCCTCACATCCTGTTCTCCACCGGGCTTTTCTTCTTCTTCTGTGGTTTAATGGCAGCAGCTGGAGGACCGGCTCCACCTACTGCTTATGGAGGGAAATGGGACTGAAGCTTCTGGAGGTCCTGGTTCTGATTGGAGTTCTTCTCTGAAAGAATCAGTTTCTAAGGTTTTAGGTGAACTGGCCCTTTAATCTTCAGAGGGAAATCTTTGACTTTTATTTTGACAGGTTGATTCAGGATCGTGGAACTTTATGTTTATTTATTCAGATTTTTATGATCATGTGGGTTGGCTTGATTTTCTACTGATTTTGGTTTGTGGGTTAGACTGAGGGAGGATTTCACAATAAAAGCTCTGGTTACTCTGCAGGACATCTGCAGTGTTTGAAGCTGAGTTTGTGTCTTTAAGGTAAATTTGTTTGTCTGTTTTCTGTCTTTGTGCCTGAATAAGTTTAAAATGACAGTTCAGCTTTTTCTGAGGTTGTTGATGTTAAAACTTGGTGCTTTTTGTTTTTATTTCCTGTGGAATTATTCCTGATGAGTGCCAAATGTTTCAAATTAAAAGCTTTAATAAAGGTTTTTCAGTCATAACAGACGGTCTGTCTTTATTTGACTTTATTTACTGAAATTTAACTTTCCAGCAGGTCGGTCAATTTTATCTTGCACAAAAAAAAAAAATCAAACTATCTCCAAAATGACTGTCATGTATCAGCACATGACATATTTTTAATATAGGAATCAAATCTTCAGAAAAATGCATTTTCACCACTTTTACTCCTCATAGACAAAACCAACAGACATTATTATTATTATTACTACTACAGATATTTGATGTGTGGATCAGTGTTTGGTTCAGTGTGAGGAAAAAAACAGATTTTGAGAATATAGTCAAAATATTTAAGAAAAAAGTTTGAGTGTTAATATAACATTTTATTATACATTATTAAATATTGATAAAAAATTATATGTATTTTTTAAATAAATTTTCAGGAAAAAATAGTAATAAAGGAATTACAACTTTATTCAACATCATTAATCGTCTCAGATTGCAACTTGTTCTCTAAATCCCAGATTTTTCATTTTAATTAAAAACAGAACGAAGATGAGAAACATTTAAACATTTTCAAAATTTATTTTTAATAATTTCATTTTTCTGTTCCATCATAGTTTCTTACATCATAACAGGAAACAACTACATTGTAAAAAAAATCCTCCTGGTTCTCTTCTGGTTTTGTTTACATTGACATTTGATGCTGTGATTTAATGATGATGACGAAACAATTAGTGGAATAATTGATTGATATTTATTATTATTAAAAGGCAGAAAAATAATCTTTGATTTCAGTTTGTTAAATGTGTTCATCATATTTTTTTCTGTGATTGGAAACTGAATCCGAATCTTTGGGTTTTGAACTGTCGGTCAAAACAAAACACGTCTGAAAACGTCACCGTGGAGATTTTAATAAACCAAACTATTGATCGATCAGATGAGGAAATAATCCCCAGTGAAGCTTGACTGTGGTTTCTATTCTTTTCATCCCAGAATAGAAAACACAGCTGAGTTCTTTCCACATTCAAACCTCAGAATAAAAGCATAATAATAATAATAATAATAATAAAGTACACTTCATAGAAAAGATGAAATTCACCTTCACACAGTTTCAAACTAAATGTTCAGATTCTTCTGTTTACAGTTTTATTTTACAGTGTAAACGCTTCAGAAACGTAACAGAGTTGCTCGTTTCCTAACGACCTTCAGAAAGAACTCGTTAAAGGTCACAAGTCTTCAAACAGTAATTACAATTAACTGATTCTTATGACGCTAACGAACAGCAGAGTGGTTCTGCTGAACATGCAGATAACGTCTGTTTGAGAGAGTCCAGGTCCAGTTCAAACGTTAAACATCAAACTGAGATGTTTTTTAACATTTACAACTTTAGGCGAGAAAAATAGACACCAAGAAAAAAAAAAAAAAACTCCAGACAAGTGAACAGGACCCTCAACACATCATCCCAGCAGAAAGGTCAGGGGTCACGGCCCTGAAGTCTGGTCCAATCAGGAGCCAACGTCTCATGTGTGATTGATTTGTTAAAAAGACGTTTCACTGATCGACTGTCAGTTTATTTACACAGGAAAAAGCAGGAAGCGTTACCATAACGACGAGACTCCAGCTTCATCGCTCCACCTTCAGACACAGAAATGATTAATTTTTCTTTTCTGTGTCTGGAGGTCATGGAGGGTCCGGGTCCGGGTCAGGGTGTGGGACCTGGAGGACCGTCAGCGACATGATCAGCAGATTTAAATAAAAACAGCAGAAACAAAAACTGTGGCACATGTGGAACATATTAAACACGTGTAGAGACATCAGCTGATCGACGGCTCTGGAATCGAACCTGTGAGTGCAGGCTCGGCTGAGGTCAAGTGATCAATGTGTTCAGTCCAGAGCAGCATGCAACAGGGCGCCGTGTCCGCCCGCCGATTTAGATTTCTTCATCTTACTGATCGACTTCTGAAGATCGGACTGATGGATGGGACGAATAAAGTCCTCAGAGGAACTGAGAGAGAGAGAGGGAGAGAGACAGAGGTAGAGAGAGAGGGAAGGAGGGAGAGAGAGCGAGAGAGGGAGAGTAGGAGGGAGAGAGAGAGAGGGGGAGGGAGAGAGAGAGATAGAGAGGGAAGGAGGGAGAGAGAGAGAGAGAGAGGGAGAGAGTAGGACGGAGGGAGAGAGAGGGAGAGAGAGAGGGAGAGAGAGGAGAGAGGGAGGGAGAGAGAGATAGAGAGAGAGGGAAAGAGGTTCACATGAAATGAGACAGCTAGAACATAAATTCTCCCTCTACGCTGACAATGTGTTGTTGTATAATGGAGAGCGGAAAACTCAGTGTTCGTGTTCCAGGACTTTTCCAGGTGTTTAGTGACTGTACAAACCCTGAGTTACCTGTACAGGTACACAGTGGTGACTCCCCATCAGTCTTTTCACGACAGAAGCATCTCCCACAAATCAGGTAAAAGACTTGATGATAAACAGACAGTCAACACTGAGTAAAGGTGTTTCTGGTTATTCACTGATCATGGATAATAACATGGAGACCGACTGTCCATGATTTATGACGTAGATGTAGTGACGTAGATGTAGTGACGTAGATGTTATGACGTAGATGTTGTGACGTAGATGTTATGACGTAGATGTTGTGACGTAGATGTTATGACGTAGATGTTGTGACGTAGATGTTGTGACGTAGATGTGGTGACATAGATGTTATTATGTGTATGTAGTAACGTAGATGTAGTGACGTAGATGTAGATGTAGTGACGTAGATGTAGTGACGTAGATGTAATGATGTAGATGTAATGACGTAGATGTAGATGTAATGATGTAGATGTAATGACGTAGATGTAGTTGTAGTGACGTAGATGTAATGACGTAGATGTAGATGTAGTGACGTAGATGTAGTGACGTAGATGTAGTGACGTAGATGTAATGATGTAGATGTAATGACGTAGATGTAGATGTAATGATGTAGATGTAGTGACATTGATGTGGTGACATAAATGTAGATGTAGTAACGTAGATGTAATGACGTAGATGTAGATGTAGTGACGTAGATGTAATGACGTAGATGTAGATGTAAATGAAGTAGATGTAGATGTAGTGACGTAGATGTAATGATGTAGATGTAGTGACGTAGATGTAATGACGTAGATGTAGATGTAGTGACGTAGATGTAGTGACGTAGATGTAGTGACGTAGATGTAGTGACGTAGATGTAATGATGTAGATGTAATGACGTAGATGTAGATGTAGTGACGTAGATGTAATGATGTAGATGTAGTGACGTAGATGTAATGACGTAGATGTAGATGTAGTGACGTAGATGTAGTGACGTAGATGTAGATGTAATGATGTAGATGTAGTGACATAGATGTGGTGACATAGATGTAGATGTAGTGACGTAGATGTAGATGTAGTGACATAGATGTTATGACGTAGATGTTATGACGTAGATGTTATGACGTAGATGTTGTGACATAGATGTGGTGACATAGATGTTATTATGTGTATGTAGTGACATAGATGTATGGACGTAGATGTAGATGTAGTGACGTAGATGTAGTGACGTAGATGTAGTGACGTAGATGTAGTGACGTAGATGTAGTGACGTAGATGTAGTGACGTAGATGTAGTGACGTAGATGTAGTGACGTAGATGTAGTGACGTAGATGTAGTGACGTAGATGTAGTGACGTAGATGTAGTGACGTAGATGTAGTGACGTAGATGTAGTGACGTAGATGTAGTGACGTAGATGTAGTGACGTAGATGTAGTGACGTAGATGTAGTGACGTAGATGTAGTGACGTAGATGTAGTGACGTAGATGTAGTGACGTAGATGTAGTGACGTAGATGTAGTGACGTAGATGTAGTGACGTAGATGTAGTGACGTAGATGTAGTGACGTAGATGTAGTGACGTAGATGTAGTGACGTAGATGTAGTGACGTAGATGTAGTGACGTAGATGTAGTGACGTAGATGTAGTGACGTAGATGTAGTGACGTAGATGTAGTGACGTAGATGTAGTGACGTAGATGTAGTGACGTAGATGTAGTGACGTAGATGTAGTGACGTAGATGTAGTGACGTAGATGTAGTGACGTAGATGTAGTGACGTAGATGTAGTGACGTAGATGTAGTGACGTAGATGTAGTGACGTAGATGTAGTGACGTAGATGTAGTGACGTAGATGTAGTGACGTAGATGTAGTGACGTAGATGTAGTGACGTAGATGTAGTGACGTAGATGTAGTGACGTAGATGTAGTGACGTAGATGTAGTGACGTAGATGTAGATGTACTGATGTAGATGTAGTGCCGTAGATGTAGATGTGGTGACGTAGATGTAGATGTAGTGGTGTAGATGTAGATGTGGTGACGTAGATGTAGAGATATAGATGTAGATGTCTTGACGTAGATGTTGTGACGTAGTTGTGACATAAATGTAGATGTAGTGACGTAGATGTGGTGACGTAGATGTAGATGTAGTGACGTAGATGTTGTGACATAAATGTAGATGTAGTGACGTAGATGTTGTGATGTAGATGTAGAGACATATATGTGGTGACATAGATGTAGATGCGGTGACATAGATGTAGATGTAGTGACATAGATGTAGATGTAGTGACGTAGATGTGGTGACGTAGATGTGGTGTGGTGATGCAGATGTGGTGACGTAGATGCGGCGTTAAGTTTGGTGCTGCCTGGGGGGACGCTGCTGTGACTGATGCACCGAGATACCTGTCGTTCTGACTGTGGACGAAGTCTCGCACACAGAGCAGTGCAGCGTCGCGACACATCTCTCTGAGATCACTTCCTGAGAAACCGTCTGTCTCCTTGGCGATGTCGATGAGGTCAACAGAGGAGTCAACCTGTAGAGAGACAGAGGTGATGATGTCAGCGAGAGTCAGAGCCACAGTTCTGATAGAGACTGATGAGGAGGTGAAACTCTCACGCTCTCGTTCTCCAGGATGAGTTTTAGGATCTGCTCTCTCTGCCTCACACTCTGCAGGAACAAACACAAACAGCAGATTTCATTGGTTTGAGGCGGTGACATCATCATGATGTCATCATGTTAATGATTTAAATGTATCATACCGGCTGGTTGATGTGGAACCTGGTGGGCATCCTCCTCAGGATGGCAGAGTCCAGATCCTGAGGCCGGTTGGTGGCTCCCATGATGATCACCTGACAGACAGAGGCTTGTTAATATTAAGGATTAGATTCTAATGACTTACGCTCAGAGGCAGGTGTTTGAACACCTGGACACACCTGGCAGTTGTGGTCGGTGTCCAGTCCGTCCCACAGACTCATGAACTGAGCCTTCATCATGGCCGTGGCCTCGTGGTCTGAGCTGGAGCGACTCCTCAGGAACGAGTCTGACAAAACACACACGACACACTGATACGTGCTGGTCAGACACAGGTACTGCACACTGACACTGAAACCTGCTGACAGATTTGAGCTGGAATGAGCTGAAAACATGAAACTTGGCACAATGACTGGAAATGATGAGCATCAGCTTCCCAAGAATATGAGCTCAGTCGGCCACATGGTGGCGCTGTAATTAAGGCCAGTTTTGGAAAGGCCACGCCCCTCACACTATTTGTCCGATACACTTAAAATTGGACACCCGCATTCAGCTCAGCATGCTCTAGAAAAAAAACCTCTTGGACCATTAAAGTCCACCATGATGAATTTTTGCCAATTAGCATAATGTGAAAAACAGTAAACTGAATAGAACGTTATGAAGTTTTACTTTAGCAACACCACATTTGGTATATAGCCTGAGGAATGAGATACAAATTCTTTGCTAAATGAGCAAGATCGGTCAAAACACATGGCCTCATTAACCAACATCTGTTTGCAAAGGGCGGGGCTTGGCAAATATTGAGCCATAACTCATTAACCCTTTGTCCAATCACCATTAAAATCTGAAGTGTCATACTGATCGATGAAAGTGGGTGGGGTCTATTCATCAATATCCTGTTATCCCCCACTTTGACTGACAGGTCTGTGTTGTGTGTGTGTGTGTGTGTGTGTGTGTGTGTGTGTGTGTTTGTGTCTGTCCATACTGCACCTATCTCGTCGATGAAGATGATTGACGGCTGCAGTTTAACAGCCAATGAGAACACAGCAGCAGCCAGTTTCTGGGACTCTCCATACCACTTGTCGGTCAACGTGCTCGGCTGCAGGTTGATGAAACGAAACCCCGCCTCCTTGGCCGTCGCCTTGGCGATCAGCGTTTTACCGCAGCCGGGGGGCCCATACAGCAACACGCCTGTTGCGATGATGACAGTGTTGGTATTTTGGCCTGGACTGTACACTGTCATGTTCCCTTCCCTGCTTCCTTCTCCCCTCCTTTCTTCATCCCTCCCCTCCCTCTCTCCTGCCTTACTCTTTTAATATTTCTTTCCCTTCTTTATTTATTCCTTTTCTGTCCCTCCTCCTCGTCTTCTTATCGTGATGTGACTCTGTAAATGACACAATCACTAATTAAACTGATTAAACTAATTAAACTGATTAGCCTGATTTAACTGATTAAACTAATTCATCTAATTAAACTGATTCATCTAATTAAACTGATTAAAATAATTTATCTAATTAAACTGATTAATCTAATTAATCTAATTAAACTGATTGAATTGATTAAACTAATTAATGTAATTAAATTGATTAAACTAATTGAACCGATGACATCATGTCTCTCCATCTGACCTTTTGGTGGCTGCAGAAGCCTGGATCCCTGGAACAGGTGTCTCTTCTGAACAGGTAAAATCACTGTCTCCTTTAACTCTGTGATCACCTCATCCAGACCTGCGATGTCTCTCCAGGTGATCTGCAATCACACATTTATTAATTATATTACAGGTTAATTATTAATTTTAGCACATTTAACAACTATAATGATCATTTGAAGACCCGCAAACTGACAACAGCTATTTTCATTATTGATTAACCTGCTGATTATTTTCTGGATTCATTATTCGGTCCATAAACTGTTACAATGTTTAAATATTCAGGTTTCTGCAACAGAAGGAAAATAAAAGCAGGAAATCCTCACGACAAAGAAATGACAAACCACTATACGCTTACTGGTAAGATAATCAATAGATTAGCTAATCGTTTCTAACATCTAACGTCTTCATCCACAGGGCTCTGTTTTAGGTCCTCCGCTGTTTCCTACACACCTGCTTCCTCTTCTGGAAATGATTTGCAAATACAGCTGAAACAATTAACAATAAACTGATAACCAATTAATTAATTGGTGCCTATTTTGATAATCAATTTATCATTGGAGCCATTAAAGGGACTTGTTCCCGCTCCTCCAGTTTTATAAAACTATAAACTGAATATTTTGGAGTTTTGACTTAGACAAAACAAGTCGTTAGAAGACGTCACCTTATTTTTATGAACCAAACAACTAATCGATCAGGAAAATCATCAGCAGATTAATCAATGATGGAAATAACATTTAATTGCAGCCCTAGTTTAAGATATAATATAGATCTAAAATAATTTAATATACAAACACTTCACAGCTCTGAGCATCAGGCTGTCATTACAAACACTCTTTAGCTTTTAGCCTCAATTATATATTCAACAAAAATAACTTTATCAACACATTTTACAAAGAGGAAAAGAAGAGCACGGCCTCTCGTATGTGAATCACTGTGACACAAATAAAGTTACCTGCATGCTGAGCGGGTCGACCAGGTGAGCTGCGATGCTCATCTCGTACTCTGACAGCTTCACATTTTTTACTCCGATCTGACGCATCAACTTCTCGGCCTGAAGGAGGTAAAATCAACAAAAAACAAAGGTCCATTTAGTAGCTGTTCCAGAGCTTTCAAACATATCACATGATCTTCATTTTTGAAGCAACTGAGCAAACTTCATCCGCTGAGGAAGACTCTACGAAACAACTTAAGGTTCCTGGAACTTTTTTGGTCAAAATGGCCGCTCTGACAGCGGCTCCTGAGGGTGCTGCTGACTTCCCTCTGGTTCTCAGACCAGCAGACCAGGACCAAGGTCTGGGAGGTCTGGGTGGACTCTTTACATCCACACAGAATGTAGTTCAATATCTTTCTCATGGTCAAAGAATGACAGGTAACAATTAGGGATGCCCCGATTGATCGGCCAGTTTTCAAAAAGTCTCCTTTTTGAAATCGAGCCAGTTTCTTTATGAAGGCTCCTCTGCGTTAATCATGTTAAGATAACATTTATGATTGTTTTTAAAGGCATACTAACCTAAAAACCTGTAACTTAATCATGAGGAAGTGTCAGAGCCACGGAGACACAGAGCATAGCTGTAACCATAGTAACTCACTCAAACCCCTGTCTGCATGCACATGGCCCGAGAGGAGCATCATGGGAATAAATGACAGTAACAGATTTATAGATATTTCTGTCTGAAGAACTGTCTGTCTCTGTCTGTCTCTCTGCCTCTCTCTCCCTGTCCATCTGTCTGTCTCTCTCTCACTCTCTGTGTCTGTCTCTCTCTCAGTCTGTCCATCTGCCTCTCTGTCTGTCAGCATCTTATCACGCAGCGACCTTAAACTTACTTCATTTTGCCCCCACCAACCCCCAACCCCACCCCGTCTCACCTGTTTCTGGGCCTCCACCTTCTGCTTCCTGGTGGGGTCGATGGCATCAACCATCCACTTAATGGTGAAGTAGGTGACGGCTCCGAATATGGTGAGGCGGAAGAGGAGGCCGATGACCTCGTTCCTGCCCAGAGGACGGGCGATGTTTTCAGCTGGGACCTCCCTCAACACCATGGTCAAAGTCAGAGAGGACAGGAAATACACACAGGGCTGCAGACAGCCACACACACAACACAAACAACAACAGGTTCCTATAAGGTCACGTTATTATAACTGAGACACAGTCAGTAAATAACCCAGGTCATTGTTTAAGTTGGACTGAAGAAACTCTGTAGATGAACTTAACTCTTGCATTTATAAAGTAGTTTCTGAGAAAGTCTTCTATGAAAAAATAATATCAGATGAGGTAAATATTAATAATTTCAATAATTGTTAGTTACTATCCTACAAAACAGACCCACAGCTCATCACCATGTTTTTAGTTTTCAGTTGATGTGGAGGAATAGAGCGAAATACTATAATATACACTATAAAAGTAGAATTACTTATTGTAATAATAGCTTTTGGTGTTTTGGATTGCCAAAAATCTTCTGTTAAATCATTCCTGATATTCATTCATGACCTGACAACGGGTTATTATCAACAAGAAGCAAGGAAATGGAAAATTGTCAGATTTTAAATGGAGTTCGGTGAAACCTTCTGATAACAGACCATGGCTGTCAGTGATTACGTCTGGACTCAAACGGGATCGTTAGCAGCTTCTGGAGTAGTTTCTTATCTTCAGTCATGCTCTGACAGCTCTGAGGTGAGGAAATTATAAATTGTCTGATTTTTAAATGGAGTCTGGCGAAACGTTCCTGATCAGTATTTTATCACCTACACTTACAGATGTTGGACTGTCACTAACAGGACAAACCAAACTCTTCATTTTTAATATAGACGAATTAAAAAGCAGCTTCTGGTGGGTCGTTTCTGACTGTGGTGGATATTTCTGACAGCTTTGTTTTTCTGCCTGGAGGCCATGAAATGATAAATTGTTACGTTTAGACGGAGTCTGGCGGGGAGCTCATTTCAGGGACAGATTTCGACGCACACCGGGACTGTCGCTCATACGAGTAACGGAATTATTCTTTATCTTTCAATGTGGACTCCTGGACCCTGTCCTAGATCCTGTCCTGGACCTCCTACAGGTCTTAGACCACAGTTAGGTACCCTCCAGTATCCGCATTACAAAACCGAAAGCACTGTGCGGACTAGCGGCTAAGTTTAGCATTAGCTTGACCTTCTGGGCTCTCCGGCCGCAGCAGAGCGGTTCTTCACCGGTAACACTGACAGATATGACCAGCGGTGACTGACCGCGGAGCTCCGACTGCTCCGTTAAAACCGCGTGACGAAAACAACAGAAACTCCTCGTTTATCCGGTAAAACGTAACAAACTCTCACCTCCTCCGGTCACGTCAGTCAGCGGCACTTCCCCGGTCTGCTCCTCGGTGGTGTGGGTTGTCTTCTTCTACCGAGTTTGGACTCACTGCCGCCACCTGCAGGGCTGGAGGGAAGAGCAGTGACGTTTCCTGTGACGCCGAAGCTCCGAAGTGAGTGTAAAAAAAGGTTTAATAATGTCAACCTTCGACTGCCACAATACATTTTTCTAGAGTGCAAACAATACAATGACCATCAGGGAAGTAAACCTTTTCTCTAGCTACAGTCCGTACAGTATTTTGCTTGTTTAACTAAAGTTGTCAAATGTAGTGGAGCAGAAATATAAAGTAGATTTGAATGGAAATACTCAAGTTAAGTACAAGAACTTCAATTATAATAATAATAATAATAATACATTTTATTTAAAGGCGCCTCTCTTGGCACTCAAGGACACCGTACAGAGTCACACAAATTGAGATTAAAAACACATTAAGAAGAAGCAACAATAAAAATGAAATATAAAAATAAAAACAATACAAAAGTGACAGAGCAAATGGCATCAGATGGAAAAGGCAGTTTTAAACAGATGTGTTTTGAGTTGTGATTTGAAATGGGGGAATGAATCGATATTTCTGAGTTGGGGCGGTAGTAGATTCCAGGGACGGGGAGCAGAGCGGCTGAATGCTCTACTCCCCATGGTGGTGAGACGGGTGGAGGGGACAGACAGGAGTGTGGAGGAAGAGGATCTGAGGGAGCGGGAGGGAGTGGGAACATGGAGGAGGTCAGACAGATATGGGGGGGCGAGGTTGTGGATGGCTTTAAATGTTAATAGAAGGACTTTGAAATGAATATGGAACTGAACCGGTAGCCAGTGGAGCTGTTGGAGGACAGGAGTGATGTGGTGGATGGAGGGGGTACGAGAAATGATACAGGCAGCTGAGTTCTGGACCAACTGAAGTTTATGGAGGGATTTATGAGGGAGGCCGAAGAGGAGAGAGTTACAGTAATCCAGACGGGAAGTGACGAGGCTGGACAAGGATGGCGGCAGTGTGGGGGGTAAGGGAGGGGCGGAGGCGATTAATGTTTAGTAGGTGGAAGTAGGCAGACCGGGTAATGTTATTGATGTGGGATTGAAAGGATAGTGTGCTGTCAAGGATGACACCCAGGCTATTAACCTGGGGGGAGGGTGAAACGGAGGAGTTATCAATAGTGAGGGAAAAACTGTTGGTTTTGGATAACGTAGATTTGGTGCCAATGAGGAGAACCTCGGTTTTGTTACTGTTTAATTTAAGGAAGTTTAGAGTGAACCAGGTTTTTATTTCAGTGATGCAATCAGTTAGGGAGGTGGGCGGGAGAGTGGATGAGGGTTTAGTGGAGAGGTAGAGCTGGGTGTCATCAGCGTAACAGTGGAAGTCAATGTTAAATTTGCGGAAGATATTGCCGAGGGGAAGGAGGTAGATGATGAAGAGGAAGGGCCCCAGGACAGAGCCCTGGGGCACACTGGAAGTGACGGAGGAGGGGATGGATTTAAAGGACTTCAGTTGAATGAACTGAGTGTGGCCAGAGAGGTAAGATGTGAACCAGTCTAATGCAGTGTGGGTGATGCCAATGGAAGATAGCCTGTTGAGGAGGGTGGTGTGACAAATGGTATCAAAGGCTGCGCTCAGTTCGAGGAGGATGAGGATGGTGAGGAGTCCAGAATCAGCTGCCATAAGGATTTCGTTGGTGATTTTAGTGAGTGCTGTTTCAGTGCTGTGGAGTGGGTGGAAACCAAACTGGAACTCTTCATACAGGTAATTGTGGGATAGGTGAGAATGGAGTTGGGAAGCAACTGTTTTTTCGAGGATTTTGGAGATGAAGGGTAGATTGGAGATAGGACGGAAGTTGTTGAAGTTGGAGGGGTCGGCGCCAGGTTTTTTCAGAATTGGAGTAATGGTAGCAGTTTTGAAAGATGTAGGGACAGTTCCAGTGGTGAGAGAGGAGTGGATGATGGCAGAAATGAGGGGGGCCAGAGAGGGAAGGCAGGCTTTAACAAGTTGTGTGGGGAGGGGGTCCAGTTGACAAGTGGATGGCTTAGATTTCTGAATGAGTTCTTTGATTTCTGAGAGAGTGGGGAGCAGGAAGGATGAGAATGAGTGTGTGGATGGGTGAAAGTTGGCTGAGATGCTGAGGTGAGGATTTGGCCCTAGGTGCTGGTGGATATTCTTGATTTTTGCAGTGAAAAAAGACATAATGGAGTTGCAGAAGGAGGTTGTGTATAAGTGAGGGGGGAGAGAGTCCTGGGGTTTGGTGATATTGTTGAGCAGGGAGAACAGTGACTTGGAGTTTCCATTATTTGCATCGATGATACTGGAGTAGTAGTGGGTTTTGGTGGTGGCAATAGAGTCCTTATAATGTAAAATATGGTTATTGTACATTTCTTTGTGAATAGTGAGACCAGTTTTTCTATGGAGTCGTTCAAGTTGCCGACCTTTGGCTTTCATGAGACGAAGATCAGGGGTGAACCAAAGGGCGGAGATGGAAAAAGAAACAGATCTGGTTTTTAACGGAGCAAGAGAATTAAGAATATTATGAAGTCCAGTATTGTAATGAGAAACCAGATCATCAGGGGTGGACAGATTGTGGATGTCAGGGAGGCAGAAGGAGTGGATACTTGATGTGAGTGGCAGGGTTGATGTTCTTTATATTCCGGAATGAAATGAGGCGTGGTGTTTTAGAGATGGAAAGAATGAGTTTCACTGTAAATGAGAGGAGAAAATGGTCAGTTATGGGGAGTTCATCAGCTGTAAATTCAAGGGGGGTGACATCAGAGCAGAAGATTAAATCCAGAGTGTGTCCTTTGGAGTGTGTGGGAATAGTGGTATACTGCCGACATCCAAAACTCTCTAAACAGGATGTGAAGTCTTTGGTGAGAGGTAGATTGATTATGTCTATGTGGATATTGAAATCACCCAGCAGTATTATATTTGGTGAGAGAGAGGATAAATGGGAGAGGAAAGCATCAAAGTCATTTAAAAAGTCGCTATTCGGTTTGGGGGGGCGGTAGACAGTAGCAATGATGGTTGGAGTGGGACCAAACAACTCGCAGACAGTGGATTCAAACGAGCTGGAGACGGGCACAGACACCGGCGAGACTTTCCACTTGTCGCGGTAAATTATCGCGAGACCTCCTCCCCGACCGGAGCCACGGGGTTGACAGACGTAAACAAACCCACTAGGAGTGGATTCAATCAGCTGGGAGAAGTCGTTGGGCTGTTGCCATGTCTCGGTTAAACAAAGAAAGTCTAGCTTACGGTCTGTGATGAGGTCCTGGATGAGATGTCCCTTGCTTGTCAGTGAGCGGATGTTGAGTAGAGCGAAGTTGAGTGAGGTGTTGTCGCAGCTGGTGGTGGTGTTAGCCGACGAGGCTAGGCGGGTTAACACGCTGTGGTCGACAACCCGGCTGGTGGAGCGTGGAGGGCGTCGAGAGCTGGACCAGATGGACTTTATTGTTGTTGAGCTGTTATAGTGGAAATTCCGGCGGGACCCTCGGTGAATGTATCTCCGGCGGGGCTGGAAGGTGATGTCCGGGTGAAGGTGGAGTGCCTCAGGCGCAGGTCCAGGCAGGTGACAGCGCAGCCGGAGCAGGTCAGTGGCCGAGTACTGAAGCATATCCGTCACTGGCAAATGAACGGGCAGTAGAAAGAGCCAGACACATACGGACAAGATGTATGTCCTACCGTCCACATTGTGGACGAGAACTCAGGCAGCGTTGACCAGATAAACGCCAAGTGAGGCTCAAGCCGGGACAGAACAGGTGAGCTAACGGTAGGCTAGTTAAGACTCACACGGACGTAGTGCCAGTAAATCGTAGAAAATTTCCAAATGAAGGCAATTACAAGGTCCGATTAGGTTATAAAAACTATAAAATAAGTCAAAAGGTCTGAATAGTTGAAAAAAAATAATATTGAAAGTTAAAAAGTTAGGTTACCGGCGAGCAGCGGCAGCAAGTTGCGCCAGCGTTCACTCTTGTTTATTATAGAAGCTAATATCAAAAAGGTAAAAGTCTAACTAAACCACCACAGACACAAAGGCTATTAACATGAAATAATAAACTCTATGTTGACTCTACAACAACTAATCCTCCATTGTCTCACTGTTCATGACTGAGCTCCAGTGTTTGTAACATTAGATCATGTGACCTTTTATATTGGTAATGAAATGACAAGCTAATACTGGAAGGGTGAGCTAAATAACATTAGTTAGCTAAACTGTAACTGAAGGGTAAAGTTAGAAACTAGCTAACATGAGATAGCATGGAGCCACTAATGGGAGTGAAGCAGGCAGAGATGAGCAGCTAACGTCAAGGTTTAGAAATGGTATTGTCCACTTTAGGGGTGTCTGAAATCGTATAACAAGATCATATTACATGTTATTCGTAATTCGTGTCACAAAACGAAGTATCGGGGGAAATAATGGAATAATTTCATTGATTAATACATCATTGTATAATAAAAATAGGCATTGATAAATGTGTTCACAAATTAACAGCACCAAGTTAAGCAGCAGTAATTCTGCAGAACACTTCATATATTGTTCTTTATTCTGCCCAAAGCCTCCATTAGCTTCACTGTGGAACCCTTCACCTCCTGCTGTGTGATAATCAGCTACCAGCTGTGGACCATTTCTTTCTGCCAGGAAATATATAAAAACATATAGATATAAATAAATAAAATCATTGTGACATTGTTAATATCAGAATCCTGTAAATATATTTTATAATATTGGAATTATACATACAGTATATTCTACCAGTACCCTGGTTGTAAATAAGGTATTAAAAAAAGTCACAAATGTGAATGCATCGTTTCCACATCCATCCTGCAGGTGGCGCTGTAACAGTGAAAAACTGTCTGAATTTAAGGTTACATTTATAGTTTCACACACGTTGTCTTCACCGTCATCATCATCATCATCATCATCACGTCTCATATTCAGGGTTTTCAGTAACAGAATTATAACTGTTTAAAAGTCTCTGACTCCAGCAGATAAAAGTATGGAAAACATAAAAATGCTCGAATCAAAATATATTCAAACACTGGTCCCTGAGCCCGCAGGGCTGATTATGTAATGTCAGTGGTACTCTGCTGGTTGCCAGGTTGTACATTATTCCCGCTCATGTTATTTTTGGGTTTTTGTGATGGAGGTTTTGAATGGGAGGATAATTACATCAGAACCTGGCAACCCAGTTTGCTGACAGGATGCGTTTGGCTCAGGAAGTCTAGTTAGCTGCTATGACTGCTAACAACTAGCATCGTCAAGGTAGACACATTAATGCAATAACAGAAAGTGAAGGGTTTTACAAGATAAAAGCACAGTTCATGATCTACAACGATAAAAACTATAATTTATTTATTTTTTATTGTTCTTTTACACTGAATGAAAAGTTAGTAAATACATTTTAAAATCGTAGATTAAAATAATAAAACTAAACAGAATAATTAATATTGCAATAAAATAATATAAATAAATAAATAATAAATAAAACTAATAAATACTAATAATAATTAAAAAATATTCAAATTTTCAATGTTTAACTGCATATTTTGTTTAATCGGTTAAATGTTCAGTTTTTTCCAACTCTAATATACCAACATAAGAAATATCTCTCTGCTGTTCTTCTTTTGGTGAAGTAGTGAAAATGTAAATATATAAAAAAAAAATTACATATATATTCTGAATATAATACATCTAAAAATACTGGAACTGGCCTATATCATTTCTACCATGGGTTATTAATTATATTATATGAATATATTTACAGTTTTTTTAAACACTGAATCCTTTCTTTGTTTTTGTAATTATGTAATTATTGTATTCTTATTTTCCTTTTAAACTCTTATTATAATTATCAATCTTTTTAGCCAAGAATAAAAGTCATGATGTTAATGATATGTCAAAATACGAGTCATTTTAACTCATAATATTGACTTGACATGATGAGTCAGCATTTGAAATTTTATCCTATGTTTTTATCTCGTTTTTATTTTCTCTGTTATTGTCTGAACTGGGCTTCCACGGCCTCGGGAATAATCCTGTGAATGTTAAGACTCTTACTTTGAAGGCAGAGAGCGGATGTGTCCTGACTCTTCTGTGGTCCCGTCTCTTCCTCCGGTCATAGACCGCTCGGAGAGGTTTGCTCTCCGTCTGTCTGCGTCCAATCACGGCGTCTCTGTTGCTCACCGAGACCGGGAACAGTGCGACTGGATTCATCCAACGTCCTGAGAACTGGATCTCCACCGAACATCGAGCCGCGGATGGTTTTGTCTCCGGGCGGGGGACCTGGAAACCAGGGCCCACAGAGGGAGCAGGGAGGAGGCCCCGACGCCCCCTTGTACTGACCCAGAAAACAGCACCGACGGACGGGCTGCCTCTCTACTAGCAGGCCGGCTAGCTTCTGGCTGCATCGGAGCTTGCAGGTTGGCACCCGAGGAGGCCGGATAACGGAATCGTTTCTAACCGTTAGGACCTTTTTTTGCTCTCATTATTCATCGGGAAGGATTTTTGCGCTGAAGTTTTGAATTCTGGAGATCGGGAGCTGGTGGCTAGCTAGCTCCGGGCTAGCTGTCCCAGTTGGCTTCTCTCCCCGGTAACCAGACAGCGGAGGCTCCGGAGCGGGGACGCAGAAGCACAGGCTGTGTCTGCGTACTTTCTCCCAATTGTACGTACCTCACGGTGACACTGATCATGGCTGCTTTAATCAAGGAAATCGTGAGCAGAAATAAAAGGCGATACCAGGAGGACGGCTTCGACCTGGACCTGACCTGTATCCTTTTACTATCAGTTAACGGGCTGGGTTAGCTTCGTCCGCTAGCTGTCGTGCAGAACTCCGCTCAAAAAATGGTAATTCTATGATTCTGTGCATGTCGGCTAACAGGCTGCACACATGTAACACCACATAATGGCAGATAGAGACACTCTTCATATCGGCGTTAACGGAAGTGTCACATAGTCAAAGCAACGTTAGATAAACTTGAAAGATTATGAATAGCTTGGTGCTCATGAAACGACTCTGAACCGTTAACGGCAGCGATACGTGTTAACAAATCCTACAAAACACCTTAGATGTCATAAGAGTGCTCTTAATGGGGTGATGTTTGCTAGCAGTCAGGGCTCAATTCAATGTGCACGTATATGGGCATGTTTGCGATTTTCACTTAAATTGGCTGTTTTTTCAAAGGAGTTCGTGGGGCGGTTCACGGCTACAGGAGGACGGGGCTGAGTCGGGCTCGGTAACGTTGTGAGGCGTTTGTGTGCAGTCTTTGTGAGAGGACACATGTGACCCAGCTGTTTTAGGTTCAGTTCTCAACGGGATGCCCGTTACAGCGTCCCACGGTGCGCTACATGAGGACATTAATTCGCTTGTGCATTGTTTTATGTGGTTTAATGTGAGCGGTTGCTAACAGGCTAAGCTAACGGTGGTGTCAGTGTCGTTGCATCAGCAGCAATCCGGGCAGGGGAGCAGCTAACAGACACACCTGAGAAACCCACACCTGCACACACTGAATATAAACACAACTGCAGCCACACGTGTAATTAATTTGAATTTAATGAGCCAATCAAACAGCGACGTCCAGTTTATGTCAAAGACGCATTAACAGTTTCGGTTTATTTAATCTCCACAAGAATGAATACCACAGAACTCAGTTTTTAAAGCTGCAGTTTGTGTCAGCGTCTGATTTCTCTACAAATAAAAACCTGCTGGTGTTTGTAAAAACCCAGAAGGTGCTGTAACATCACTTCCTGCAGGTCTGAAGACTTTTCCAGAAAAAAAATATTCAGCCTGCTGCAACATGAAAAACATTTTAACATGTTTCTCAAGTTGACCCATACGCAAATGTGTTATATGTAGATGTACTGATTTTTCATTTATGAAATATATACATAGCTCATATGTGAAAATTATATGTAAAACCTATTAGAGATTGGCACAATTTAATGTCTAGCCTATACAAATATGTATGTTTATGTATGTATGATTACATTGTAGACATATGTTGCATACATATATATCCATCCCAAAGCCTGTCAGTATATGTTGATATTAGTTTATGTACAATGGGGAAATTAATAAGAAAAACGTGTGTATTGTTTTAATAAACTTGCATATATATATTAAATATATATTGTTAACATAGCTATGCTCTCAACGTGTTATACCATACAAAAATTAATTGTAGATATTTTTGATATATGTACATATACAAATTTTACTATGGCTATTTCATATATGTTATGAGCTTATATCATCATACATCCAGAAGATGTACAGTATATGTGTGATAGTAATCTGTCCCCTTATAGTTAACATATATGGCAACATCCTTGATATAGGGACATACTGTATATGTCTTATACTACAGTTCTGTATGGGGAGACTCTGTCCAGGGAGCTGAAACTGAGTCTTTGCTCTTTTTGTAAAAAAAACAAACAAAATAAAAAATAAAAAAAAATGTTATTTTTATGAAAATATAAAAATAATATGGAGGTATATACGTGTATACGTTTGAACTTCGCAAACTTTCAAAATAAAAGCATAAAAAACTGGACACATCATTATAAAGTTACAATCATTCAGAGTTTAAAAAAGTGATTGACTATTCAACCAATGATTATTTACATTAATGATTAATCCGCAGATTATTTCTGGTTTAGAAAAAAGTTTTTATACTTTGGTTTTATTCAGATGAAACAATCAGATCTTCAGAGGAGCTGGACAGAACCAGACTAACTTGTTTCCCCGTTTCCAGTCCTTGTGCTAAGCTAGGCTAACTGTTCTCCCTGTTTCCAGTCCTTGGGCTAAGCTAGGCTAACTGTTCCCCCTGTTTCCAGTCCTTGTGCTAAACTAGGCTAACTGTTCCCCCTGTTTCCAGTCCTTGTGCTAAATTAGGCTAACTGTTCCTCTCGTTTCCAGTCCTTGTGCTAAGCTAAGCTAACTGTTCCCTGTATCCAGACCTTGTGCTAAGCCAGGCTAACTGTTCCTCCTGTTTCCAGTCCTTGTGCTAAGCTAGGCTAACTGTTCCTCCTGTTTCCAGTCCTTGTGCTAAGCTAGGCTAACTGTTCCCCCTATTTCCAGTCCTTGTGCTAAGCTAGGCTAACAGTTTCTTCACGCCTGCAATCTTTGTGCTAAGCTAGGCTAACAATTTCCTCATGCCAGTAATCTTTGTGCTAAACTAGGCTAACTGTTCCCCCTGTTTCCAGTCTTTATGTTAAGCTAAACTAACAAGTTTCTACATGTTTTTCTATGTGTGAAAATGAAATATAAAAGTGTTCAGTTCATCTTTGATTTTTTATTAATTAGCTGCAGCTAATGGTTATTGATTGATCATTTAGATGTAAGATGTCTCGTCTCAGTTCCCTGTTGTTTATTGATTAATGGTTTGAGACGTTGAAACTATGAGGTGATGACAAGAACAATGATTCTTCTGTTTCTAACACATCTGCAGACATATCAGTAATGCTAGCTGCCTGTTAGCATGTTAGCATCTGTGGTGTTCTTTATGCTAAGCTAGCCAGCGGCTGAGCAGACATGAGAGTGGGATCAGCCTGAACTTCAACTTTCTGAGAAAACCTTCACACCTCTTCATCTGCATGAAAGCTGGTTCCTCCCTCTACCTTCACTGGAGCTAGCTGCAAGGCATTGTGGGAAATGTAGAACGTCCTCTGAGCTAAACAACCAAATGCTTTGTTTCTCTGGGCCTGTAGAATGACATGTCTCAGAGGATGGTTCAAACCTCAGACTCAGGTTCAGGTGCTGGGGTTCCTCTCAGGTACTCAACCTGGAGTAGCTGCTGTGATTATTGATCACTTATTGATCCTTAATGGATCGATCAGATATTTATCCAAACATCATAGCGATGGGTTTCCCTGCGGAGCGACTGGAGGGAGTTTACAGAAACAACATCGACGATGTCGTTCGGTAAGATAATGTTCTGCATGACCTTTGACCCCTCCTGACATCTGCTGGTTTTTAATGTTTTAACCCATTAAGTGCCAACGATCATTTTCAAAAGCTTCAATCTCAGTTCAGATCAATCTGATTCTGTTTAAATATTGATCATGTTCCAAATATAAGAAGTTCTGATCAGGACCCTGGTCTCCTGTAGACCTAGTCTCCTCAAGACCTGGTCATCTGTGGACCCGGTGTCCTCTGTACCTGGTCTCCTCTATACCTGGTCCTCTCTGGACCTGGTCTCCTCTGGACCTGGTCTCCTCTGTGCCTGGTCTCCTCTGTGCCTGGTCTCCTCTGGACCTGGTCTCCTCTGGATCTGGTCTCCTCTAGACCTGGTCCTCTCTGGACCCAGTCTCCTCTAGACCCGGTCTCCTCTGACAGTCAGGGAGAGTTCCAGACGCACAAACATGGTGGAGGTTTTCAGGGCTGTAGTGGTAGAAAGGTCTGATCCAGATGTGAATCAGGACTCAGATCTCAGACGGTCTAGACCTGGTCCAGGATGTGCAGGCTGTTTAAAGACTGAACCTGTTTTTCTGTCAGATTTCTAGATTCAAAGCACAAGAGTCACTATAAGATCTACAACCTGTAAGTACTGTCTGTCTCTCTGTCTCTCTGTCTGTCTGTCTGTTTCTCTCTGCTTGTCTCTGTCTGCCCGTCTCTCTCTCTGCCTGTCTCTCTGTCTGTCTCTATCTCTCTCTGTCTGTCTGTCTGTCTCTCTCTGCCTGTCTCTCTCTCTGTCTGTCTGTTATTTAAAATTTGACGATATTGGAGAAGTATCTGTGTTATTGTTATTGTGATTATTGTGTGTGCGCACGTGTGTTTTCTACTCTTAAATGACTGAACATCTGTTTGTTCACAGATGTGCGGAGCGACACTACGACACGTCAAAGTTCAACTGTCAAGGTGAGACTCGCTGATGAAGCTGAGGAAACAGGAAACAGGAACACACCTGTCTGACTCCCCTGTGTTCCCTCTTTCAGTGGCTCAGTACCCATTCGAGGACCACAACCCTCCCCAGCTGGAGCTGATCAAGCCATTCTGTGAGGACCTGGATCAGTGGCTGAGCGAGGACGAGCAGCATGTTGCCGCCATCCACTGCAAGGCGGGAAAAGGCCGCACCGGCGTCATGATCTGCGCCTACCTGCTGCACCGGGGCAAGTTTCAGGAAGCTCAGGAGGCGCTGGACTTTTACGGAGAGGTCCGCACCCATGACAAGAAGGTGAGGACGCCGCCGTTTAACCAGCTTAATGACACTTCTCCGAGGGCAGGGTGATTCGTCTGACTTTATTTTTGATTGTGATTTTGTCTTCCAACATTATGAAAACAAGATAATGGAGATAAAACAATGACTGTGTCACATTCTGTTTCACAACAAATTCCATCCTCCCTACAAAAACCATCCCCACATCCACTTCCTGGCTACGTTTCAGCATACGTTAGCAACCGTGCCGTTTCAGAGTCTTTCTATTTAGAGTTGTCCAGTCTTTAATTTCTTCTTTGAGTGTGTTGAATATATGTTCTGGAGTTTTCAGGGTGTTGGTGCAGCACAGCAACATATTTGATTTATTTATATTTATTATTTCTATAGACTGAATATATGTTGAAAAGTACTTTCCAGTAGGTTGTGGAAGTACACTTATGTTACAACATAGTTGATTTTATGTATTTTTATTAATTTTGATATCATATATTTAGATATTGAACATTATTTAAAAGTGTATTTTTTAAATCACATTTTTATTCCTCTGCATGTTGTTTGGGTTGTCCATACGTTGGCCTTGTGTTCATCTAATCTAAATCTAATCAGTTCATCCTTGAGCCCTAGTGAATGTTTGTGTCAAATTTGAAGAAGTTTCTTCAAGGTGTTACAGAGACATCGTGTCTGTGAGAATGAGATGGACGGACAATCTGAAAACGCAATGGCTGCCGCTCTGACGTTGCTGAGGCAGAGGAATAAAAATGACTAAAACAAGATGAAAAGTAGAAACATGTTTGATGGTCATGAATGTGTGTGTGTGTTCAGGGTGTGACCATCCCCAGTCAGCGGCGTTACGTGGTCTACTACAGCTTCCTGCTGAGGAACCAGCTGCAGTACAAACCTGTCGCTCTGCTCTTCCATAAGATGCTGTTTGAAACCATCCCCATGTTCACTGGTGGAACCTGCAGTGAGTCTGTCTGTCTGTCTGTCTGTCTGTCTGTCTCTCTCTCTCTCTCTCTCTCTCTCTCTCTCTCTCTGTCTCTCTGTCTCTCTCTCTCTCTGTCTCTCTCTGTCAGTCTGTCTGTCTCTCTAACTGTTGTGCTCTCGCTGCAGACCCTCAGTTTGTGGTGTACCAGCTGAAAGTGAAGATTCACACCTCTAACGCCTCCCACACCCGGCGGGAAGACAAACTGATGCTGTTTGAGTTCCCACAGCCACTTCCTGTCTGCGGAGACATCAAGGTGGAGTTCTTCCACAAGCAGAACAAGATGATGAAGAAGGTGAGGAGGAGTCACTAAAGCTGATGACCATTTTAAAATGGATTCTGTTACATTAGAATCAAAACAAGTGTGATGTTTTATTTTATCACACTGAACTTTTAATTAGTTTAATTGACTGTTTTATGACTGACCTTGTGTTGTGAATTGAAATGTACTTTCTGGCAGTGAATTCTACAAATATCCAAACCTTATTAAAAATACATTAACTGAATCCTGTCGTTTGCAGAAGTTCAGTACTTTATTGACAGCAGCAGTTACAGCTTCAAGTCTCGGTCTTTAGTATCTTGTCTTAAATAAGTCGTCGTACTCAGGTAATCTTCGGTCGTTTGTGTTGTTAAGTCTTGTTAAATGTGCTGCATTGTGTAGGTAACCTAGTGAAGGTTGACTTAAATAAGTTTGGCTCTGCAGGTCTTAAATAAGTGGTCCTGGGTGGATTTTCTTGGTTATGTTTTGTTCGCTAAACTGTCTTTGTTAAGTTGTTTTGTTTAGGTCTTGTTGGGTAGGTTAAGTAAGTTGTCTTGGGTAAGTCGCCTTAAATAAGTCGTCTCGGTCACCCTTCTGACCGAAGTTCCTTTCGCCCAAGTTCTGAGTTTGGTTGAACTCTTAGCTCTGAGAAGACTCCTTGTTGTCTTGGGTTCACCATCTTGAATAAGTAGTCCTGCCTCGTCTTGGTTATGTTTTGTCAAATAAACCGTCTTTGTTAAGTTGTTTTGTTTAGGTCTTCTTCGGTAGGTGAAGTAACTCATACTGTATAAGTCGTCTTGGGTGAATCGTCTCGGTCACCTCTCTGAATGAGGTGTCTGTTGCCCAGTTACTGTTTGGTTGGACGTCCGGCTTTGAGAAGACTCCTGGTGTGTCCTCGGACAGGTGATTTAAATTGACTTGCTCTCGATGTATCCCACAGTTTCCTTATACTCTTCTTCCTCTGTTGTTCCAGGAAAAAATGTTTCACTTCTGGGTCAACACCTTCTTCATCCCGGGGCCGGAGGAGAACCCGGACAAACTGGAGAACGGCAGCGCTGGGACGCTGCGGGACCCGGCCGACAGGACGCACCAGAACCTGGGGATGATGACGGCCATGATGATGGGCGGAGAGACTAACGACAGGGACTACCTGATTCTCACACTCATCAAGAGTGACCTGGACAAGGCCAACAAAGACAAGGCCAACAGGAACTTCTCCCCGAACTTCAAGGTAAAACATCTCTGTTGGTTTCCTGCTCAGCATCATTTAATCTGAAAAGAGAAACAAGTTTATCAAAGATAAAATCGCCAAGTCTAAGAAGGTTTGAGTGTTTTTTAAAGATGTGACTGTTTCGTCTTCTCTGATATCTTAAATCAACAACAGGAAAATAAAGTCTCGTCCTCTTCACAGATACAGAATAATGTTACCAGATATCGTATCAGTAAACGCTCTTTAATAGAACATAATAGTCGAGGTTCATCATCTCCCTGGTTCTCCACCAGGGGCGGGGCCAATCCAAGGACCTGATTAAACCTCCGGTCTGTCGCAGCGTCAGGCTACAACTCGTTCATGGGAAATAGTTTGAGTCCCCACCCTGTCGTGAACGGGGTTCGGTCTGAGGTTCACACTGTGTTTCCCTGTCTGCTGCAGGTGAAACTGTTCTTTACCAAGACGGTGGAGGAGGGAGCGAACTGTGACGCAAGCAGCACGTCGGCCTCGGTGACCCCGGACGTCAGCGACAATGAACCAGATCACTACCGCTACTCTGACACCACGGACTCGGACCCAGAGAACGAGCTGTTCGAAGAGGACCACCACAATCAGATCACAAAAGTCTGACACACACACTCTCTCACACAACAGATATATATGTGTGTATATATGTACATACACATACATACATACACAGTATATATATATGTACACACACTCATGAACCCCCACACTGAGACTAGCGTGTGGTTAGCTAACGGGGGAATATAACCTATGGACCAGACCTGATCTGTGGGACTCTGGGATCAAAGAGCTCAGATCAGACTATAAGCCCCCTCCACCCCTCCAATCTTCTGCACGGTGCACACCTGGACAATCACGACATGGCGGTGGGGGTGAGGAGGGTGGGGATAAGCGTGGGGGCGGGGCCAGGCCGGGATACAGACGGCAAATGGACAATAAGACAGATGAATGGACAGACAGGTTTAAAGTTAAAGGGGTAAAACTTGAATATAAACAAACTGAAAGATGAGTAGACTTCTTTAGTGACTACACCGAGATGTTTGTTGGATAAATCCCCTTGTGTCCTTCCTTCCATCCTTCTTTCCTTTCCTGCTTCCTTCCTGACCAGATTAAGGAAACGTTATGCAGACCAATCTTTCTGTTTCCACCTATTCAGTCTTCAGTTCTGTGAAGCTGAGTCAGAGTTGACTCTTCTCTCTGTGTGCTCACATCAACACGTCCACACCAAAGTCACATCCAGATATTTTTCTACAGAACTAAGATTTTAAATCATTGAGTTTCAGAAAATAAAATCTGTTAGTTTATTCAGAGAAAATAAAAATTCAGCTTCAGTTCCACTGTAGGACACTGAGCAAATTTTATTGAAGGAAATGATGAAACCAGGACAGTGATAAAGGTCATCAATCATAACAGGTATTTGATTTCATCAACGTGTCACTTCGGATGGAAAGAAAAACATATTTTTTGTTATAAACTAAACTGGAACCAGTGAGAATCAGTCTGGACCAGTCTGATTTCGGTTTACTGTTCTGTGGGTTCACCCTGATTCATTTTGTTGTATTCTGGAGTTTGGATCATCCCCCAAACAAAGAACCTTTTAGCCCTCCAAACCTATCTGATCTCTTACCCTGTCCTGAGTCCTGTTCAGACCAAGCTGGACCGGCCTCATTGCTGGTCTAGACCCAGTTTGCACCAGTTTTAGCTGGACAGGATTGGCTCTGGGACAAAGTAGCACACAAAGAAGAGAGACAACCTGATGTTGGAATGTGACAATGAAGAATAGAAACTTGGATTCTTCACAATCTGTCAATCACATACTGTTGAAACCCACATACAGTACAAACCTACTGTGAACAAATGCTCTTACTACTTTTCTGACTGTCTCTGTCTCCAGTTTTGCACAGAAGGATTCTCTTCAATCAGTTCCTACAGTTACAGAAACATATTTTTGTTATACTCTTATATCAATCATTAAGCTAAACACACAAGCTACACACATTATAACCATTCCTTCAGCCAGATCTGCTTTAAGCTTTACACCTGTAGGCTAACCCACCCTGACACAAACTAGAGAGCACTTAGTTTTGATGTTCCTGGCATGTCAGGCGGGTGGGGTTTGCACTATATAAAGGACAGTTGGCTTTGTATGTATTTCTGGGTAAGCTCAGTCCATCCAAGACGCCTGTTTGGCTCATGCTTGTGCTGAAACATACAGTCCTTTTTATAAATCTGCCCTTTGGGAGGTTTCAGCACAGAGTTTCTCAACTTTGGGGTCAGGACCCAACGTGGGTTTGGGGCAGACTTCGTGACGACATTTGCTCTTGACGGTCTAGATGTTTAGCCTCTGTGTGTCTTTGGTTTCTGACATTTGAAAGTGGGTGATGCTCTATAATTATTACTCTGTCCATAGACTATTAATCCTTGTATTCAGTACTACTTTAAAAAGCACTTAAAGTCTTGCAAACTGTACCTTTAAAGCCAGGGACGACAGTTTGAGGATTACTTTACCATCACGGCAGGTTCGACACTATTCTGTCTGGATTTGACAGGAGCAAATGAACATTAGGGATTCTCTGATTAGTGTCTTTCAGACCGTAGATTTAATCCCATCAGAGCAGAACAACCCAAAGCTAATCCCCAATTGGTTCACATCCTTCGGGCTCTTTGTGCCTTTTATGTCCACATTGTAAGTTTCCTTCTGCTCGTTCAGTGTTCTCCTGCAAAGACTAAAGAACCACGATGCAGTTGGATGTAACAATTAACTCCAAGCACCATCTGGGCTGGACAGGGCTGTGAATCAAAAACATTTAGAAACCACCCACAAAATCATCTGCAATTAATATCAGCCCATTTCAAATGGTACCCAATCGATCAGAGCATCCCTATTGATCATCTGCCTTCAGATCAGGTGTAGGTAGAAGTTTTAGTCCTGATGCCCAGTTTTTCCGTCCGAACATTTGGTGCTACAACCGATATCAGCCCTGCGTTGGTTCCGTAGTTAACGACCATTCTTCTAAGCTGTGGTTCGAAGACCGAGTTGGGACTTCAAGTTCCTCTTGTCCACCCTGTAGGCCTTGCCAAGACCCTGATCACACAGGATGCACTCTGGAGGCGTGAACACATAAAATCCAGAAAGCTGCTTTTATCTGGACAATAGGACAGCAGTGCTGACAGTGATGCTGAATAAGTGAGTGATGAACCCAACCTTGACATCAGAACAGTACCCGAACTCAAAGAGTCAACGACACCAAGAGGTGAGAACGATAATATAAAGAATGTTTGGTGACGATCATGAGACGACAGAGATGCCAAATGAGGAGGTGGACGAGGTTCCTCTGGGACCTTTCTGCGATTGATCCCGACGCCCAGAGAACACTTTAAGCTTGAAGCTGTTAACAGCCAATCAGAGCTTTGAATAAGAATAATAAGAATGAGATGGCATCTTCTTGTACCAGAGGCAGAACAATGTCCAGAAAAAACAGGCATACATGTGATGTTTCCAACTGCACAGGCTGTTGTAAGTCGACTTGCTGTGTGTCGAAGGACAAACAAAATGGACATTCAGTCTGCTTATCAGATTGTAAACAGCTGTATCAAACAGGACTCACTGGAACAAGTAGAAGTGCCTGAAGTTGCATCCTGTGTGATCACATCTTGAGGTGCAGCACCCAGCCATCTGTAGCTTTGTGCTACCAACAGACAAGTGCTTTGGGCCATCAGTCCACCATGTTGGGTTTAAGGTGCTAAGCTGTGCTAACCAGGGCTGATGCTAAGCCTGTCATCCATCTGTGGTGCTTTCTACCAGCAGCAAGTGTTCGTCCAGTTGTGAGGCTCAACAGCTGTCATCAGAGTGGCGATCTGTCTACAGCTCTGTTTGTGCAGCTGGCAACATTTCACAGCAACAACAACACAACAACTCCTACTTAGAGTCCTGTTGGGTGCTGTCAGGCCTGGCCTCACTTCCTGTCATCAACCTGTTCAGACATGACCAGTGTGAAGACCCGTTTAGTGGAGGGGCTTAAGAATTACTGCCAACTGGTGTGGCCTCCAGAAACTGATCCAGGGAACCTGGATTAAAGTTTCCACAGGATCCCGTTCAGGCTGTTTCTATTTTTACAGGGTAGTTTTTTTTTTTTTTTTTAAACAGCCGCAGTTCTACGTCTTCTTTCAGGAGGCAGTCTCTCGTCCCTTTAAAATATGTAAAAGGTGAATTAGGCTGATTTTACACCTATTGATGTAGGTGAATGGTATTATGGGTAACTTTAGGATGCTGAGGAGTTGATGCCCAAATCTGTTATGTAGCTGTACGCAACAAAAAAGTTAAACAATACATTTGTCTCCAAATGACACCGAATATGTTCCAGCCTAAAACCTGAACGTGTCTGAATGTTGGTACTGTACTCAACCGACTGGCGTGTACTGAGCTGGTTTTGGGTATTTGAGGCCAGGCAGGTGCTGTCCACATTTCTGACTGTTCCAGGTGCTCCATATCTTTTTCTCATGACCATTTTAAAGTGGTTGATTGTAGACAACAAGTCCCAGTTCAGCTGTGCCGTATCCACGTGGGAAATTTGGACAGGTTTCAAATCAGGAAGAGGTTTTATTTTCCTTAACTCAAATTTCAAGTTTGGTATCAGACATTTTCCGTATCCAAACTTAATCAACAGAAGTTTTTAATGAATTTCGTTGTTGATCCTGTTCTGATTTTGTTGTATGTTCAGGGTTCCTGTACTGATCGAGAGAGTCAGAGAGGAAACAAAATGGGGAGCGATGAAAACTTAGGAAAGGATTTTTACCAAAGTACTTTTCTGCTTCTAGATCTCTGGACAGACAACAGAAGGCCTCAGAGAAGTGTTGCAGAGAGTCGGTGATGTGTTGACATAAAAACCTTAAACATTGAACACAGTGCTGGTTGGAATGTTAAGATAAATGGTTTTACGTTCGGCGTTAACAGTCAGTGATGTGCGAACATGTCGGTCTGCAGCGTCTGGAATCTGTAAAGGAACCTTGGACTGGGTTTTGGCGTTGTATGCTCCACAGATGTCACTCTGGATTCTGGATTAACCTTTAACTTCCAACAATCAGAATTTACATTAAGTGTTACATGTGTCTGACTTCCTGTTTTTCCCTCAGCGAGAAAGCTTCTTTGTTTTGTCTGTTGAGTCAACAAAATGATGCTTCAGCTCTTTTCTGTTTACATGTCATCACCAAACCTGCCAAAATTAAGCTCAGACTAATGGTTTATTTTTTTAATTTGTAGTCTGTTTGTTTGTTAGTTTTGGAGTTGACGAGGTAAACGCGCTCTATGTTCATGTTCTTTCTTTGTTTTGCCTTAAGGTGCGGTCACATTAGCCATCCAGTCACCACAACTGCCCCACTGTCAGACCCATTAAAGGATGTAGTGTCGGGGGATTCAGTCAGTGTCATATTGTACAAAAAAATCACTGAGTCCGCTTTCAAAACTAAGTGTATCAGTGTTTTGGCTGAATGTGCAAATTCAAAAAATGAAAGGTGAAATCTGAGCTGGATGCCAAAGTTTGCACCAAAACAGGAAATCCATTCTTGAAGTTGTTGCTTTGGCTTTAGTTGAGGTTGAACAAGAGACGTGGTATTGACAGCACAGAGGCGTGGTGTGACCGTATCTTTACCTGAAGCTGACAACAGTTTTCTGCTTCTAGACAGTTCCTTAGAATCTCAGAAGACAGTTCACCAACCACATCTGTCGGTCAAAGGTCAAAGAGGAAGGAAATTCATTTAAATAGAAAACATTTCAGCCCCAGTTGGATCTTTGGTGTTTAAAATGGACACCACAGTCAGATATCTACCAGCCGGCTGATTGGCTGCTTCAGCATCTCACTGCTGAATGTTCATTAAGCACCTCTGTTCAAGGCGGCAGGTTTACCATCAAAATTCATAGCAGTATGATTTTCAGTGGTAGATAGCTAGCTAATTAAGCTAAAATTAGCATCTTTAAAAAACACAATCTCCTCTTGACTTTGTAATGTTTCAAGCAAATTTATTCCAAGAACAAAAATATTGACTTTATGGATAGATGTGATGTCATGCTAACATCCTGAGGCTAAAGCTAACAGGTCCCAGGTAAGAGAGCAGTGTTCTCACCAGGTGATCCATGTGGACATGTTACACTGTCGAGTGATTGAAGTCTGATAAATAAACATGCCAAATCAGAACTTACAGTTTGTGTTTTCACTTTTGAAAATAGAAACTGGTTGTAACACGATCTCTGTGGATATTTTGTCCTAAAATGTTCCAGTGGAATCAGTATTGATGAGTATTGATCAGCTCTACAGTGAGTCTGGAACCAAACCTTCTGACAGATGTGGTTTTGTTCTAAGCTCTGGTCCGGCAGAAACTGTTTGGAGCAGAGCATCGTGGTCCAGGTCCAGGTCTCAGCTCAGTGGTCCACAATGTGTCTGCTCATGATGATGATTGTCTTGGTTTTATTTGATCAGGTATTCATGTTGTTTTCACTTGGTCAACAAACAGAAAACTCGTAACTACAGCCTGTATCACCATGGAAACATGTCATGTTAAACTGACTCCCCACCCCTGCCCTCAGTTCTTTTATTCTTCCTTCCCTCCTTGTTTTATAATTAAATAAAAACACTGTAAAGGTGAATAAAACTATTTATAAACAGCTGCTGTCTGAGGTGGATGTGAGATTATTTAAGGACTACAACTCCCAGCTTTATGGTCTGCTCACACACACACACACCACTCAACCCCCACCTCACCTTTTTTTATTGTGTATTGTGTATCTGTGTAACGACCACAGAAATACACGTTAGCATGCTAACACCCGCTAATTAGCCGTAATCTCAACTGATGGAACGTCATTAGTTCTGCTAATGAACTGATAACAAACACGAATGTGACCTGATGAAGGCGCTACAGGAACGATAGAGAGTAACTGAACTTTAAACTAATGATCAGTGTCACATGATCAGAAGAAACGTGTGTTCAAACACACGCTTTACATCAGAGTGTGATTAATCGGTGACTTTGCAGAAATGATAATCGCTTCCCCCACAACTGTAGCAACACTACTGAGCCTGCCACAAATGACTGGAGAACAGGCAGGAAAAATTAGGTCACACACACTCTCACTCTCTCTCTCTGTGCCTTGTGGGTACCACACCAGAACTAACTCTGCCTCATCTGCTGCTATAAAAAGATCAAAGGAAGTGAGAAGCAGCAGCTTCTTCATTATAACATCTGATCTATGCTCATCTGACAGCTGAGACACACCTGAGACATTAACCTGTTGTGCTGCATCACTTCATACCAGGTGAAGTCATCTCTTCAGTTTGTCTCATGATTCCTCTGATCATGTGACACTTAAAATATTTCATTATATATGATAAGAGCTGGTCCTTTAACCCCTCAGTTAAACAGCTGGTTCAGATTAAACAGCTAGAAGTCAAAGGTCAAACATCAGCTGACACAAATGAAAACAATGTAGAAATGGCTTTATTTAAAGACAAAAACTTAATGAACCACTTCATCAAACTTCATGTATTGACCCTAACTGATGACTCTATTGATCATTGATCCTGTCAGTATCGGTCAGATCCTCCTGTTGGGCTCTGAACCTGGTCCATTGCCTTGAGGACTTCCTGTCATGGCGGCAGTGTCACAGCGAGGCCTTCAATGCACTGAGCACGCTCAGTGCGGACTCCACGCAGCCATCGAAGTTGGAGTGGCTGAACGCATCACCGCCACAGACGAGCAATGGCCGGTCGAGGACGGTCATGTGACCCGGACAGTCCTGCACCGAGGTCAGCACCTGCAGGAGGGACGGGAGGGGTCGTACATCAAATGCTCCCCCACTCAGAGATGTTCAGGGTTGGCAGGATTTCTCAGGACTCACCTGGGAGTACCTCCACTTCTGACACTTGATGCTGATTGGCTGAGGCAGACCAGGGAGGAGCTTGTGGAGCTCCTGTAAGATGATTGGCTGGACGTCCTCCTTGTCTCGCTCCAGGTGCTCCAGGCCAAACGGCACGCTGGTGTGGATGACGAGGGACGGACCGAAACCAGGAGCGTCTGAGGGGACAGAAAGAGGACAGTCAGACAGACAGAGAGACAGGTGAGCAGACAAACAGACAGACAGGTGAGCAGACAGACAAACAGACCTGCGTTGCGTTTGCGAGCATCCACAGCGATGTAGCAGATGCAGGAGTTGTCAGTGATGTATCGAGCCGCCCAAGAGAAACTGAGGACGGCGTCTGGAGGGAAGAAGAGAGCGAGGGCGAAACGAGACGAGTAGACGACACGTTCTAACTGCTGCTTCTGATGGAGAGACAAGACTGAGAGACAGACAGACAGAGAGAGAGACAGACAGACAAAGAGAGAAAAAGACAGACAGACAGACAGACAGGGAGAGAGAGAGAGAGAGAGACAGACAGACAGAGAGAGAGACAGACAGACAAAGAGAGAAAAAGACAGACAGACAGACAGACAGGGAGAGAGAGAGAGAGAGAGACAGACAGACAGAGAGAGAGAGACAGACAGACAGACAGAGGTCAGTCCATGTGTGCAGCCTCCTCTGTTTAATTTGAGTGTTTGTTAACAGACAACTAACTGGTTCAAAACTAACTGTGATTAAAACAGACAGTTCAAACATCATCTCTGATCTTCTGTTCAACAAGACACACAGACACACACACACACACACACACAGTATCTAATAATAACCTGAGTGTGTGTGTGTGTGTCAGCAGAGAGGGCGCTGTCCCCGGTCAGCCAATCAGATGAGCTGGAGATGACATCATCATCTACAGAGATACACACATGTGGAAGAGGCTTTGTCTGCAACATACACACACAGACACACACACACACACACACTCACACTCTAAACTCTCTGCAGGAGGAGGAAGTAGTCATCACCTCATCAAAGTAAAATCCTCTGGAGTCTAAAAAATTGTAAAATTTTTCTTTTCATAAAAATTTAACAATTTAAAACTGTTGGATCAATAACATGAGTAATAATCGATCAGAGTAAATCAATAAGTGTTTTTAAAGTCAGTGACATCACAGCAGCTGATGATCCTCCTGCCCCCCCTGTGGTCAAACTACGTTACTGCAGCTCAGTCCAGGTCGTGTGTGTGTGTGTGTGTGTGTGTGTGTGTGTGTGTGTGTGTGTGTGTGTGTGTGTGTGTGTGTCTCACAGTGTCCCACGTCTCCCTGAAGCTGCAGGATCTGTGGGACTGGCATCGTCAGGACGACAGCGTCAAACGTCTCGCTGTCTCCCACTTTCCTCTGAACCTCCCATGATGCACCGCGGCGGTACAGGCCAGTCACATGACACTCAAAGAACAAATCTGCTCCTGACACAGAAGCAACAGAGTCTGGCTTCAGTTATGGATCAGGGACAAAAACACTGATCACACAGAGAGAAGATGTGCTGAACCACAGTCACACCACAAAACATTAATACTAAATCTCTTTATGTAACACCACAGACTGATTGATTGATTGATTGATTGATTGCATCATTCACCCAGAAAGAGGCCAGTAAGTGGACCTTGAGTTACAACTGATTTGTCAGACTGAGGTGTCAGACAGACAGACAGACAGGTGTTTACCTGACTCAGACAGGAAGTGTTTGACCACACTGCACATGCCCAGTGGCGTTGTGTAGTTCTTACTGTCGTCTTTCTGCTTCAGACCTTCGACCTGACCGAGGAGAGGCTGCAGGACGCCAGCAGACAGCAGTTCCGAGTAAAAACTGCACACATCACACACACACAGTCACATCTTCACAATAAAAGTTACTGTTACTCTGATAATCGCAGACACACTGCAGACAGGTTTAATTTCCTCTTCTTGGGTGCAGTGGTCCTTTAAGGCAGGTAGAGACAGGTGTGTCCTACCTGTGGTGTGACTGAGCGTAGGCCGGTGTGGCGGTGATGTACTGAGCTCCCAGGTCGGCAGAGTGAGACGAAGGGTCAGGAGAACGACTAGTGGACATCCTGCCTCCTGACAGACAGACAGACAGACAGACAGACAAACAGATGGTGACTTCCTTGGCTCCGCTGTAGATTTCACTACTTAAATGTTCAAGTTAAGAAATGGCTCTGAGGTGGAAGTAGATTGAGTCTCGTTGAGCCGACATCTGGTTAGCTCTCCAACCAATCAGAGAGCTTGTTACATCCCATGGCCAATTGGGATTGTTCAGCAAGTGTCACAGAAAGACTAGCAGGAGAAGCTAAATGATTAAGCTAATCAACTAGCTAACAGGAAAAGGAAAAGCAGCTGGAAGGAAGAGATGGAAATTGATGAGAGAAGCCAGGTTTGTTTTCCCATTTTTATATAGTTTTTCAAACTCCATTATTATAATCATGAATTCATAAATGTATTTATAAATGGTTTATTTAATGAGTTGTATGCTTTTTTTGTAAATCCATTTCTAAATCTGAAGGATTTACTGATGGATTAATTGTTCATTTATAAATTCTTTTTACAATGCCTATTTTTTAATGCCTATTAAAATATGAAATGCTTTATCATTTTTACTGTTACATCCCTGGTCCTCCACAGCTCTCACCTGTAGTTTATATCCTTACTCTATACTGAAAAATAGCGACTTTATTAAATCTAAGTCAGATTTATGGATCATTTCTGAGCCCGATTTAGCAAGAGAGTCTTCTGATATTGAGAATGTGTTAACTCATGTTCTACCGTGTCTCTATTTGGCTTTAAGCTCTTGAATATTCAATTATTACATTTCTGAATGGAGATTCGATAAGCGGGTGTAACTGGTACAAGAGGCCTGACCTCTGACCTCGAGGCTCACTGAGACACCGCAGCGTACCAGTAAAAGTCAGTTGACGTTTCAAAGCCCAATTTAGCAGAATAGTCTGCTGATGAAGAACCGTTCCCGGTCATGTCCTAGTGTGACCGTGAGAGGCTGTGAGCCCGGAAAGTAAAATCCAATGATTTCTGAACGGAGATCTGACGGTGACACTCACCCGAGCCCCTCGCTTTGTCCCACACCACTATCTGAACTTTGCTCTGCAGCTCTCTCCTCAGCAGACATGCGCACAGGCTGCCTGTCAGCCCGGCTCCGACGATCAGAACCCTGGACATCTCAGCACGGAACCGCAGCAGCCGGGCTAACTCAACGAACTGACCCGGGTCTAACCGTTCCAGCCCTTCATGTATTTGGGTCCGGAGTCGTAGGAGTTAAACCCGCCTCCAGTGTTACAAAACAGCTGAAAGGGGGCGGACCAAAAAAAACTATCCCGGGGGTCCGAACGGTGTCAAGATAACCACGATACCCACGGGATATCCGACTGAGATTTTCAAAATAAATGTCTTATCTTTTCCAAATAAGTGAAGTAACGGGAAGAATAACGTCAGTTTAGATAAAAGGGACAAATTTATAGTAAAATAAACCAAATAAACTTTAACACGTCAAAATAAAAACACGTCCTCCCTTTCTCCTTTTCTAGACTTGTTATGGTTTATTGATTATTATATAGTTCTGATTCTTTTTCAGTATATTTAATGTGTTTTAGTTTTATTATACTTTATACTTTCATACCTCTGCTTCACCTCATTTCAGAGACAAACATCAGACATGGTATATTCTGTAGCCCTCTACAGTTATTACAGATGGTGTAAGTAGTTAGTTTTCATCTGGTTAATGGTTAATATTTCTTACATGTTGTAAGATAAAGTGCATTATCATAAGTCACTCTACTTTTCTACTGTGTATGTGTTAAAACATTTATAAGAATAATCTGTTAATATCATCACAAAGACTTTTCTTCTGTTTAAAGAGTATTTTACTTTTGATACTTGTCTGGTTGGTAATCTTATATCAACTAGTACTAAATTATTACAGTAGGCGTGACCTTATTAAAATCACAGGTTGTGTGTTGAGTATATGGGTATACATTTCATAGTATTTACATAAACATTATATAAGATAACTACAACAGAACAAACATTTATGCTACATATAGCACATAGCAAACATATTGTTAACATGTGCAAAACAGATATTAAATATATGTACTGTGTTCACATATGTTTCTATGTTTTTCTATCTGGTTATAAATCAGATTGTACATGTGTTGTGTGAGGAGATTGTGTTTCAGTTCAGCAGTTTCTTATTCTGTGACAGGCTGTGCTTTTACTTTGAAGGATTTCCTTTTGGAAACTTTACAGGAAAATAATCATAAAATAATCAAACAAACCTTTAAATATGGCCTCTATTAGTTTGTATTATAGTTCCTGAAGATCATCGTATTCAGATTATTTTACTGTTTTCTGAATTTTATTTTGGACCGAATTAGCTGATTTGTCGTTTGTTCCCTCCCGGATCATTTCCGGTCTCTGATGATTTGATCAGGGCGGAAATATCGATTGGAAATCTTGGCGTTCAAGGTTATTGGAAAACAAAGGGTTAATAATCTGAAGCCTGTCTTTGACCAATCACAGAGAGGGTCTCCCTCTGACGTCACAACCGCTCTCTTCCTTACATTCAGAAAACAAGTCGGTTAGTTGAAGCAGCTCAGTCAGAGATCATCAGAGCGTGTGGCAAGGTGAGTTTACAGACATTATTAACGTGTTATTAACTTTATTATCGAGTCATTAACTCTGACTTTTAAACAGGAGTAGAAACATGTCAATTTTCCCGCCGCTTCTGTGCCAGTCAGTTCGTGTTTATGTTCGTATTTAAACAGTGTCAACGTCAGAACGTCGGAACGGTTAGAGACGTGAAAGTGACGTTCACCGTCCCTCAGAGAAAAGGCCTGAAAACAGCCTGTAAACGGGATTTAACAACAGGTTTATAACATGCTGAAAACTGAAAGAAACCAGCCTGAAACCGGCTTTAAGACAGACAAGAAACAGCCTGGAAACATGTCTTAACAGCAGGATTAAAACAGCCTGAGAAAACACACTGGAAATGTATATTTGATTTAAACATGTTTTAAACTGAAAAAAACAGGTAATAACCAGGCTGAAAACCAATCAGGCAGTAAAAAGGACGAACATCAGACACACAACAGGTAAAAACAGGTAGAAAACCTGATGTTGATGTGGCATAAAAAGGCTAAACAGGCCCTGACTTTACGTTCACCTGTAAATGAGTTTTAATGAAACAGTTTGATCTCTCAGAAACTGAATTTGGATCTGACCGTGAAAAAAGAGCAAATAAAAAACCTTGTGTTTTATTTATAACAGAGTGTTTTCAGTCTAAAGATAAAACAGTCGGTAAACAGACTGTTAATCACATGATCCTCATCAGCTTCAATCAGCTCGATTCAGTTTGTGAATAAAGAAACATTTTAGGTTTTAACAAGAAACAACAACTTCTACTGACATTTTATAATGAACCATGAACACATCATGACTGCCATGTGCGTGTGTGTGTGTTTAGACAGATGATGTGGTGTGTTGTGGTGTGTGTGCTTGTCCTCTCTGGGCTCGTACACACTGGACCGACTGTCCTGAGACACTCCAATAAGCTACAGCAGAGGCTGGACCCTGAAGTGCACATGAACATTGTGAGTACACACTGTCAGTAAATATCAGGTAACCTGCAGGTAATCTTCAGGTAACCATCAGTATCTGGATCTTTCAGAAAATATTACGACTGTTTCAAAAATATGAAACTTCTGACTTTTATTCTGAAAATATTACTTTTTTCAAAATATTACATCTTTTATTTCTGAGAAAGTATGACTTTTATTCTGAAAAACTTTTTTTCAAAACATTGTGAATTTTAATTTGAAAACAGTCTTTTAAATTCTGTAAATAATGATGAAATATTCAGTGTTTTTAACATCATCAGGACTTTTATTTTCCACCTCTGTGATGTCATGATGAGCTCCTGAGGCAGGGTCAGGGGTCAGAGGTCAGGTGTATTTGTGCAGTGTAAACCAGTTCAGAGTCAGAAGCAGGTCTGGTGGACTTTGGTCTGCTGATGTCAGCTGAAACCTCCAAACACCCAGACTGTTTGTTGAAGAAACACAAAAGACCAGATCCACATCCAGATCCAGGTCAAGATCCAGGTCCAGTCCTCAGGTCAGAGGTCAGAGAGGTCCTCTTCACTGAGGCGGTCCTGGTCCTGGTCTCTCAGATCCAGGTCTTTACAGGGGTCCTGTTTCCTGCTGTGTCAAGTGTTGGTCTCAAAGTCTGGACAGGAACAAGAGGGTATTGATTATTGATTATTTTATCTGAACTGAGGTTGTTGTGGTCAGGAGACTAGGGTGTTAACAAGCCCTGCCGATGAGTAAAGTTTTTCAAAGTAAAAGCTGAGGTGTGGAGTTGAACTCTGCTGCCACTGAGATCAGATGTGAAACTCTGTCATGAGACCAAGCGGTCACATGTTTCTGTTAGCTCCTCCCACTTTAACCCTTGCTCCTCTTATCAGCTGACACACAGTCACATAGAGTGCTGCAGCCCACAGCTGTGTCTGACAGGAAGTCCCCCTTCAGAGTAATGTTCTTTACATTAGTACTGAGGTGTGTTCAGGGGCCTTTTCAGATGTCTGTGTCAGCTGTTGTTGTGATCTGGCTGATGTGTCACATGACCTCTATCACCTGTAAGAATATATGTATTGAATATAGAATTGTGTACCTGCAGTGTCATTAGAAACAGTTGAAATTTTAGTTACTTGTATAGATTGAAGTGAAAGCAAGCTGAAGCTACAGTTCCTCTATTGACCACTAGAGTGGCTCCAATAGTGAGTCAGTCCCCATAGACTCCCATGTTAAAATGTCCAACTTTACAGCAGAAATAAAACATGTTTACATAATATATAACTCACCTGTTTACATTTTATTAAGGACTACAGTTATGGAGGATTGGGGGTGAGTGACAGGTGGGTGAGTGAATGCACCAAAGTCTCAGCTCCACACACCCCTCCTCTTTGACCATATTTGGATTAGATGAGAGTTAGGGGCGAATCAGATCCTGCCAAGATGGCGACGGTGGGGCAGCTCACTCTGAGCTTCAGAAACCTGTGGGTGACATCACAGAGGCGACGTCCATCTGTATTGACAGACTGTGAAGGAGCCTCTTTTTCTGCTGAATATCTATATGAACTTTCTATTGAAACTCACTTTGTTTTCCTGTTTGTTGTGTTCCCGTCAGACAGAGATCATCCAACGGTGGGGTTACCCTGCGGAGGAGCACGAGGTGCTGACGGAGGATGGGTACATCTTGACTGTGAACAGGATCCCATGGGGACTCAGACACACTCCAGGTCAGACTCTGGGCCCCCTGTGAGGACCACTTGGGTTTTACTATAGTTCCATTTATTGTCTACAGGTGACACAGCTGTGTCTCATCATTCTGTGACACCACAGGGCTGTTAGAAAAATAACAAATAAACATAGAAATGAAAACATATTTTAGTTTACAAATAAAAAATTAAATGAAATTACAATTGTTTGTTTTTCTGTAGTAAATTCTTAGTTGAAAATGCAGGTAACTTGTTATTTATATCAAACAAAGTGGATTCAGCAACATCAACAGAGATTTAACTGGTTCAGGACCAGTCACAGTCTGGTCTGCTGCTGGTCTGAAGCTGGTCTGAAGCTGGTCTGAAGCTGGTCTCAGCTGGTCTGAAGCTGGTCTGAAGATGGTCTGCAGTCGGTCTCAGCTGGTCTGCAGTCAGTCTCAGCTGGTCTGCTGCTGGTCTGCTGCTGGTCTACTGCTGGTCTGCTGCTGGTCTGCTGCTGGTCTGAAGCCGGTCTTAAGCTGGTCTGCTGCTGGTCTGAAGCTTGTCTGAATCCAGTCTCAGCTGGTCTGAATGGTCTGAAGCTGGTCTGAAGCTGGTCTGCTGCTGGTCTGCTGCTGGTCTGCTGCTGGTCTGAAACTGGTCTGCAGCTGGTCTCAGCCCTCTGCTCCACCAGGACTCCAGTCTGGTTTACAGTTCTCAGTGGTCTCTGGTCTGTGTGTACTGCAGGTCCGAGGCCGGCAGTGTTGCTCCAGCACGGCCTCCTGGCTGCTGGCAGTAACTGGATCACCAACCTGCCGAACTGCAGTCTGGGATACGTGCTGGCCAACGCCGGGTACGATGTGTGGCTGGGAAACAGCCGAGGAAACACCTGGTCCAGGAAACACCAGACCCTCCAACCAGACCAGGAGGAGTTCTGGAGGTTCAGGTACAACACGCCTGTCTGACATCACACTGCCTGTGTGACATCACACCGCCTGTCTGACATCACCTGTCTACCCGTGTGTCTGCAGTTATGATGAGATGGCTCTGAAGGATCTGCCAGCTGTTGTAAACCACATCCTGAAGGTGAGTGGGCAGGAACAGATCTACTACATCGGACACTCCCAGGGAACCACGATAGGTAACACACACACACACACACACACACACACCCACACACACACACACACACACACACACACACACACACAAACACACACACACTCATTGTTTCTGACAATAATAATGACTAGTGTGCTTTAAGTTTTGTCTCATCACTCATAGTCTCTCTTATTTCCCAGCATTCATAGCGTTCTCCAGGTTGCCTGATCTAGCCAGTAAGATCAAGCTGTTCTTCGCTTTGGCTCCTGTAGCAACCGTCGCCTTCACCAGCAGCCCCATGACCAAACTGTCCGTCCTGCCAGACTTCCTCGTCTGGGTAAGACCTGAGCTCCTGTTAATGAGTCTGTGTTAACGAGTCAGTGATACTGTTAACAAGTACTGATGATGCATTTTTGATGTATTCTTGATGTATTGATAATTGATGATTGGTGTCATCCCCCTGCAGGACCTGTTTGGTAGGCGGGACTTCCTGCCTCAGAGTCACATGATCGAGTGGTTTGCTGAACACGTGTGTGCGAAGCAGCTTCTCAGTGAACTGTGTGGAAACCTGTTCTTCATCCTCTGTGGCTTCGACGAGAAAAACCTCAACATGGTTCATATCATACTGATTCATTAGCTAAATTAACTGATTCATCAATAGATTCATTAACTGATTCATTAACTGATTCATCAATAGATTCATTAACTGATTCATTAATAGATTCATTAACTGATTCATTAACTGATTCATCAATAGATTCATTAACTGATTCATTAACAGTTTGAAACGTTTGTTTACAGACTCGGACTCCAGTCTACACCACACACTGTCCTGCTGGGACCTCAGTCCAGAACATGGTCCACTGGGCCCAGGTAACACACACACACGTGCACACACACACACACACACACACACACACACACACACAGAACACACACACACACAGAACACATAACCACAAAGTGAATGTGATCTGAGCTGTTGTTGTTTCAGGCTGTTCATGGAGGGAAACTCATGGCGTTTGACTTTGGACCTGCAGGAAACATGAGACACTACAACCAGGTGAGAAAGTCCCTCTGACACCTGAGATTGAGACAGAGTCTGAATCTGAGACTGAGACGGAGTCTGAGACTAAGTCTGAATCTGAGACGGAGTCTGAGACTGAATCTGAGACTGAATCTGAGTCTGAGACTGAAGTGATGTCATCAATTAGCTGCTGTGATGATGGACTCTGTTTCCTTTCTCTGTGTCCTCCATGTGTCCCTCCTCAGTCCACTCCCCCTCAGTACCATGTCCAGGACATGAAGGTTCCCACCGCTCTGTTCTCAGGGGGACAGGATACGCTGGCGGACCCCAAAGACGTGTCTGTCCTCCTCACTCAGGTGAGTCCTCGTCCAATGAGCACGATTGAAAGTCAGAGAGAAGAAACTGAGAAAAGTTTCTATGTATGGTGATAATAAATAACACCTGTCTCTCTATATATATATCTCTCTGTCTCTCTCTCTCTCTACCTGTCTCTCTGTCCCTCTACCTGTCTGTCTCTCTCTCTACTTCTCTCTCTCTATCTCTTTCTCTGTCGCTCTACCTGTCTGTCTGCAGGTCTCTCACCTGGTCTTCCATCAGCACATTGAACATTGGGAACATCTAGATTTTATCTGGGGTCTGGATGCTCCTGAGCAGATGTTTCCCTCCATCCTGAAGCTGCTGCAGGAACACCACTAGTGTGTGTGTGTGTGTGTGTGTGTGTGTGTGTGTGTGTGTGTGTGTGTGTCTGTGTGTGTCTGTGTGTCTGTGTCTGTGTCTGTGTGTTCTCTCACAGCAGCTGCATCAGTCTCTGAAAAGTTTTATCCATTCACTCTCTCCACATCTGTACAGCTGTGATGAGCCATAACACGTGGACCAGCTGTAGACCAGAACCCAGAGTGGCTCAGGTCACTTCCTGTCTGATCATCCCATCGACAGACTTCCTGTGTGACATCTTCGTGTCTAGGCTCGTCGTTTTTGTCTTTTATTGTGAAGGGCCACGTAGCGGGTCCTGAGTGTGAAGGTTATTTTATTTTGTAGCAGCAGCAGGTGTGGGTGAAGTGTTCACCTGTTCTGTGACCTAGTTTGAACTTTGTACCTGTGAACTGGCTTTACTGGTTTTTAAGTGTTTCCATTTTATGTCTGTTTGTTTTATTTTTCATCAGGAAACACGGCTCATGCTAATGTTAGCATCATAAACATTGATAACTGTGATTAGTTTTTTCAGTATTAGTCATTGAGTAAAAATTCATTTTCGGAGGGATAGCCACGTCCAATCATGTGACTTGAATCGTGGTGGGCGGGGCTAAACATTTGTAGCATGATGTCTTCTATATTGTAATCAATCATTTTGAATCTTTTTTTTTTTTAATCAACTGTCCAATCAATATAAATGATAAATAAATAAACAGAGTGAGACAGTTTCATTTCAGTTTTATTAGTGACCAATTAAAGAAGAAGAAAAAGGAGGCTGAAACATGAAGATGATCTGTAACTAACTCTCTGGGTGTGAATCTGATATCTGTGTGTTCAGTACAGAGGGTGGGGTCACAATGTGGATAGCCTAGCTTAGCATAGAGACTGGGAGTGGGGGGAAACTGTTAGCCTGAACTATGGCTGTAACAACAAACCTTAAAATGACCTTAAGTTTTCAGTGAAGTGTAAATTCAAAGGCGACAAGCTTAAAAAGTTCTGAAACCAGGAAATCCATTTTCATTTCCTGTTTTACAACCTCAACTGTCTTCTGATGACATCATCACAGGTTACATTAACACCTATGGACGGACACAGCTGCAGCTTTAACTCTCACTTCACTTTAAACAGAGTAACAGTGAAGACACGTTCATCACCTGTCTCCTGTCCTCCTGACTGTCTCTCAGGCTGTCTGTCTATCACTTTGTCTTCTTCAACATGTGGATGATCTTATTGAACTTCAGTCTGGTGGCGATGTCCAGCGGTGTCTCTCCATCCTGCAGCAGAAAACAGACAGGGATCAGACCTGTGACGTACCACTAGGTCACAGATGGTGCGTTTGTGGTTCCTTTTGTACGTACATTATTCTTGACGTTGATGTCGGCATTTCTGTTTAGCAGCAGAGGAACCAGACGGTGAGTTTTTCTCTCACAGATGTAATGAAGAGCCGTGTTTCCTTTCTACACAAAACACATTCAACACATGATCACTGCTGAAACAACTGACGATGCTGAAACAACTGACGATCACTGCTGATACAACTGACGATCACTGCTGAAACAACTGTTGACCACTGCTGAAACTACTGACAATCACCGCTGAAACAACTGACGATGCTGAAACAACTGACGATCACTGCTGAAACAACTGACAATGCTGAAACAACTGACGATCACTGCTGAAACTACTGACGATCACTGCTGAAACAACTTACGATGCTGAAACAACTGACGATCACTCTGCTGAAACTACTGACGATCACTGCTGAAACTACTGACAATCACTGCTGAAACAACTGACGATCACTCTGCTTAAACAATGACGATCACTCTGCTGAAACAACTGACGATCACTGCTGAAACAACTGACAATGCTGAAACTACTGATGATCACTCTGCTGAAACTACTGACGATCACTGCTGAAACTACTGACAATCACTGCTGAAACAACTGACGATCACTCTGCTTAAACAATGACGATCACTCTGCTGAAACAACTGACGATCACTGCTGAAACAACTGACGATCACTGCTTAACCAACTGACAATGCTGAAACTACTGACGATCTCTCTGCTGAAACTACTGACGATCGCTGCTGAAACTACTGACGATCACCGCTGAAACAACTGACGATCACTGCTTAACCAACTGACAATGCTGAAACTACTGACGATCTCTCTGCTGAAACTACTGACGATCGCTGCTGAAACTACTGACGATCACCGCTGAAACAACTGACGATCACTGCTTAACCAACTGACAATGCTGAAACTACTGACGATCTCTCTGCTGAAACTACTGACGATCGCTGCTGAAACTACTGACGATCACCGCTGAAACAACTGACGATCACTGCTTAACCAACTGACAATGCTGAAACTACTGACGATCTCTCTGCTGAAACTACTGACGATCGCTGCTGAAACTACTGACGATCACCGCTGAAACAACTGACGATCACTGCTTAACCAACTGACAATGCTGAAACTACTGACGATCTCTCTGCTGAAACTACTGACGATCGCTGCTGAAACTACTGACGATCACCGCTGAAACAACTGACGATCACTGCTTAACCAACTGACAATGCTGAAACTACTGACGATCTCTCTGCTGAAACTACTGACGATCGCTGCTGAAACTACTGACGATCACCGCTGAAACAACTGACGATCACTGCTTAACCAACTGACAATGCTGAAACTACTGACGATCTCTCTGCTGAAACTACTGACGATCGCTGCTGAAACTACTGACGATCACCGCTGAAACAACTGACGATCACTGCTTAACCAACTGACAATGCTGAAACTACTGACGATCTCTCTGCTGAAACTACTGACGATCGCTGCTGAAACTACTGACGATCACCGCTGAAACAACTGACGATCACTGCTTAACCAACTGACAATGCTGAAACTACTGACGATCTCTCTGCTGAAACTACTGACGATCGCTGCTGAAACTACTGACGATCACCGCTGAAACAACTGACGATCACTGCTTAACCAACTGACAATGCTGAAACTACTGACGATCTCTCTGCTGAAACTACTGACGATCGCTGCTGAAACTACTGACGATCACCGCTGAAACAACTGACGATCACTGCTTAACCAACTGACAATGCTGAAACTACTGACGATCTCTCTGCTGAAACTACTGACGATCGCTGCTGAAACTACTGACGATCACCGCTGAAACAACTGACGATCACTGCTTAACCAACTGACAATGCTGAAACTACTGACGATCTCTCTGCTGAAACTACTGACGATCGCTGCTGAAACTACTGACGATCACCGCTGAAACAACTGACGATCACTGCTTAAACAACTGACAATGCTGAACCTACTGACGATCACTCTGCTGAATCTACTAACAATCACTGCTGAAACAACTGACGATCACTGCTTAAACAACTGACAATGCTGAAACTACTGACGATCACTCTGCTGAAACTACTGACGATCACTGCTGAAACTACTGACGATCACTGCTGAAACAACTGACAATGCTGAAACAACTGACGATCACTGCCGAATCAACTGACAATGCTTAAACAACTGACGATCACTCTGCTGAAACTACTGACCATCACTGCTGAAACAACTGACGATCACTGCTGAAACAACTGACGATCACTCTGCTGAAACTACTGACGATCACTGCTGAAACAACTGACGATCACTCTGCTGAAACTACTGACAATCACCGCTGAAACAACTGACGATGCTGAAACAACTGACGATCACTGCTGAAACTACTGACGATCACTGCTGAAACAACTGACGATGCTGAAACAACTGACGATCACTGCTGAAACTACTGACAATCACTGCTGAAACAACTGACGATCACTGCTGAAACAACTGACGATCACTCTGCTGAAACAACTGACGATCACTGCTGAAACAACTGACAATGCTGAAACAACTGATGATCACTCTGCTGAAACTACTGACGATCACTGCTGAAACAACTGTTGACCACTGCTGAAACAACTGACGATCACTGCTGAAACAACTGACGATCACTCTGCTGAAACAACTGACCATCACTGCTGAAACTACTGACGATCACTCTGCTGAAACTACTGACCATCACTGCTGAAACAACTGACGATCACTGCTGAAACAACTGACGATCACTCTGCTGAAACAACTGACGATCACTGCTGAAACAACTGACAATGCTGAAACAACTGATGATCACTCTGCTGAAACTACTGACGATCACTGCTGAAACAACTGTTGACCACTGCTGAAACAACTGACGATCACTGCTGAAACAACTGACGATCACTCTGCTGAAACAACTGACCATCACTGCTGAAACTACTGACGATCACTCTGCTGAAACTACTGACCATCACTGCTGAAATTACTGACGATCAACCAATCACTGCAGACATGAGTCAGGTCTCCGCCCACATGTAGCTCTGTGTATGATGTGAACTCACATAGTCGACAGCGTTGACGTTGACTTTGCTGCTCAGCACGGTGTTCATCAGAGTCATGTGCTGCCTCTGTTTCTGTAACTACAACACACACACACACACACACACACACACACACACGAAAGTAGAAACAGTTTTACTGTTGCAGTTTGTCATTAGTAAGTGATTCATTATCAGACACTGAGGAAAACGTGGGACCTTGAACGCACCATGAGGAAGTATCCCAGCAGCAGGATGGGCATCAGGAGGGAGATCATCAGGTAATCCAGCAGAGAGAAAGTCCTCTTGGACACATAGTGGAGACAAGTTCTCTGTTTCTGAGACACACACACATTTGAATCTGAGACAGACAAATAAACAGTGACAGTGATATGATGACATCATCAGGTGAACCTACCTTATTGGTCAGGTGGACGTCAGCCCGGTTCTCCAACAGGTATTTGACTACCCTCAGGTTGCCGTGGCGACAGGCAGCGATGATGGGCGTGTCCCCGGTGCGTGCGTCCTGGACGTTCAGGTTGTCAGGATCATGGGACAGGAGGCGGAACAGCTGGTGGACATCTCCGTCGTACGCTAACTGACAGGTCGGCTGTAACCACAGAGACACGCCCACCACAGAGAGTCAACAGGAGCCCGACCTCTGACCTTTACACTCACACTTTCTATGTGTCAGAGAGCTGCCTGTAACACCGTCCACAGGCCTCACCAAAGTAACAACTATGTCAAATATGTGAAGTTTCCTTGAGGAGCCTGAACCAGGACTGGACAGGTCGGAGGACATTCCTCTGCTGTCTGACTGGATCCGTGTGTCAGACCTTCAGACCCGCATCCTCTCTCTACATGTTTGTGTTGATGCTGATGAGACTCGCTGAAACAGAGCAACAGTTGAAATGGCCCACTGTCTGTAAACACACCGCATTTACGCAGACAGGTGATAAATGGCCTGGAGGTGCCAGGGATCGAACCACCGACCTTCTGATCAAAAGACAACCTGCTCTACCTGCTGAGCCACAGACACCTCAGGGAGTCGTGACGTACAGAATCACCTGTAATGTAGGAGAGTCAGACACTGAAAAAAGCCTTTTTCCCGCCTGTTTCCTGAAGAACAGTCTGCTGCTCTGACACAAAAAAAACTCGACGATGGTTTTGACCGCAGCTCGTCACAAACAGGTGAGTGTACAGGTGAGTATACAGGTGAGGACAGTGCAGTGAAGTACACCCTAAGTGCACCTGTACTGATGTTTCTACCTGAACCTCTCGGACACCTGCTACACCGAAAGTCTGTTTGGTTCTCGCGCCGAACCAACGTCACCTGTCCAGACCGGGTTCGATAAAAACACCAGGTTAAACAAAATAAAATAATCGGATTAAAGAATAAAAGCGTTTTACCTCAGAGTACACCAGCCCCATGTCTACCGGCAGGAACACACCTGGACACGTCAACGTTCCTACAACTTCAGCACACACACTTCCTGTCACACATTTCAAAATAAAAGGGACAGGCTCTGTCCCCCACATCTCCCTGTTTCCTCATTGACTCTGCATTATATTTTACAAAAACAATAACATTTTATCATTATTTATCCATCTATAGGACAAAAGGACACACACACACACACACACACACACACCAGAAGTGAAGAAGCAGACTCACTGATTTTTAATTTTACCATGATAAAACAACTGATGATCCAAACCTTCACTTGTTTTCCCGCCATAATGATGATGACGATGTGTGCAGGTCCTTTCCTTCTTCATCATCATTCAATCACCGAACATTATGTTGAAAGAGTCGTAAACAGAAACAGCTCCACGTTTAATGATAAGTCTGCTTTTATTTTGTAGTGGAAACTCTGTCACTTCCTGTCTGTCGTCTCACTGAGTGAGTTTGACAGATCAAAGCTGAAGTGAAAGAGACAATGTGTATCATCTTCATGTTTCTGACGCAGTTTGATTCAGTCACGTGACTCTCTCTCTCTCTCTCTCTCTCTCTCTCTCACACACACACACACACACACACACACACACACACACACACACACACACACCTGGTTCACACCTTGTTCTGAGACATGTCCACACAGGAGGATCTCACAGCTGGAATCAGCCTAAAGCAAAATAAAACAAGAGGAGTCAGTGAATGCATCGTGAAAATCCAGTCAGATGTCCAACAGTGACACAGTGACATCTGTTGTATCCTTAATTCAGTTCATTATTATTATTCAGAAATCCAAGTTTATTATTATTATTGAGAATGTGTTCTTTATTTACTCATTGATTATATTTCATGATTAATGTTCAAATGGTATTAAAAATACAGTTAAAAGTAAGATTAAATATATACAGGATTCAGTTATATGATATGTGGTATGTTACAGTATGAGACCACAAGGTGGCGCTTCATTCGTTTACATGTCAGTTTACAACAGGTCAGAGTAAAAAACCGGGAAAAGAAAGTGGTTCAGTGGAAACAACGTTAAACAACAGATCTTCCCGGGCAGTTAGTAGCCGATGTGATGTATCGTAAATGCATGTTTTCGTCAGTAAAACCCTGGAACGACATCGAGGAGTCCTGCTTCATTTTTTAATAGAAGTTACAGTTAAGTTCCCACAACATCAAACACAACACACACAAACAACAACAACAACAAACACACAGCTTCACAACTGATCCAGTCTGACACCAGCAGTTTTTTAAAACCTCTTAAAACGTAACAAGGTCAAAGGTCAAAGGTCACATGATCAGCTTCTCGGTCTACAGACTCTGCACACAATGGAAAGTCAAAGCAGCCCCCCCCACCTGTCCTCACCTGCTGGTGGAAAGACAGAAATTTGCAAGTTGAACTCAAAACCACAGTCTCACCTGTGTGAGGTCATCAGGTGACCTGAGTCAGAGTCAAACTCATGTCTCCAGGCGGAGATTGAGAGACCCTCCCCACTGGACCGTCTCCAAGCTGATCCTGATCCTGATCAGAAATACCTGGTTCAGTTTAATGAGGGTTGGAGACGCTGCAGGTGAAACGACGTCCTGATCAGGTGAGTCCACAAGAGACTCCAGAGACCAGATCAGACTGAGCCAGCACAGACCAGCTGACCTGGGTCCAGGTCTCTGTCAGCTGATCCACACCTGCTGCAGGTGAGCCAAGTTCAGAGTATGAAAGGAAGGAAGCTAGTCCAGAGAGGAAGGACGCCGACCTTCAGCCTGGAGACAGGGATCTAACCTGAGCTCGGCCGACCTGAGGTACATTACACAGGTGTGTGTGTGTGTGTGTGTGTGTGTAAAAAACAAAACAACAAAAACTGAGCTCAAACGATAAAAAAAATTCAAACGCTGTGTTCACTAACCTCATCTGTTCGCTTCGATTTCTCCGAGCGAATTTCTGAACTTCCGCGGTTCCACCGAGGAGGAAACAGAACAGGTACACCAGGTGAGCCCACACAGAGCCCTGGGGTGTCTGCTTTTGTTTTCACTCGACATCATCTGAGCTTCTGATGTGGAGGAGGGACTATGTCTTTTTATTATTATTATTGTTGTTATTATTATTTTTATTGATATTATTATTATTAGTAGTATTATTAGTATTGAACCAGCTGTGGCCCTGGTTGCGCCTCAGTTTGGTGCCTGAAAAACGTGTCAGAGTGATACATTACAACTGATTTACTCCTTTCTTTGGCAGTAGTGGTGCGCATGTGCAGAGTCAACACCCACTCCTGTGAAACCGGAAGGTGGGAGTGAGTCTTCTGTGCACAGAGACGATCTCTTAGCTCCACCATCTCTGTCATCAGTCGCTGTTTGTTTGCAGCTCCCGGAGCTTTCAGCCATTTTTATCATCAGCTTCACTCACCGGGCTTAATCACCGGTCACTGTAGACCCGGGTCTGGATCCAGACTGAACCCAGAGGCTGTGACCCGGGTCTCTCAGCTCCACATGTGGTGGGATGTCGACAGGAGAGCACACCGACATCAAGCAGGTACATTGATTCTCCTGCCTCCCGGAGCTCTTTGTCCTGTTCTGTGGGTCTTCCTCTGGGTCCAGTAGAACCAGTAGAGTCAGAGTGGAGCTGTGAGTGTGTTTTATTCATCTAAACAGCAGCAGAGACACGTTCAGAGTCACTATTAGAAAATAGGAAATTGTGGTTTCAGCTGCAGTTTCACACTGTGACACAGAAATCCCTTAAAGTCTCTTATGCATGCATTCTATTCCATGTTATTCTGAATGAGACCTGTCATCTGGGCCGAACTCTTATTTTTTATTGCAGGATTCAAGGGTTTAAGGAATTTAATTTCCCCTTAATTTAGTTGTCAGTTTAAGGTGTTTTTGGGCCCTTATTAAAACTTCTTAAACACCTTTAATTTGAAAATTACACATTATACACATTGCATCAGTAATTAATGGATAAATAATTAACTGTAAAAGAATAAGTGTGTTTCTGGGAGTTTAAGGGATTTTTAAAGGGGTAAGATCCGTTGTTTGAACCCCTTAAACAGAATAAAACCAACCTTTAATTAAAGTAAAATTTAAGGGACAAAAAGCCCAAAACTAAAGATGAAACCTTTAATTTAAAAATATAACTGGTGCACAGCCCTTAATTTACACATTAATTAATATTAGACTGATGTTTATCTCTGCGCTTAGATTCCAGAAAATTAATGTTTAAATTAATAGATTCTAGAGCTTTAATGGATTTTATGTTAGGGGTTCATAGAGAGACAAAATCCCTTAAAATGTACAGAATCCCATTTAAAAACCACTAAATAAATGTCAGTCCAGTAATTAGTTCCTTAAAATTCCATTAAAGTGCCATTGATGCTCCATGAATGATATGACATAATGTACACTGGATATTTAATGGGACATTTAATGGACTTTAATAATCTAAGGTATTTGAAAAGTTTTCAACACAGTTTAAGGGATTTTTAAGAGATAAATGAGAGAAAATACATTACATCCATATATTGGAATCCATTAATTGTTCCCATAAAAACCGTTTAAAACACCTTAACTACACCATTGTTTGTTGACAAGCAAATCATGTGTGAAATAATTTTGATTTAATCTGTGGAGAAATGAAGACCTTCATCTATTACAATTAGTTATCCCTTAAAATCCCAAAAGTTTCAGTCTCTCAGAACCTTATATCCCTTAAAAACACCTTAATTCTTTAAGGGGTTTTGTGAGATTTAAGTGTGTACTGTAAATGAATGGGAAGCTGTTTTAAGGTGTTTGTACATTAAACCACAGAAAAGTTTTCAGGCCGACAGGTGAGATTCATGTGTAACAGGATGCGGCCTCCTCTCACCTGTTCAGGTGTAACCACATGTTTTCAGTGAGTGTCGATGAAGGAGGTCAAAGGTTGAGCAGCAGCAGAGTGAATGTGGATGAGCAGGATGTTTGAGTGAGTCAGGAGAAACACATTCACTGTTGCAGCTCAACACTGAGTTAAATATTAGCTGTTAGCGCCCCCTACCTGCAGCTGTTTTCTCCCCTCATGGCCACAAGGGGCCAACAAGGAGCTCATGACACACATGACACACATGACTCAAAGGTGTGTCTACCAACTGGACCAGGACTATGTCTCTGCTGAGGACCATGGTTTTAGGGTGTTTGATGAGGTCACCTTTTATAAATAAAAAGAATTGTCAGTTAATCAACAAATAATCATCTGATAATTATTATATTATTATTATTATACCTGATTATCATCTGATCTGACACATCTGGTCCACATCTGGACACCAGGAGCAGGAACACCTGAAACCCTCTCTGGTCTCAGGCTGGATGGATGCACCTGTTGCCATGGTGACATCCTCTAGGCCGGCTGAGGCAGACGGTGTTGATGACGGTTGTTGTCTACTGAGGAGTGGGAGGTCGTCTTCTTCTCCTCCTCTTTGTGTCTTTTCTTCTTCTCTCTGTTGTTAAACTGGATGACTCAGTGGATGATTAGTTACCGGTCGTCATGGTAACCGTGGACCAAACCGAAGGACGAGCAGGCGCAATGACAAGGGGGCCCCTCGACACACGGCTGGCTCTGATTGGCTGGTGCTGACTGTTACCTTTAGCCACTGTGCTGGCTTCACAGCTGTGTGAACGAACGTCTTCTGTTTTGTTGTCTCCTCTGCAGTGAAGCATGATGGGAGGTGGCAGATGGACGAACCAGTCGTGGGCCGAGCAGTGACACACACACACACACATACACATTCACACTCACACTCACACACACAAACACACACACACACCATGGACCAAGGCTTCAGTTTAAATACACTGGTGAGTGTTTTTGTGTGTGTGTGTGTGTGTGTGTGTGTGTGTGTGTGTGTGTGTGTGTGTGTGTGTGTGTGTGTGTGTGTGTGTGTGTGTGTTCTTGTTTTACTCATGTTGTGAGGACTCACTGAACAGGTGGAGTCACGATGTCCCTACCAAGACTAGTTCATGGTTCGGACATGTCTGCAGGAAGTGAATCTGAGTGATGGAAACACGACTCTGAGACCTTCAAATTAAAAGCCTGAATCATGTTTGTCAAAGCTGTGAGAGCAGTGGTTTCCTCCTTCCTCAGTTCCTTTCCTTCCTCAGTCCTTGTCTCCTTCCTCAGTCCTCTTCTCTGTCCTCATTTCCTTTCCTTCCTCAGTCCTCGTCTCTTTCCTCAGTTTCTTTCCTTCCTCAGTCCTCGTCTCCTTCCTCAGTCCTCGTCGCTTTCCTCAGTTCCTTTCCTTCCTCAGTCCTCGTCTCTTTCCTCAGTTCCTTTCCTTCCTCAGTCCTTGTCTCCTTCCTCAGTCCTCATCTCCTTCCTCAGTCCTCCTCTCCTTCCTCAATCCTCATCTCTGTCCTCAGTCCTCATCTCTTTCCTCAGTTCCTTTCCTTCCTCAGTCCTCATCTCCTTCCTCAGTCCTCGTCTCCTTCCTCAGTTCTCATCTCTTTCCTCAGTCCTCCTCTCCTTCCACAGACCTCGTCTCTTTCCTCAGTTCCTTTCCTTCCTCAGTCCTTGTCTCCTTCCTCAGTCCTCATCTCCTTCCTCAGTCCTCCTCTCCTTCCTCAATCCTCATCTCTGTCCTCAGTCCTCATCTCTTTCCTCAGTTCCTTTCCTTCCTCAGTCCTCGTCTCCTTCCTCAGTCCTCATCTCTTTCCTCAGTTCCTTTCCTTCCTCAGTCCTCATATCTTTCCTCAGTTCCTTTCCTTCCTCAGTCCTCGTCTCCATCCTCAGTCCTCATCTCTTTCCTCAGATCCTTTCCTTCCACACTCCTTGTCTCTTTCCTCAGTTCCTTTCCTTCCACAGTCCTCGTCTCTTTCCTCAGTCCTTTCCTTCTTTTCATCATCTTCATTTTATCCCCCCCTCCCCCCCTTCCCCCCCCCCCCCCAGTGGTGTTCTCTCTCTCTCTGTCTTTCCTCTCTGCGTCGCCTGGTGAATGGGAAACAGTCGCTCACAGTGAACAGAGGACTTGTTTATCCAGTGTGTAACAAACACTGCATTCAGGCTCCCAGCAGGGACGGTAAATCTGAGTTCCTGCCTGAATGCAGCTCTGCTGTCAGATGTAAATGTGACTGATCATATTTGATGAAGAGTCCTGATGAACCTGGAGGAGGGGCTTTATTATTAATGTCAGGACACGGTGCTGAGGTCGAGTCCAGAGTCCAGACACAAGACACTGTCATCATGACCTAGATTCTACCTGGGTTTATTCAGGTGTTTACATTGTACCTGAGTGCACATGTTTCTCACTGAAATGTTCCTCTGTACAAACAACCAGAGCAGTGAGTTAAAGATAATGACTCATGTCAAGCTGGATATTACCTGGATGTTACCTGGATGTTAGTCGGGTGTTTAGCTGGATGTTAGCTGGTTGTTAGCTGGTTGTTAGCTGGATGTTACCTGGTTGTTAGCTGGATGTTACCTGGATGTTACCTGGTTGTTAGCTGGATGTTACCTGGATGTTAGTCGGATGTTAGCTGAATGTTAGCTGTTACATGTTAGCCCAGCTCTATGTACCTGTGTGTGGCTCACAGTCACTGTGTGTGGGGAATATGAAGCAGATCATGTACAACATAATATCAACAGGTAGAATCACTCAGCTGTAAATGAGAAGCTGTACCACAGGTACCTGGACACACATTAACCCTTTGTTTTGCCAGTTTGACCATAACAAGTGATGATTGAATGGTGAAATTGATGGCATGGCCCTTTTAAATGATGTGTTTTGTTTGATCCAGTACTTTGACATTGTCAGGTGCCAACTTGAACGTGTGTGTGTTTGTGTTGTGTAGAAGAAGCTGGCAGCAGAACCAGACTACACTGACGTGTCATTGACAGCGGCGGAACGTGTTCGGGCGCTGGGGAAGATGGGATGCAATGTGGAGATCAACGAGGACATTGCGCCACGACGCTACTTCCGCTCCGGGGTGGAGATGGAGCGCATGGCGGCGGTTTACCTGGAGGAGGGCAGTCTGGAGAATGCTTACGTCCTCTACACCAAGTTTATCACGTAAGAAACACAACATGCTGACATCACAACGCACCTTTCTGTAAGTTCGGATCATCTCAGGCTCTTAAAGGTGAAATGTGTTCAGTCTGTTTGTAGAGAAGCTGCCCAGTCATAGAGACTACCAGCAGTGCAGCGTCCCAGAGAAACAGCTCATCATGAAGGTAATGACCCTCATTATCAACACTGGTAGTCCCCAGTCTTCTGGAGATGGTCCTGATGCTTCTCCCGATCCAACACAACTTACTGATGCTACAGGCAGCATCACTACATTTAGCAGTAGCAGTAATATTTACTGTCTGTCTCTGTGTTTCTGTAGAAACTGCAGGAGGTGGCGTTTCCTCGTAAAGACGAGTTGAAGAAACGTCTTCAGGAGAAATACAGCAGGGAACATACCGAGTACCTCAGAGCCCAGGTGTGTTTGTGTCGTCCAATCAGATTGGAGATATATGCTGATCTACAGTTACACACATGTTACTTGGACTCAGATTGACACTCTTCAGCCAATAAAAAGCTGTGTTTCCTCAGAGCCAGGCTGTGGTGAGGGATGGGTGTGGCCAGCAGCTGCAGCGCCTCTCCTTATTGGATGAGGACAGGAGGCGGGTCCTTCTACTGGAGGGGGAGAGGCAGCGGGTCGCCACCCTGCGACGGATGCAGATCGAATCAGAACAGTTTCGTTACTTTGAGGACCAGCTGAGGCGTCAGGAACTAGCCAATAGGAGAGGAGAGGAGGCGGAGCAAAAGGTATCATTAGACATCACTGTAGTACTATTACTACTGCTACTACAAGTAATGCGTTTCTCCTGCAGGTGGAGATCAAAATGCCTGAGGTGACGGACGGGTCCTGTCTGTCTGAGCAGCCAATCAGAGAAAGCATACGTTCCCAGGGGGCGGACCCTAACAGAAACAGACCGCCAGCTCCCATCAGTCAACCGGCTGCCACGCTGGCTGGAGTACACAGTGAGTACACACATGTACACACTCTCTGAACATACAGTGTATGTGTATCTTGCTCGTCTTTATGTTCCTGTGTGTGTTTGTTTCGTGTGTGTGTGCAGCTCAGAGGGTGGAGGGTCTGAGGCGGGTGGTGATTCCCAGAGATCTGACGTATCGTTTCCTCCTGCTAGCCGACTCCAACACTGCCAGAGGAATAGAGACCTGTGGAGTGCTGTGTGGACGACTGGTGAGGCTGTTTACTGACTGTTTACTGACTCTTTACCGACCATTCAGCTCTGTGTGAAGACTGAGTCCAGTACAGACCAGAACAGACCTGAAGCAGCTCTAACACAGTTATTCATTATCTCTCTCTCTCCCCTGTCTGTGTGAATGTCTCTCGGCCTCAGACACACAATGAGTTTGTGCTGACTCATGTCGTGATCCCGAAACAGTCGGCCGGTCCAGATTTCTGTGACATGGAGAACGTGGAGGAACTGTTCAGCTTCCAGGACCAACAGAACCTGCTGACACTGGGCTGGATCCATGTACGATTACACGCTAAACACACGCTAAACAAACTTGAACCACACAGTTTTATCCTCAGTGTGTCATCAGTGTGTCCACAGTGTGTCCTCAGTGTGTCCTCAGTGTGTCCACAGTGTGTCCTCAGTTTTATCCTCAGTGTGTCCTCAGTGTGTCCACAGTGTGTCCACAGTGTGTCCTCAGTGTGTCCTCAGTGTGTCCACAGTGTGTCCTCAGTTTTATCCTCAGTGTGTCCTCAGTGTGTCCACAGTGTGTCCACAGTGTGTCCTCAGTGTGTCCTCAGTGTGTCCACAGTGTGTCCTCAGTTTTATCCTCAGTGTGTCCTCAGTGTGTCAGTAGTGTTTCCTCAGTGTGTCCTCAGTGTTTCTCAGTGTGTCCTCAGTGTGTCCTCAGTTTTATCCTCAGTTTTATCCTCAGTGTGTCAGTAGTGTTTCCTCAGTGTGTCCTCAGTGTTTCTCAGTGTGTCCTCAGTGTGTCCTCAGTTTTATCCTCAGTGTGTCCTCAGTGTGTCCTCAGTGTGTCTTCAGTGTGTCCTCAGTTTGTCCTCAGTTTTATCCTCAGTGTGTCATCAGTGTGTCCACAGTGTGTCCTCAGTTTTATCCTCAGTGTGTCCTCAGTGTGTCAGTAGTGTTTCCTCAGTGTGTCCTCAGTGTTTCTCAGTGTGTCCTCAGTGTGTCCTCAGTTTTATCCTCAGTGTGTCCTCAGTGTGTCCTCAGTGTGTCCTCAGTGTGTCAGTAGTGTTTCCTCAGTGTGTCCTCAGTGTTTCTCAGTGTGTCCTCAGTGTGTCCTCAGTTTTATCCTCAGTGTGTCCTCAGTGTGTCCTCAGTGTGTCCTCAGTGTGTCAGTAGTGTTTCCTCAGTGTGTCCTCAGTGTTTCTCAGTGTGTCCTCAGTGTGTCCTCAGTTTTATCCTCAGTGTGTCCTCAGTGTGTCCTCAGTGTGTCCTCAGTGTGTCCTCAGTGTGTCCTCAGTGTGTCCTCAGTGTGTCCTCAGTGTGTCCTCAGTGTGTCCTCAGTGTGTCCTCAGTGTGTCCTCAGTGTTTCTCAGTGTGTCCTCAGTGTGTCCTCAGTTTTATCCTCAGTGTGTCCTCAGTGTGTCCTCAGTGTGTCCACAGTGTGTCCTCAGTGTGTCCTCAGTGTGTCCACAGTGTGTCCTCAGTTTTATCCTCAGTGTGTCCTCAGTGTGTCCTCAGTGTGTCCTCAGTGTGTCCTCAGTGTGTCAGTAGTGTGTCCTCAGTGTGTCCTCAGTGTTTCTCAGTGTGTCATCAGTGTGTCCTCAGTGTGTCCTCAGTTTTATCCTCAGTGTGTCCTCAGTGTTTCTCAGTGTGTCCTCAGTTTTATCCTCAGTGTGTCCTCAGTGTGTCATCAGTGTTTCCTCAGTGTGTCCTCAGTGTTTCTCAGTGTGTCCTCAGTGTGTCCTCAGTGTTTCCTCAGTGTGTCCTCAGTGTTTCTCAGTGTGTCATCAGTGTGTCCTCAGTGTGTCCTCAGTTTTATCCTCAGTGTGTCCTCAGTGTGTCCTCAGTTTTATCCTCAGTGTGTCCTCAGTGTGTCAGTAGTGTGTCCTCAGTGTGTCCTCAGTGTTTTCTCAGTGTGTCCTCAGTCTCTATGAATCAGTGTAAACCTGTGAGGTCCCCACAGAGTGATGTAACCCAGACACAAACACACGCTTAGTAAAGTGACCTCTGTTGCTCTTTTCCTTCCCCTTCCTTGGCATTATCAAATATCACCATGGCAACAGTGCCTGTGGTCGAGCAACAGATGAGTGGAGAGATGGAGGGACAGAGATGGGAACAGATGGACAGAGTTCTCACTCTGCTCTTTATTTATCCACTAATGAATGACTGACTTTTATTTGACTGGTTTTCACATGTCAGTGTCAAGGTGAAACCACATGTCTCTGTGTCAGGTGGTTACCAGAGAGGCGTGTCCTCACAGTGTCTGTCTGTTTCAGACTCATCCCACTCAGACCGCCTTCCTCTCCAGTGTCGACCTCCACACTCACTGCTCGTATCAGCTGATGCTGCAGGAGGCCGTTGCCATAGTCTGCGCTCCCAAACACAACGAGTATGTCTCACTGTTTCAGGCTGTAGACCACATGTAGCTGAAATCAAGGTGAGTCCAGTGGGACTGCAGCTCTGACTCTGATCCCCCCTCCTCCCCCTCAGCACTGGTGTGTTCAGGCTCACTGGTCCGGGGATGTCGGAGGTCTCTGGCTGCAGACTGAAAGGTTTCCATCCTCACTCCAAGGAGCCACCTCTCTTCACTGTAAGCACCTTCCTCTTACTCTGGTTCTCTGAGCTCAGGTATTTGACTCTGTGTCACATTAGTTCATCATTAAATTCCCAAATGCCCTGCAGTCAAATCAGTTCCTGAACACCCCATGTTCGTTTAGCTCTGAGCCTCGGGGGTCATTTTAGTTCTAGAAACCACCACTGGTTTTAGTCCCTGAACGTCCCACACTTGTTGCAGTACCTGCTCTTGTTGAATGTAACAGATGTATCGGAACCATTAGCGTAGTTAGCATCTCTTCAAAACGGTTAGCATAGTTAGCATTTCTTCAGAATGGTTAGCATAGTTAGCATCTCTTCAGAACCGTTAGCATTTCTTCAGAACTGTTAGCGTAGTTAGCATCTCTTCAAAACGGTTAGCATAGTTAGCATCTCTTCAGAACAGTTAGCGTAGTTAGCATTTCTTCAGAATGGTTAGCATAGTTAGCATCTCTTCAGAACCGTTAGTGTAGTTAGCATCTCTCTAGAACCATTAGCGTAGTTAGCATCTCTTCAGAACCGTTAGCGTAGTTAGGATCTCTTCAAAACGGTTAGCATTTCTTCAGAACGGTTAGCATAGTTAGCATCTCTTCAGAACGGTAAGCATAGTTTGCATCTAGGCTACACTTAGCAATGAAATGAGAGGATTTTCCTAAATGTGGCACTGCATCCTTTAAAGATTTAAAGTGACTCAAACTGTCATTTAACTACAGCCTTTCTCTTCTCTCTCTCTCTCTTTCTGTGCGTGTGTCTGAATGTCTCTTGCCCTCTCAGGTGTGTAAACATGTGGTGGTGAGAGACTCAAAGATCAGTCTGCTGGACCTCAGGTGACAGACAGGAGGCGCTGCAAGGCTTTTATTTTGTCAAGAGGAAACTGAACACCCTGTGTGTGTGTGTGTGTGTGTGTGTGTGTGTGTGTGTGTGTGTGCTGCTATCAGCTGCTGGTCGTCGCTTCTCTCTGTGGATCAGTGTTAGCTGTGTAGCGTGTGCAGTGGGAGGAGCTAACAGGAGGAGTGGAGGGTGAAGTGCCTTTACATCAACGCATGAATGTTTCCTGTCAGCAGCTCATATTTAACACACCTGGTCAGGTGAACCCTAAGGACCAATCATCTGTATGTTTGTTGGATCTGATTCAGCAGCGGCTGCTTCAATTGTCCCAACCAATAAAAACCTGTTTTACTGCAGAGTCTATTCACAGTGAGAGTTTGGATTAATCACATGATCTGTGGTCTGGTCTTGGTGAATCCAGCAGCTGAAACCAGGACCAGGTCCAGAACCAGGACCAGACCAGAGACAGTATCAGGTTAGTGATGAACAGAGGGTTTCACCTCTCAGGTACACACCCCCCCACCTCCCCTTCTGAAACCAGACCAGCCGGATCACATGAACCTGTCATTGCAGTTTTCAGATGATGGTTCACAGAGTCCAGTTCACATCATGTGATGGTTTTGTTTGGTTCCCACCTGGTCTAAACTCAGGGTCCAGATGTTCTCAGACTGTAAGTCTCAGTTCACGACTACAGATTCTACAGGACTACAGAGTCTTCAGGACTACAGAGTCTATAGGACTACAGATTCCACAGGACTACAGATTCCACAGGACTACAGAGTCTACAGGACTACAGAGTCTACAGGACTACAGAGTCTACAGAGTCTACAGGACTACAGAATCTACAGGACTACAGATTCTACAGGACTACAGAGTCTACAGGACTACAGAGTCTTCAGGACTACAGAGTCTACAGAGTCTACAGGACTACAGAATCTACAGGACTACAGAATCTACAGGACTACAGAATCTACAGAATCTACAGGACTACAGAGTCTACAGGACTATAGAGTCTACAGATTCTACAGGACTACAGAATCTACAGGACTACAGAATCTACAGGACTACAGAATCTACAGAGTCTACAGGACTACAGAGTCTTCATGAGTACAGGGTCTACAGGACTACAGAGTCTTCAGGACTAGAGAATCTACAGGACTACAGAGTCTACAGTCTACAGGACTACAGAGTCTACAGTCTACAGGACTACAGAATCTACAGAGTCTACAGGACCACAGAATCTACAGGACTACAGAGTCTACAGGACTACAGAATCTACAGAGTCTACAGGACTACAGAATCTACAGGACTACAGAGTCTACAGGACTACAGAGTCTACAGGACTACAGAGTCTACAAGACTACAGAGTCTTCAAGACTAGAGAATCTACAGGACTACAGAGTCTACAGTCTACAGGACTACAGAGTCTACAGTCTACAGGACTACAGAATCTACAGAGTCTACAGGACTACAGAATCTACAGGACTACAGAGTCTACAGGACTACAGAATCTACAGAGTCTACAGGACTACAGAGTCTTCATGAGTACAGAGTCTACAGTCTACAGGACTACAGATTCTACAGGACTACAGATTCTACAGGACTACAGATTCTACAGGACTACAGAGTCTTCAGGACTACAGAGTCTACAGGACTACAGAGTCTTCAGGACTACAGAGTCCCCCTCTGAGCTGGAGCTAAAAACCGTACCGGACCAGGACTGGACTGTGTGTTTGTGGGTCTGTGTGAGTCCAGTCTCAGTTAAACCAGGTTCCATTGTCTGTACTTGTGTTTGGCTGGAAACGATGCTTCAAAATAAAAGCTCTGCACCAGAAATTCACTGCTCTTCAAAGTAAAGTGTGTCTGATGATGTGGACTCAGACTTTAATCCTGCTTCACATTTGTAAAGACTTTCTCCTCTGAGCTGAAATCATTTCTCAAATCTTTATTTTTGAGTTTTTATTGTCGAGTCTGTATCACACGCTCTGACCTGCTGCTTCGTCTCTGCAGCTGGATGAGTCTCATTCTGTGCACCAGCAGACGTTCTCATGTTGAGGTGTGTGTGTGTGTGTGAGAGAGAGTGTGAGAGAGAAGCTAACTGCTGTATTGTTTGTTAATAAATCACCAGCGGCTGCAGACTGTCAGGGTCATTATTGTGTTGCTGCCTGACGTGTGCTTCTTTGTCATTTTAACCTGGACCTGCAGCAGGTGGACCAGGGTCCAGACTCAACGAGACTCACTTTAAATCATGACTACATGAAGTTTAGTTGGGAGTAGATCTGAGGTACAGGTCTGGTGATACTCTGTAGTTGACTTCACCTCCTCAGTCTCCAGACACACTGAAGTTTCTCTCCAGACATGTTTAAAATGCTTTGAAATCCTCTACTGTGATTCATTTAGTTTAACATCTCCTCTTACTTCCTGGTTGAGAAACCTGGATCAGGCCTGGAGCCCCGCCCACCACCTGCTGGCTCCAGGTGGACAGGTGAAAGAGCAGAGAGCATCAAGATGGTGAGAGGAGGAAACATTAGAGAGACTCAGTCACATGTTTGAGCCTCAGTCAGACCCAGACTCAGAGGAGGAGTCTGAGACCAGAACCAGAGACTAGCAGTCGGATCAGAACTGTTAGCTAGTTAGCATCTTTTCAGAACGATTAGCGTAGTTAGCATCTTTTCAGAATGGTTAGCGTAGTTAGCATCTTTTCAGAACAGTTGGTGTAGTTGGCATCTTTTCACTTTTTAGCTAGCTCTCCCACCTCTGTACTGACAAGGTTTCAGGTTTATTTAGCCCCGCCCCCTGTCCCCATTGGTTGACAGGATTGGTTCCTTAGGTGATCTGTACTCCTGCTCGTTAACAGTAATTATCTAAGTGTTACTGAATTGTGTTCGGTTCTAGCATCATTTCTCCTGGTCTGAGATCAGAGGAAACTGACGCCATGTTGTTTGGACAGACTTGTGGTCAGTGGTGTCATCAGCACTGACAGTGAGCTGTGAGGACTGAAGAGACAGACACAGTTGTCTTGTATGAGAGCTCTTTATTGTCTTCCTGTCACCTCCATGTTGTTGACGTCACATCACACATTCTCTACACGTCCCTAATGCAGGCCACGCCTCCTGCTCACCTACCCAGAGTTCAACCAATGTGACATCATACACTCTGTGACATCATTCTCAGCGGGCGACATTCAAGCTTTATTCATCAAAAATAAAAACACACCTTCTGACAAGAGACAGTACCGAAATGGAGGATGGGGGGTGGGGGCGGGGCCACAGGTGGAGCGAGGGGAGGTGGAGGTGGGAGGAGGACAAGCGGCACATTCACAGTTCTCATGTGAGCAGAGAGGGAGGATGTTTGAGCTGAAAATCTGCAGATTTTCTGATGGAAGTTCAGAATAAAGGTTCAGTTCTCCAAAAACACCACAGACGACATCACTTCCTGTTTCCAGCTGACATAAAGATTGTAGCATCTTCCTGGATACCAACAACATGGCTGACTTCCTGCTGTCGCCCCCTGGTGGCTGTTTTTGGGAGCTGATCTGGGACCTGTTTGCTCGTGCTCAGTGAGGTTAACATGAAGACAGTGCTGCAGCTGACACTAGAAACCTGGGGGGGGGGGGGGGGGGGCGGGGAGGCGCGAGCGGTGGTTGTAAGGACCATGTGGATCTCTTAGAAGCACTTGCGTGGACGATGGAGCGTCCGGCCTCGTTCGTACTCCTGCTTGCTGATCCACATCTGCTGGAAGGTGGAGAGGGAGGCCAGGATGGAGCCGCCGATCCACACTGAGTACTTCCTCTCTGGGGGGCAATGATCTGGGGGGGGGGGGGGGGGGGGGGGGTGTTTAATCTCAGATTTCTGACTGTTTTTACTGATGTTTAATCTGGACCTGAACATGCTGCGTCTGTTTTATTCAGATTTCACCACAGAGCTGCACCAAACCCATGTCAGTCTTTATTTTAATTCAAGTATTTTAACGGCTTCGGGTTTTGTCTTTTCTGAGCCTTTAACAAAACTTTATTGACACTGAGTCTGTGGGTTTGATCATTAAATACAGAATAATAAAGTCAAACTTAAGAGAGTATAGACGAGTCAGTGTCTGCTTCAGGATGACACATTTATATATAATAATAATAATAATATAAAAATATATTTACACACATATATAAAGATCTATAAAGGCTGATGACAGGTTTAGAAAAATAATAATGATGATAATGATAATAATAACAACAACCATAATAGTGATAATAATGATAATAATAATAATAATGATAATATAATGATAATAATTAATACAATAATGATAATCATAATGATGATGATAATAATAATAATAATAATAATAATAATAATAATAATAATAATAATAATAATAATATATAGTGACAGGTCACCTTGATCTTCATGGTGCTGGGGGCCAGCGCTGTGATCTCCTTCTGCATGCGGTCGGCGATACCCGGGTACATGGTGGTTCCTCCAGACAGCACGTTGTTGGCGTACAGGTCTTTACGGATGTCGATGTCACACTTCATGATGCTGTTGTAGGTTGTCTCATGGATACCAGCTGACTCCATACCTGCAGGACAGAAAACAGAGGACGGAGGACACTGGGTAAGTGGTGGTCAAAGGTAAACAGACAGGTGGACAGACAGGTGGACAGACAGGTGGCTGACCAATGAAGGAGGGCTGGAAGAGCGTCTCAGGGCAGCGGAACCTCTCATTGCCGATGGTGATGACCTGCCCGTCAGGAAGCTCGTAGCTCTTCTCCAGAGAGGACGAGGTCGCCGCCGTCCCCATCTCATTCTCGAAGTCCAGAGCCACGTAACACAACTTCTCCTTGATGTCCCGCACAATCTCTCTCTCCGCTGCAGACACACAACACACACACAGTCAGACTTCCTGTCACCCTCTGGTGCACCTGTCCAGGTGTGATGTCGCCGCCACTGTCATACCGGTGGTCACGAAGCTGTAGCCTCGCTCGGTGAGGATCTTCATGAGGTAGTCGGTGAGGTCACGTCCCGCCAGGTCCAACCTCATGATGGCGTGAGGCAGAGCGTAACCCTCGTAGATCGGCACGTTGTGGGTGACGCCATCACCAGAGTCCAGGACGATACCTGAGTTACAGAGAAGGTCAAAGGTCACAGGGACTCTGTACACGAGCAGCTGTTTAAAAGGCTTTTATGATGAAAAGCTGCGACAGGAAAATGTGTCGGGATGTTGAGCGTGGTCCAACCTGTGGTTCGTCCGGAGGCGTACAGGGACAGGACGGCCTGAATGGCCACATACATGGCGGGGACATTGAAGGTCTCAAACATGATCTGGACACAGAGACAGAGACACAAAAGTTACATCCATCTTTGTTTTCAGTCTGTGCTTATTACCTGATTCATCTTCTCCCTGTTGTTGTGTAGTACTGTGTATTACTGTTTATTACTGTGTAGTACTGTGTATTACTGCGTAGTACTGTGTAGTACTGTGTAGTACTGTGTAGTAGTACTACCTGGGTCATCTTCTCCCTGTTGTTGTGTAGTACTGTGTATTACTGTTTATTACTGTGTAGTACTGTGTATTACTGATTATTACTGTGTAGTACTGTGTATTACTGATTATTACTGTGTAGTACTGTGTAGTACTGTGTAGTACTGTGTAGTAGTACTACCTGGGTCATCTTCTCCCTGTTGGCCTTGGGGTTGAGTGGGGCTTCAGTCAGGAGGGTGGGATGTTCCTCTGGAGCCACTCGCAGCTCGTTGTAGAAGGAGTGATGCCAGATCTGACCAATCACAGAGCAGAGATGGTCATCATGACGATGCATAATAATCATATCTGTGCTTGAGGAAGAGGAGGGTGTGACCTCTGACCTTCTCCATGTCATCCCAGTTGGTGATGATGCCGTGTTCGATGGGATACTTCAGGGTCAGGATTCCTCTCTTACTCTGAGCCTCGTCTCCAACGTAGCTGTCCTTCTGTCCCATACCCACCATCACCCCCTGAGAGACAGACAGGTGGAGACAGAGAGAGAGAGAGAGAGAGAGAGAGAGATAGAGAGAGAGACAGGTCAGTGTTCTGGATGTCTGTTTCCTGTCACACCGGTCTGTGGGCGTGTCCTGACAGATGAACAGGTAGTCATAGTAGCAGTATTAGCATTAGCCTGTCCCCACGTGTGTGTTTGGACCAATCGGTTGTCACCTGGTGCCTGGGCCGGCCCACGATGGAGGGGAAGACGGCTCTGGGGGCATCATCTCCGGCGAACCCGGCCTTACAGAGACCAGATCCATTATCACAGACCAGAGCGGTGCTCTCCTCATCATCACACATGACTGCAGGGGGCGCTGTGGGCGAGCAACGACTCTACGACACCGACTCACACTGTGGACACACACACACCAGGACGTTACACTGAGACACACCTGGAGATATGTATATACACCTTTAATATATGAAGATATGAGTTTATTACATCTGCATAAGTATTAAAAATATATATGTGATGAATTTTTATATTATATTATGTTATATTTAATTTATTCAAGCAAGTTTATTAAAACAACATACATGTCATAAATCTATATGTTTATATGTTTCATTAATTTCTCATTAATCTTAAACATGTCAAACTTAAAGTGTCTCAGACGTTTGGTCTCTACTGTTTATAACATCAACATATACTGACAGGCTGTGGATAGATATGTATTTATGTACATCTGTGTACAATATAAGCTTTATACATAAATGTATATATCTGTTTAGGCTCGATATATATGTGTCAATATATGAAATAGTTTCAATTTCTAACAGGTTTCATATATACTGTTTACATATACATACATATGAAATAAAAATGTATATCTCATACGTGGAAAATCAACATATGTTTTGTACATATATAATACAATGAACTGACTCCAGATTCATTCATTTAATGAACTCCACACAGAGATTCAACCACTGTCAAGGCCTTTAAGGACTTCATTACCCAGAAGCCCCTGCTGCACATTTTAAGTGTGTCTTTCTGTAAACTGTTTGTTTTGATCATCAGTTTAATTAATTAATTAATTAATGCTTACAGTAACTTAAGAATAAGTTAATGACACCTTTAAACAACATGGCTGACCAGAGTGAGAATATTAGAATAATGTAAAAAGAAGTAAGAGAAGTAAGAGAATGAAATAAAAGATGAAAATAATGTAAAACAGAATAAAACAGGAGAATAAAAATGAAATAATAAATAATAATCAATTATTAATTGTAATTAGACAGTGATGTCTGAGCAGCAGGTTGTAGAAAGATCATCAGCTCATGAATGTCAACCTGAAACCTCGTAACCTGGAGTCATGAGGTTTTCACCAAAATTGGAGTTGTAAGGTTTTCACGTGACGGCTGTGAAAACCTCCCCCCTCCTCCCCCCTCTTCCCTCCACACTGAACTACTACTGTCCTTTACTGAATGAACAAGGCACTCTGGGAAAACTTCCTAATTAGGACATGAAGCAGAGTTCTGCCTGTGTTTGGTATGCTCTCTCTCCCTGTGCTCACCCTACCTCGCTTGCCCACTGCTTTTCTCCTTTTATGCTCCCTCTCTCTCTCTCTCTCTTTCTCTCCATCTGTCCTCCCTTGTCTCTCCTCGTCTCCCTCTCTCTCTGAGACACAGATGACTTTAGACCATATTTAGTCATGAAATTTGGGAATCAAATATTTATCTGATTGTTCTGCCAGCAGGAGAGAGAGAGAGAGAGAGGGTTCACTGTGCCCTCAGTTCTGTCTGCGTCTCTCAGGCTCAACACAACAACACAACAACACAACACAACACAACAACAGTGACCACAGCTGATAACAATCCTACATCTGAGAGTTTCTTCAAACAGGAAGTGATAGAGCATCAGTTTGGGACTATTTTCAGCGGCGGATGAATCCACATTTGGTGCTATAGTGAGTGTTTGTGCAGCTCTGTGACTCAGATGAATCAGACACATCAGACTGTTAATACAGTGTCATATAAATAGTCTTTTCATTATTAATTAATAATTAATCAATAAGTTTTGATTGATTTTAAATCATCTGTAAAAAGCCTGGAAGTCAAGAAAAAAAGAAATAATATTAATCAAAAATCAAAAAGTAAATGATGATGATGAAGATGGTGAAGATGATGATGATGGTGATCATGATGAGGTCACAGCATGAAGTCCTTCATCAAAAGTAATTTTTAAAGCCCTGCAGACAGGAGGCAAATCACTGCCCCCTGCTGGTGGAGTTTCAAACTATTTCAACACAAATCAAAGTGAGACGAGATCTTTAACTTCTACCAGATATTTAGTGATGAACAGAATTTATTTACCAATAAAATAAATATGTGATTACTGATCTCTGTGATTTTCTGATCAATAACAAACTGAGATCAATACATCCTGATCACCTAATCATCTGAAAGAACTGCTCCTGACAGTGAATGAACTTCACTCTATCTCTGATGAGGACCATGAGATGTGGCAGAAAGCTGCTTTGACTAAACTGCAAAATAATAAATAAATAATCACCTCCCAGCGAACTGTCCCTCTGGGCCTCCGTAGTTTGTGCAGAGGGGTCGGGATGTGATCAGGTTTCAGTGCAGAAGATTTATCAGTAAGTTGAAGTTTAAATTGATAAATGATCAGTCATGATCATAAATGATCGATCGTGATCAGGTCTATACCACAGCTCAGAATCTGACAGTCCACCTGTGAGTCAGCGCTCAGGGCACAGAGCAACATACGCTTAATCAGCACCAAGGGTCAAATCAAACCCCCCCACAAAGAGGGTGGGGCACCTCAGATCTACCACAGACACAGAAACATGAACCATCAGCAGATGATGAAGAGACGTTTTTCACTTCATGTTAATTAATGTTAATTAATGTTTCTGTTAATGAAGCTTCGTTCAACAAATTGAAGACAAAGAAATGGAGATGCTGCAGGTTAAAGACTGAACCTGAAAACACAGGAGAGGAGAGGAGAGGAGAGGAGAGAGGAGAAGAGAGAGGAGAGGAGAGGAGAGAGGAGAGGAGAGAGGAGAGGAGAGGAGAGGAGAAGAGGAGATCACAGTATCACCACAGTACAAGAGAGACAGCCGAAGAGAAACAGAAAGGAGGTGAAGGTGGAGGAGAGAAGGTGAGACAGAGAGGAGAAAGTTTAGAAACTTCTGAAACACTGAGAACATAAGAGCAAAAAGGAAGAGAAGAGCAGTGGAAGAGAAGAGGAGGAGAGGAGGTGAAGAGGAGGTGAGATGGTTTAGGAGTGAATAAAATGATCACAGAAGAGACAGATGAAAACTTTATGCAACTTTTGTCAGGAGCAGAGAAGAAAATAGGAGAAGCAGAAGGAAAGAGGAGGTGAAGCAGGAGGTGATGGAGGAGCGCAGTCTTACCGTGGCAGTGCAGGGCCTGCTGGGACGTGGGGAGGGGGGCAGGACAGAAGTGAGAGTCAGAACTGCTGCGACTCAGTTTATCAACCCTCCACCTCCTCCATCCATCCCTCCATCCCAAACATGGCCCGGACCTCCTCCTCCCTCCTCCTCCCCTCCTCACTCCCTCTCTCTCCCTTGCTTGATTCCTTATAGGGCAGGCCCTGAGGGAAGCAGCCAATCAGATGGCTCGTGCCAGTGCAAAACTTTCTCCCATCATTCACTGCATTCCTCCGAGAGAAAGAGAGAGAGAGAGAGAGAGAGAGAGAGAGAGAGAGAGACAGACAGACAGATAGAGAGAGAGAGAGAGACAGGTGTATAGTGAACGTGTATTAACAGTAAAATGTCATTAGATAATTTAAGAGTAAAACAATAAATAACTTTATTGATTAATTGCTGCTGATTAATTTTTCATCAACTCATGAATTAATCGACTGATGTTCTACTCAACTCGTGTTTATTGTTGTTTGTTTCATTTATGAGAAACATCAGATTAAAACTAAATAATAAAGGAGCTGTTTGTAATTTTAGCTACTACTACATAGCTAACATTAGCATTAGCAGCTGTTAACTTCATTCCTTAATTCACCAACAGCAACTCTGAAGTTAGCATGCTAACCAGCTAGCCCCGACCCATCTTCCTCTAATACTTAAAATATTTCTTAATGTATTGATTCATTGCTAATTGATTAATAGTGTTGGGGGATGGGGGTTGGGGTGGGTTGAGGGTTATTTATTCTATCTAAATGAGTCTGGGGGAAACAGGAAGGTAACATTAACTATAATGTGGATCTCATGAGGACAATTCAACACTAATTAGCTAATTAATCATGTTCTGAAGTAGTTCTTATAGTTTGATGTGAAAAACTCCAGTTAAAGGATCAAAATGACTTTAAAAATCTTTCTTTTCATAGGTGTAAGAAATCGGCCCAGTAGAATACACACAGTATGCTACATCATATATTTGTATATGATGCAGGAAACACAGTTTATTTGTCCATGTACTGGTGGAGGAGAGTCTCTGACCGACTCGAGCCTCAGAGGGTGAGGACTTTAATCTTCACAGTGTGTGTGTGTGTGTGTGTGTGTGTGTGTTGTTGTTGTTGTGTGTCTGTTAAAGGTCAGACAGTGTTTGGTGACACAGTCTCACACCTCAGACATCCCCAACATCCATGCGTCTCAACCTGACACACACTGTGAGTGGACGGATCCATTTCAATAAGTTTTATTTTTTTTAAGGTTAAAAATTAGCATCTTAAAATTAGTCATTTTTAATTAATGGTAATTAATGGATTATAATATGTAATGGGCATTTATGTTGTTAGCCCTAACAACTTACAAACTACCAATAAAACTGTTCTTAAGTTTCATCTTCAATGAAATTTCACAGATTAATAATAAAAAAAAACTATTAAACTTAAACTAAACTAAATAAAAACTAAACAAAAAAACTTTACTTTTTCTTTGACACTGAAGACTGTTGAGTTTAACAGTAATGAGGATCACAAATAGCTCCAATGCTAACACAGCTATCAAACTCTTATCTATATAAACTGTAGCCTCTATAACACTGTAGCTAAAGCACAGGTTAGTGTTGATGATACTAGTGGCAGCACCAAATGATGATGTAGCACGATGTAGCATGATGGTGTAGCATGATGTAGCATGACGTAGTATGATGTAGCATGATGATGTAGCATGACGTAGTATGATGTAGCATGATGTAGTATGATGTAGTATGATGTAGCACGATGTAGCACGATGTAGCATGATGTAACACAATGTAACAAAATGTAGCAAGATGTAGCATGATGTTGCATGATGTAGCATGATGTAACACGATGTAGAACAATGTAGCATGCTGTACCATGATATAGCATAATGTGTTTACATTCAGCTCCCTTCCTACTGCTCTGAGTCCTCCAGGTCTCCTTTCACCATCTGGACTAAAACATCTTCCATCCACTGCACAACAAATAAGATTTTGAATTTTCCATGTTGAGACTCAGACACAGATGGACATGTCCACAAAGAAGACGTTTGATTCCTTTAAATCCGGCATATGTGTGGAAGTGAGGACAGACCTGGACCTGGACCTGGTGCTGGTCTCCTTCACACCATCAGAACAAAGTTCAACACAAACTGAAAGTGTGATGACTGAATAACAGACCTGAGATTAAACTGTCACTCACTTTAATCTGCTGCTGGCTGCAGGGTGATGATGGACTGATGACATCACCGACTGACCCGCTTTTACCAGAAATCTACGTGGTTCATCCGTTTAATTTCCCCAAGGCCTGGTTCTGGTTCTGATTCTGGTCCTGGTCCTGGTCCTGGTCCTGGTCCTGGTCCTGATTCTGATCCTGGTCCTGGTCCTGGTCCTGGTTCTGGTCTTGTTTCTGGTCCTGGTTCTGGTTCTGGTCTTGTTTCTGGTTCTGGTGATGAGGTCCAGTTGTTTTGACTGTTGGTGTGAGTCTTCACTGACTTCATCAGACACCACACAATTCAACCCTGGTGACCTTTCACCTATGAACTCACCCTGTCGACCAATCACAAGCCTCCTGTCAGAGCCAGAGTCCAGTCACAGTGAAAAGTATCTGAGTCAGTTAGCCACTGAGCTAATTATGCTAATGCTAGCTCCTCCCAGTCACAATATTTCTCCTCAGGGTTCTGCTTCTGTTTGTTGAACTGTAATGAGACAGGTGTAATCACACAGGTGTAATCAGACACAGACAGGTGTAAACAGACAGGTGTAATCAGACAGGTATAAACAGACAGGTGTAATCAGACAGGTGTAAACACACAGGTGTAATCAGACACAGACAGTTGTAAACACACAGGTGTAATCAGGCAGGTGTAAACAGACAGGTGTAAACACACAGGTGTAATCAGACAGGTGTAAACAGACAGGTGTAATCAGACACAGACAGGTGTAAACAGACAGGTGTAAACAGACAGTTGTAAACAGACAGGTGTAATCAGACAGGTGTAAACAGACAGGTGTAATCAGACAGGTGTAAACAGAGAGAGAACGCCTTCTCTTCAGCGGCTGATGTGTCACTCTGTGTTTTATTCTAATGTCTGTGGTGAAAGGTTTTTGACTGAAGTTTTTGACTGGTTCAGTGGTTCAGTCACTCAGGTGTAGAGGTGAGTTTGATTTCTCTCTGTTGGTGCAGTGGTTTGACTTCCTGCCCTGAGTGCTGACTGACAGGCTGTTCACTGTGTTCAGGCTGATGTTGTGGATGTGAGGTTGAATCTGCAGCTGACTCAGATTCGTGTTTGAATCCTCTTGAGTCGACTGGGTTTCCATTCTCAGCTGTGACCGCCCCCCCCCCCCCCCCCCCCCCCAATCACCATGTTACTGACTGATTTAGTGGAGAGCAGCTCGTGTTACAAACTGCTCTGTTGATCTGTCATCAGCTGGTTAAACTGATCCAGGACTGTCGAACCTCAGAGCAGCAGCCAATAGGAGGCCTCACCTGTCCCTCACAAGTTCTCAGTGTCATTACACATCATGAATCCTGGAGGCGCTTCACAGTCTGTATGTCGGTGTTGGGCCAAATCTGGGCCGCCTACAAAAACATTTGTCGTCCTGATGAAATTATTTAATTTTTGTAACTTTTCCTAATGTTCTGCAGCTCGCGATTTAACTCCCAGTAAAGATCACCTCTTCAAAATAAATATGTTTCATGATTGGTGTCTCTAACTACAACATGAACGTGGTGAGCCGGTGAACAGCAGCATGTCAGTAACAACAGCACTTCGCTAACAACATCATGTCAGTAACAACATCACGTCTGTAACAACAGCAACAGCAGCATGTCGGTAACGACAGTAACAGCAGCACGTCAGTAACAACATCATGTCAGTAACAACATCACGTCAGTAACAACATCACGTCGCTAACAACATCATGTCAGTAACAACATCACGTCTGTAACAACAGCAACAGCAGCATGTCGGTAACAACAGTAACAGCAGCACGTCGGTAACAACATCACGTCAGTAACAACATCACGTCAGTAACAACATCAGGTCGCTAAGAACATCATGTCAGTAACAACATCACGTCTGTAACAACAGCAACAACAGCATGTCGGTAACGACAGCAACAACATCGTGTCAGTAATAACAGAAAGTCAGTAACAACATCGTGTCAGTAACAACATCATGTCAGTAACAACATCACGTCGCTAACAACATCATGTCAGTAACAACATCACGTCTGTAACAACAGCAACAGCAGCATGTCGGTAACGACAGTAACAACATCACGTCAGTAATAACAGAAAGTCAGTAACAACATCACGTCGCTAACAACATCATGTCAGTAACAACATCATGTCAGTAACATCAGTAACAACATCACGTCTGTAACAACAGCAACAACTGCATGTCAGTAACGACAGCAACAACCTCACGTCAGTAACAACATCACATCGGTAACAACAGCAACAACAGCATGTCGGTAACGACAGTAACAACATCATGTCAGTAACAACAGTAACAACAGCATGTCAGTAACAACAGTAACAACAGCATGTCAGTAACAACAGTAACAACAGCATGTCAGTAACAACAGTAACAACAGCATGTCAGTAACAACAGTAACAACAGCATGTCAGTAACAACAGTAACAACAGCATGTCAGTAACAACAGTAACAACAGCATGTCAGTAACAACAGTAACAACAGCATGTCAGTAACAACAGTAACAACAGCATGTCAGTAACAACAGTAACAACAGCATGTCAGTAACAACAGTAACAACAGCATGTCAGTAACAACAGTAACAACAGCATGTCAGTAACAACAGTAACAACAGCATGTCAGTAACAACAGTAACAACATCACGTCGGTAACAACAGTAACAACATCACTTCGGTAACAACAGTAACAACAGCATGTCGGTAACGACAGCAACAACATCACGTCAGTAACAACATCATGTCAGTAACAACAGTAACAACATCACGTCGGTAACAACAGTAACAACAGCATGTCGGTAACAACAGCATGTCGGTAACGACAGCGTTTCCACTCAACCATAAAAAAATATTTCAGTCTCGT